ATAGAAGAAGCTCTCAAATGTTGGAATCAGTGCAAAATATGAAGAACACTACTAATTAATTGAATCAGTGAAATTTTAACTTAGTGTCTCCAAGTTCTATTCAGTATACGAAATACACGCTCCTCTTGCACCGAGAAAAAAGTAATTTCTAATCATCAAAAGGAATATCCTTCCTTGACATTATCCTGTCACAACAAGATATTCTTCTTTAAAGTAAAAGGTACTAGAGTACTTAAACGTTTTCCATTGCTCTTTCCTCTCAAATTTAGAGGAAATTTAAAATAAAAAATCCATAAAAAACATTTTTCTGGCTTTGCGAGAGAAAAAAGAATAGATAAGTTGGTATTTTCTTTTTTTTTTTACAAACGAATAATGAAGATACAAGACACAGGGTGGTGTGGCATAAACTAGCGTGCGACCTGTATAGGTAGGCCGCACATTTGTTCGTTTATCACATTTTGTCGGAGAGCTTCTCGAGTGGGCGAATGGCTCGAGTATATGGAACAGCGAGTCTAAATTTAAACGTTGGGTCGTTCTGGAAATAGATGTTATAAGTGCGAGGACAGGATAAGACACCGGCCTATTATGTTGCCCCGGCGAGACTCTTGTTCGAAAAGAGTGTCGAAGATTCCAGCCTCGTAATGTGCCGCGACGAAATGCAACCATTCGTTAAGTTGAATGAGGAATAATAATTCCCTATCGAAATGATGACGAAACGAAAAAAAAAAAAAATCATCGATGAATATTTTCAAAAATTCCATTAAAAGGAATCAAAGATTCCTAACAATCCTGTACTGAATAAAATTAATTCTATTTTGTTCTACAAGGGTTAAATAATTTTAATTATTAACAAAAATTACTAATGCGATATAAAAAAAATTAATATTTTGATAAATAATACCCAACTGCACATAATTGATGGTGAGCGGATGCGTTTTATTTCGAAATTTAAAAAACTTTCATGTCGAACTCTGTTTCTAAAAAAAAGTTTGTCCTACATTTTCTGGTTCAGTGAATTCATTTCTTCTTACGACGAAATGTGTGAAATTTCAAAAACGGATATGTGTGCAATCGGGAAATTTTGACATGCTCCAGATTGAGATTTGAAATTCTTATCATTTCCTCCCTACAGTGTGCAATTTAAAGTGTTTACTCTTCCTCGTTAGAGCCTTGATGGTCCAAATATTTAGTAAACGAACATTTCTTAGAATCTCGTTATATATGCAAAATTACAACAAGTATTTCATTCTTAAAATATATTCCAAGAATGATGAGATATTCGGATATAATTACATAGATTTTCAACGGAAATTCCGCTTTAAGCGAATGTAGAAAAGAAGTATTTAATCCTATAAGAAGAGAGAAATTAAATGAAAAATTCTTTTTTCTCTAAATAGAAAATCCATTTTGAAGACAAAAGAGGATGAATACTAACAATAATGAAAAGCATTAAAACGTGGCTCGAGAGCATGTAGAGAGAAAAGGTAAAAAAAAGGAAAAATTGGAGAGAACGCGTCAATAGCAAGTCACAGTGAGCAGTGGTTAAATATCGGCACGATTCCAGAAAGCAGGCAATCCCCGATAATCTCGAAATAACGAGTATCCGCGTCTCTTGCCTCACTCTTCTGCCTCCATCTCACTCATACTTGTTGCATCTCTAATACATTCGACTCACTTCTTTTCCTCTCTCTTTTGACCACCGATATTTTTGGTAGCAACGACGGTGGCGCGACAAGAGAGTTAAAGAAAGGGAGAGAAATAGAGAATGAGAAAATGTTCGAGAAGGAGGGAAATCGAGAAGAAGAAATAGGAAAGAAGGAGTAAGAGAGATATCGTTAAACCGAACATCAGTAACTTGAGAGCTTCTCGGACCTCCGACCATATATGTCCGCCTCTCCCTCTCCTTCTCTCTTGCTCTCGCTTTCGTTTCTCTACTCTTGTCTCACTCTCTTTCTCTCTCTCTTTTAGATACATTCACACACACACACACACATGTTCCCTCCCTTTCTCCATTAACTTTTCCTCTCCTCATTTTTTCATATTCTTTTTTTATTTTTTTCCTCCTTTTCCGTTCTCCCTTCGGAGCCTAAAAAAGAATTGTTTCATTAACGGTTGACAAATTATTATTATTATTCATATTATTGTTACTTCTAATCATCTTAAAATAACGATTGGCAATTGTTCCAAAAGTATTATTCATAAGATTCTTCAGATACTCTTGGCTTGTACAAGAAACATTTTTCCAATGAATCATATTGCACAAATGATGAACGGAGGTCAATAATGATTGAATTAGAATGATGAGTAAGAAAAAAAATTGGTATTTAAAAAGTATGATTTGTCTTATTGACAAGTGGTTGAAAAGAAATTTGCGATGGATAAAATTCATTGAGAATTTGTCAAGAATTTAAATTTAAAAGAAGGTATCGTAAATTTACGTGAGACGGAGCCACTTGACAATATAATATATTTTCTTTAAATTACCGACTGAGAGAAAGGAAATCTACCTCTGTTTCAATAATTGTATTCGCCCGTGTATGCAATTCTTTTGTAATAATTAACAAAACAGAGCAATCACATTATAATTGCACATTATTGCCATCAATGAAGCGCGTCACGACTTTGCTAACGCAAGCGAATTACAATATATAAATGTATTTCATTTATTTTTAATCAATCACTATAATTCAATAAGTTATTCATGCATTTTTTTTTAAATTATACAATTTTGAAACTTTTTTCACTTGAATCAACTTTAATTTTCAGTTTTTCGACTTTGAAAAAATAAAAATTCTTTAAAATTACTTATTTTCAATACTGTATATAAAAATTTGATCCTAATTTCCCTAAACAAGATTTTAATTAGAAATATTCATATCCTAATGAATTATATATAGAATTAATTTTGATTTGTTTAAATTAATTTGGTTTTGGTGGGACAGTATGTATATATAAGTACAGAAATAGTTCTAAAACTGTGTTAATTATAAATAAACAGTTATTTAATAGACTACTGCACTTGAAACAAAAAAAAGTATTGCGTTTTTATTTACAAGCCAATTATTGTTCACTGGTTATATATAATGTCCTCGGCTCACTTTTATACAATTTTTTCTCTTCGGGACAAGGAAAAAGAGATGAAAGAAGTAATAAAACAACAGGATATACGTAAAGGAGGATGCACGTCACATACGTCATATATGTATGTATATTCAACATGAAGACAGAATTTACTTAATATTTACTCATTCATGTAGTATGAAAATTTCTTTTTAAAAACAAGTTTTTATGTTAAAATTTCATAAAATTAATTGTCTATGAATGATATTAGAAATAATATATTTTTTAACAATCTATTCCTAATTTTAAAAAATGTCAATGAACAATTGATAAAGTAAGAAATCAATGACCTCGAAACCCGTATGGATATCCCTCTTTCTCCTCCGCTTATAAAGATACATAATAATGTTAAAAATGTTCTATTAAAAAAAAACTCATTTTTCTAAATTAACATAATTCAAAGCTGATTTCTTAATATTGTATCAATAATAATAATAATAATAATAATTTTATATAATAAATGTATGTAATTTGTTATAAATATATTTAAAAATTCAATAATAACTTCATTTTCATTTAGATTCATAAATTTTTATCACGTTATTAAGAAAGTTTTTTATTTTTTGCATTTACAATTTTTTATGAGGAAGTACAAAAACTTTCGACTAAGAATAACTTTTCCTGAAATAATTAACTATTTATTTTCCACACAATGTTTCACTTCCTTAAACTAGAATGTTGATCTCAAGACATAGCTATAGGAACCTTCAATTGAAATATCGACGCGATCATATCACCAGAAAAATTAACTATAAAGGTAGATAAGATGTTTCGCGATTTTCAGTAAAATAAAAAAAAGAAAGAAAGAACACAATTCCTTGGATTGGGTGTCAGTAAAAGTCGAGGCCATGTTTTTCTAGAAGACTATATATATATAGTAACGATATAATTAAAAATATATATTGTGCAATTCGTCATCATAATTTTTAGCTATGTTGATAGTGGATACCTAACTTTTATGAAAAAAAAATATATATACTCAATAATTTTATAATATACTTTAATATATTATGCGAAATTAATATTATTAAATCTCAGGGTTCACGACTTATATTTTATCTTAACAATCAATCAATGACGTTAATTGATTCACGTACAATATATGTACTGCAAAATCAGTGATAATATTAGAAACTTTATCGCACGCATACCGTGAAGATTGTGTTATCCTATCGCATTATTTCAAATCCATTATAATTGTGATATTGACAATATACAAGTTTATTTGACAACAATTTATTATACAGCAAAAAAAACTTTTTGTTTGATTCTATCGCATAAAAAGGTCAGACGTAATACAAATCAAACAAATATCTATATAACGACAAATTTCGTCTAATATATATGAATCAGATCAAGATATTTTTGAAAAAGAGAGCAAATTCTTCGCGGGAAACTAAAAGTGTATTCCAAAACTAATTTTAAAAATTCACGACCAAAAGAGAAAAAATGTTATTTCGAATAACAATTAGAAAAAAAAATTCCATTTACGAAATTGAAGAATTTTCTTAGAGGCATTTTCTATCGTACTTTTCCCAGGAATTGTTTGATCTATGAAAAAGCTATCATTGAAATCTGAAGTGAAATAATATAATAATCTCATTTGAAGTGCACGCGAGTCCTTCGTTAGCGTTAAAGTGCGATAATCAACAAACCGTAACAATCGTTAATCGGCTTGTGGCACTTGTGTAGTGGCGGGAGAATAATATTAAAGGCCTTATATGATAATCGATCTATTAATTATTTCAAATTTCAAAGAGTCCCAAAAAAACAAACATTAATATCATAAAAAATAATATTCAATTAATTTCAATATTTTTCAATTACAATAGTAAATTGAAATAAGATTTGAAGGATGTATAAAATACTTGTCAACGAAATGCTATTTACATTTATTTATTTATGTCGTACATTTACACTAAACAAAATTCTTATATACAATACTGATACTTAAATTATAACTGTCTCACTTTTTACTTATAAACTTGTAATATTAACGCAAATTCAAACATATTATAAACATTAAATTCTTAAACGCTCTCAATTATCCAAATATTTAAAATAAACTTTCAGAAAACTTTTCTTTATAAATACAAATTTTTTTTTATCTAAATCAAAATGTTAGTTTCATTAAAAAAAAATATCCATAAACTGTCGTGTCAAAATGTAAACTATTTTCTACTTTTGTTAATTTGAAACACAAAAATGTAATATATATTAACTATACAAATAAGAAATTGTTCAAGCCAACCCTATCCGAAATTGACTACTGGCAATTTTTGGTAGGGAATCTTTGATATATTGAAATTAAAATTCAATCAGATTAAATTTAAATCATCAATTCTTAAATTATTGTAGTAATTAAATTCATTTTTCTCTTCTCTTTTATTTTTATAACTGTAATTATTTTTAATTTTTTTTTTAATTGTAATTAATTTAATTTTTATAATTGCGAAGTAAATTATAAATTCTTTAATGATTTACACGTTCTGATAAAATCAAATGATAATTTCTACCAAGGGTTTCAGCGACCTCGATAAATAAATCTCTTTTTTAAATTATATAAATTGAAAAATAATAAAATTTTCCCGGATTTTCATTTTTACTAAAAAAAAGAAGAAAAAATGTGGTCCTTCAATATTTTTAATGAAACTGATTTGAATTTGTTCTATTGAGTACTGATAACACAGATTTTAACCTGTTTTATAAAGTATTGATAAAACAGATTCGAAGCTGTTTTATCGAATATTGATAAAACCGATTTAAATTTATTTTATCAGTCTTCGATAAAATGTGACATTTCAATATACTGGAATTTTCTGGAATAGAATACATATTCCGTATTATTTGGGTTCTGTATTTAGTATGGCAAGCTCGTTTCTACCGTAACATGATCTGTCCGACATAGAGTTCATTGACGAAGGTCGCGTCTTTCCTTTACAGAGTACAATTTTTTTTTCTTTTTTGCCGATTGCATCGAAACTTTGTGAGGACGATAATAATTATTACGGCACGTCATCGTGACTTTGAAATCACAAACACTCGCTACATATATATGATGTACACAAAATCGCACTTTAAAAATCACAATCGTAATATATTGTAAATTTAAATTAAACTCTTCTTCTTTCACAATTCTTATTCCTATTATTCGAATTAGATATATACGTACCAAATAATTTAAATATTCAAATCATCAATGGCAGAGGGCAGAGGCAGTTATTGCACCCATACTCTTAATTAAAACCGTTTAGACAAAAAATGACAAATTATCCTTACTGATTTGAATTTTTCCGTACATAAAAATCGTTCGAATACCTTTTTTTAAATCCTAGTTCGTGGAATTGATATAACATAATATCTACTTTTCTTTCTCTTATAATTATACGCATTGAATGGAAATACCTAACTATTTTTACAGAACACTTGACAAAATTTTCTTTTACAAATAATTTTTCTTCTCATCAGAGAAAAATTTTTAACAAAATTTTCTAAATTTCCGTAAAACTTGTTAAGGAATTTCCTTCAGTGAGACAAAAAAAATGTGCAACAAAAAGATTGAAAGTAATCTCTACATATGTGATAACCTAATATGATAGTCTAAGATATTTATTTTTAATAATTCTACTTTCACACTTTAGACTCAAGTATTTTATGATTTTTGAAAAAAGTGTCAACAAGAAAATACAAATTTTTTTTACGAATTATAAATTAAAAAACTTGAAAATTAATAAACTAATTAAGGAAAAATATTATAAACTATTAATAAACTCTAGGATTTATTGTAATGAATTTTTGGCACTTTTTTATAAATACAATAAAATATTTGAGTAAAATTGTTTTATTTTAATAAATTTTCGTAAATTGTGAAATTTTAATTATTATACTTGATTTTAAAAGTAGAAATTGAATGATTTTTGATTGATAAAATTCACACGTTAATCATTCATCGACAATGACTGAATTATATGTAGCATAATGTATAATTAATTATACAAGCATTAATTATTTTATTAAAAGAGATCATTCCTTGTAATAAAGTAAATGAGCCAAAATCTTAGGATCAGAATTTTTATTATAGATTCTTCGTTCTTAAAGTATCATGAGGTAAAAATTTTCTCTTCACTTTTCAAACGTTTCTATTATCGTTTTATTCATTGAAGAATGATCCGTTATCTATAGTAGATATATTTATATAAGAAATATGTGATCCTGATGGAAATAATGGGCACGTATCACGGTCCAATGATCATTGGAGGTATAATGTCGAGCGTACCATGAGCAAGTGGATCAAAATAATCTCTGTACGCTCTACAGAAACAACATTGTCTCTGTCACTTGTTTAATTAAAAAAAAAAAAAACTGACATTGGAAAAATTCCAGATGGATCATTATAATTTTTGTACAATGTCAAATTTGTCTTTGAAGCCTAGTGATTCTTTTTTTGGATCATATTTTTTCTTCATTGCTAATTTTGCTCTTACTTCTTTCACAGTCAAATTTAAGTTCAATTCTTCCTTTTCATTCTCCATTTTGCCATTTCTGGTACCATTTGACGATTGTTCGTTCTTGATATTTCCACTTCCATTTTTGTGACTCTCGTCGGAATTTTCATTCGTTAACGTTGCAGTGGGTGCTGTTGATAAGCCACTGTGTGATGTATCATTCGAGTCGATTGATTTTTGCATATTCTAAAATAGAAGAACAATTTTTTCAATTCAATAAAACTTTCACTAAATAAACAAATAAATAATAATAAAATAAAAAAAAGATTAGTAATTAAATAATAAAAAAAATCTCCTGTGTATTTTTTCATATTCTCCAATTTAATCTGATTAATTGATATTTTGAATTTTTATGACTGTTTCAATTGCTGTTTGAATTTTCAAGAAATTAAGTCTCGGTTAATGACCCGTGACAAATGTCCATGAGTTGAAACGATCGAATGGAATCATTGATAATTTCCACGTGACCCACATTAGAGAGTATCAACCATTCCGGAGATGCACGTTGCGTATCAAGGACTGTCACACCTATTCACATTGCGCTTTTTTATCATGGAATTTTTTCAATTGGTTTTTTAATTCACATTATAATTATTTACCTTTCTAATATTAATCTCGTTTTATCTGTCGATTAAAGCATTGAAAATAGAATAATTTATTCTTATTTTGAAAGGACCATAACAAAAGAAGAAATTTAGTATTTAATGTTTCCGAACTTTATATTTTTCTATTTTCACGCTATGTAGTTTGTTATTCAATAGTTGACATATAGTATTTCAATAAAAACTGTTTACTTCAATAAGTGAAGATTAATTTTCCTTCAAAGGTGAAATATGAATAAACGTGTGACATATATACATAAAAGAGGTGTTGCAATTAACACTAATAATATTAATCATTGCTCATTTACGACTGATTTCATAATATGTAATCTTATTTAATTTAACCCCACGCATAGTGGGACAATAAATATTTTTTCGAAAGGAAAAAATTGAAAAATTTTGTTTTTATCAATTTTTATTTTAATTTTTATATAAAACTGTTGTACAAATTTTTTTGTAAATTAAAAATTTCGAAATTTACCAAAAAAAATTGTGAAGGAAATTGAAATTAAAAGAAAAACATGAGTTTAGTAAAAAATATAATTAAAAAAATGAGTAACCAATTGGAACGCACAAACACATTTTATGACCAAGATTAACCAGTTATCGACCTAAAAAGTAACTCATTTACCTTCGAAACAAATGTCAGGTGTTTATCGATAGAAACTGATTTTCACTAAAAAAAAAATTCTACTTGAAACTTTTGTTCTAAAAATATGTAAATTTCGTTCATGCTTAAAAATATTAAATTTCAATTATATTGAACAAAATAAGCCATCAGTAATCAACAAAAATTTAATTACGATAAATAAACAAGTTGAATAAAAATTTTTAAATTTGTCTATTCTAAAAATGTTAATTTACTTCCATATAAGGAAAATTGATTTCTTATTAATTAATAGTGGAATTCCCCGCATGACGAAACAAACGTCAAAAGACAGGAAGTTTATATACCAGCATATTGTGGAGATTTCAGCAAAGAGAATGATTATTAATAATCATAAAAATCAGTGATTCATTTTTATCATGTGAATTATATAATTTTCATATGGCACAAGCATGTCATTATGAAATTTAAAATCAATTCAAATATGTTGTCTTTTGAAATCAAATTTAAAAAATTCCATAATTAATTTCGCATGTGACGGAAAATTTCAAAATAAAGTAAATTTAAAAAAAAAACATCAAAATAAATTCTATGAGAACGCTTTCGAAATTCATCAACAAGTTTCTGCACGTTTTTCTTGTCACCACAAATGCAATGCTCTACTTGGATAATGATGAGAGCTACGTGTGTAGCCGTGAAAAATTTTACTCGCGTAAGTATACCATCCAACCATTTCAGTAAAATGCCTCATTGTCGGTTTCGTTAATTTATTCTTGCGGTATGCAATTTTAAATTAAAAAAAAAACTTCAAACAGAATTAATAACTTTTTCGGTTTGCATTAAAAAATTTTAATATTTACGTCAGGAAGAAAATCCATTGAAAGTGTTTCAGATGAAATCAATGAAAATGTAAAGAAAATGTATTTGTGGATAAAAAAAATATGCTGTAAATTTTATTTATACCCATAAGTCATCTTCGAAAGATGAATTTACGATGATTCCATAACTATTTAAACTTTACTATCATCAGCGGTATGATAAATTAAAGGTTACGTAAAATTAAGTAAAAAATACAATTTACTTGTCACTGTGATTCACAGAATTCATAAGAATAAATTTACTTATTTTTAGAATAATACATAACAACTGGTCAATGTTTCGACGATTTTTAATTGATAAATTTTCTAAAGAATTCCTAATTACGTATAATAATAATTTTGTTAACACATATCCTATTTTCAAATTTATTGTTTTTTAAACTTCCAATTTTACTTTTATTATAAACAATTAAGTCAGGAACTTGATAAAATCAAGCGTATAATATTTTGTGTGCATAAAAGGAATATTTAAAAGAAATTAGTTCTTTCTGGGTAAATTATACTATTTCCTGAATAATTGGAATATATGAAAAGGACGAGGTCGCATAAGTCCCGGAAAAAACGAGACAAGATTCAATCGTCCGTATAGTATAGTCTTTTGAAAAGCATTACGCAGCTCACATGGGTACCCAACAACTGTTGTATATGTGTACATCTGCAAATGCGGATTTTATGTAAGTGGCGGAAGTCTAGTGCGCATGTGCCTCTATAGATGTTCGGATAAAATACATACGTAATTGGTCACGAGGTAAACAATAATGATGAGCCATATGGCCATTATTTAAGATTTTATTTAAGACCTATATTCTCATTTTCATTCATGCACTTTATATCCGCAATACAACTTCCGCAAATTAACAACCGTTCATAAAACACTTTATTGCAAGACAATTTCTCACTTCTTCACCAAATATAAAAATTTTTTAACTCTATTAAACATATTTTTTTCAAACATATAAACAGGTATTCCAAAAGTTGAAATAATTTTTTTTTCAATTCTAACAAAAAGATAATTTTAATGTCAATAATTTACGATTCTACAATTCGCATTAAGAGAGTAAGAAGATAAATACTTCAACAGGACGTTATCGAGAACACTAATAAGTTATGATTTTCTAAACCTAAATTCACCTACATAATTTTTGAATTACATAATCAACCTATCCTAATCTCAATCATTTCAGTGATTTGTTATTTTCTACAATTTTTTTACAGCCATGTCATAATTATTTATCAAGCTTTAATAGTGACGACTTGAAAATGTTTAGAATAGAGTTTGTTATATAGATATTAATTAATCTGTGAAAAGTAATTATTTTCAAAAAGAGAAAATTTTCCTTTATACACATTTCAGTTTTAATCGATGAAACGATTTGCTATCGTTGAAGATAGAAGATTAGATAGTATATGCAAAGATAGAGGTTTAAGTTTGTAATGTACTCCTGCTAATGATACCTATGAAAGTGAAGAATCAGTATTAAAATTCAAATATTTACCTTATTTTTATAAAGTTAAAAAAATTAATTAAATTATTATGAAATATTTTTTATTTTTCGTGCTACTTTCATTTATTTTTTTTTTAATTAACTCTCCAGCGGACTCAAAATGAACCATAAACTACAAAAAAAAAAAAAAAAAATTTATCAACATTTTTGTACTCACATCTTATGTGACTATTTGGAGAACAATAAAAATCTTTCATAAGAAAATGATAAAAGAAGACTAATGTCGCCAGAAATATTCGCGTTTATTCAAGCTTTCATTTACTCAACAAGATTGTAATCATTTTTATCTTAGGGTAGGAATTTTTATTGTCTCTAAAAAACCTTTTCTACCATCTTTTCTCTGAGAGGTTAAAATATAAAAAATAATTTAAACAGCAGATGTATTAAAACATGTTGATTCAATAGCATGTTTTTCTTATATATTTTCAGTGTATTATGAAAATTGTTTGCCTGTAAAATTGTATGAATCTATTTTTTTCAAATGTTTCCTCTTCTGGAAATGAATTAGAAAAAACAAGTGAACAAGTGTTATTTTCAGAAACTGAAAGTTGACATGAACCGCGAGCAACGTAACTCTCGCATTCTCGAGAACGAAACAATATTCAATCAACTTCCATAAGAAGTATGGCAATCTTATCTGATGATTCTCATTCTCACGAGAAAAATATTGTATGTATATTTAAAATAGTTCATTTAATTATACAACTGTTTTTTTGTATTGCCAATGAAAAAATATGTTTTGTATTTTTATCATTGAGAATTAATTTTCTATAAATCTACAGAATTTTTTCAAGTGTATTGAGAATTTGAGAAAACATATTTTTTAATGCGTATATATTTTTAAAAATATTTTATTTATTTATTTATTTATTTATTTATATAAGTCAGAGTAGAAAAAATTCTGATTTTATGAAAATTGAATGTAATGAAAGATCGTATTACGTGATAATTGACAATTGAAAATAGTTGTTATTCCTATAGTAAACCGGACCTAATTTCTCGTGCAATTATCACCTGTGAGTAATGAGAAACTTAACTACATTGTTTTAGTGCTAATCATGACGGCTGCAGGTTTCTCTGAACGCGATTTGTCCTCGTGTTTTGCGTGCAAGTGTGCGTGACAAAATCGTGTAAAGAAAGCGAAGAATAAGAAGAAGATTCTTCGTAGATGGTGTACCATGAAGAGAATGACCTTCCCTCTTACTTTTTAGCCACAAGTGGAAGCCGGTTTTTCATTCTCCAATCTGCCGTAATGTGCGCTCAAATCGAATCCCCTAATATTCCTTTTACATATTATATCGATCAACACGCAGACGTTCGATTTTCAACTATGTATTTCAAAACATCCAAGTGAAACTGACAACCATAAAATTCTACAGCATTTCCTATTAGCCTACATACATGCACACCACATGGAGAATGAAATTGCACAACAGTAGCATTTTACGCGGCTATACATACCACCTGGTCCAAGGATATCGTTCAAGACACCTGGTACTAATCAAATTAAATTTAAATGCATACTTATTTATTAAAAACATTATTACTCCCTAAAACTCGTTAGTTACAATTTTATTAAGTAGGATAGATATCTACACGAATTTAGAAATTCTAAAATTTTAAGGAAAGAAGAAGAAGAAGAAACAAAAAGTCACGGAAATACATATTGAAAAAATCATGTGGTGCGTTCAAATTGAAAGCATGACTTTAGATTTTAAGAAAACAGTTATTATAAAATTTATATGCATACAATGGAAAAGGTTATGTCCACTCATTGCAACTCGTGTCTGCTAATAATAAAATGAACAGCGTTTAGTGTTCGACTGCACGCAGTTGAAAGGGTGAAAGACGAAAGATGACATCACTCTAGTCAATAGTAAGTATAGGGAATAAAGTGCATTCTTGCAATATATTATGTATTACACATAAACCAATCACGAATGATATAATACACGTAATTCCATCAAATAATTAACACTCTAGTTAAAAGATTTTTTTGACCTCAAAAAGACCTCATAATATAAAAACCCGTCAACGTGGTACACAATGATGAAATTCATTATCATATGATTTTTCGAAAACTTTCGCTCATGAAACCTGTAAATATATGCCTACTTTTATGAATTTTTAATCAACTTTAAATTTAGAAGTCATTTACTTGTTTAAAAAATTAAATCATTATATTCATCTTTTTTGTATTCTATGAGTTACTTCAGACAATAAATTTCTCAATGCGGTTCAATTTTTCCAAGACATTATATAAAATTCATATAAAACTCTCGCGTTATAATTATATTATCAATTTATTTTTCATTTCGTGCTACTTCCTTCTTATATTTTTTCCTGATTAAATCATCTAAAGTATATAATTTATAAACTTTACCCGCAATATTACTAATTCAGTCTTATATTAAATTACAATTGAATGTACAGTTAATAACAAAATAGAATAAAAAATGCGTTGTAAATGTAATGCATGATTTTCAAATAAAATTTTCTTTTCAGAATTTTCTAAATGAAAAGTTATAATAGTCTAATTGTAAAATTAATTAATATAATTACAGGGTCAATGTATTCTGGTTGTTTTAATTAATTAAATGAAAATGGCAACGAAATTTAAGTTTCAGTAAGAAATAACAAAATAAAAAATGATTTAAAATAAATGGCGCATTCCTGTTCTCAAATTGACAGTGGCTCATAACCATTTTGATAAAAATGGTAATGAACACGTGTTTTGTATGTTAACTAATGGCCACGTATCTGATGACTTTTCAGTAATTAGTCTTATCTGTCAAATCCTCACAAAAGTAACACACTTGAACAAATGAAATGTATTTTTCAGAATCTTTAAAAAAATATTAAAATTTAATTTATAAACAATTAAATATTTAACGCTATTATTAAGTGTACGTTCTTTAATTCACAAACAAATCGTCTCTATCCATTTTAATAATTACATTATTTCAATGACGAAAAAAGGAACAATACAAAAATAGTATAAAAATTCAAAAACACAACACGAAATTGATCAATAAAAAGAACTAATAACACCAGCGAAAAACTGATTTCCGTTTACGATTGTCTATATGTAAACAAACACGAAAGTAAAAACCGATAACTGAGACAAACTAGTTTAATCAATATTTTATGTCAATGAAAACAACGCAATACTTAAAACTTTCTTTAAAAATATGTTTTCAAATAAGAATTTTAAGGGGACATCAATTTTCAAATCCAAATTATCAAAAAGCAGCATAAATTATTATGATAATTAACTTAAAACCATTAAAAAGTAATTTAAATTAAAAAATATCATTTTTTACGAGAAATCGTAAAATATACTTGAGTTAATTTGAAATTAAATATTTCAACCGGAATTGCGTATAGATTAAACCAACCGGAATTATGTATAGATAAGACCAACCGGAATTTCAAATATTTTTATCCGGAATTTCTAGAAAGTGGACATTAAAATTGTTTTCTAATTACAATTTAAGTCACAGATATTTCAGTTAATTTAATTCCATAAAAATTATGTAACTTGAGTAATATGTTACTTAATTAAAAACAGCATACAATAATTCCATCAAGATTTTCTTTATCTAAATAATTATGTATATCTTTAAATGAAATAAATTGTTATATATTGTTCGATTAACGATTTCTAAATCTAAGCAATTGCTACATCAATTAAATATTATTTGTTTATAAAATAACTTGTTAAATCTGATTTAAACTAATTTATTAACCAACTCTATTAATTGGTAGCAATTTATTAAAAAATGAGCAAACTCAATAATTAATTATTACTAATAGTAATTTTGAGATCAGATTAAAATGGAGAATTCGACAAAATACACATGATTTGAAACTTGATACTATAAAATGAAAAAAATAAATTGTTGGAATACCAACCTCATCGATGGAGCCGTTACTGCCATCACATCGAGCTTCCTCGTCAACGGTGGCAGGATTTCTCTCCGGTGTCTTGATCACCTTGACGTTCGCCATGGTGCCCTTGATGATGATGTTATTGGCCCTGAAATAATCGTCCGCCTCCTGGTCCACAACAAGGAGTTTCGTCTCGCTCGGAAACGCTTTGATGCGATCGACCACCTGTTTGTGCGTCTCATTCGCAATGTTGATTTCGTTAACTTCCACAATTCGATCGCCTTGATGAAGACCGGCCGCTTCACTTGGTGAACCATCATCAACTTTCCCAATGAATTGACCGGTTTTACCTTTCTCGGCATGAAGATTAAATCCATAGCCATCGAAATCATCCCATTTTACAATGTGGCATAGTCGGGCACAAGGCACTTTTTGATCGCCCTTTAATAACGACATGATCACTTTTTTTCAACAAAAAAACAATTGTTTTCACAAAATTTTTCTTGTCAAATTCTCTTTTCTTCTTTCTTCCTCTTTTTCAAACACCAGAACCGCACGCACACGACACGCGCGAACGACTGATGCTGATAATCGTCAACCTCGTGTTCCCTACCTGCTGCCTTCTTTTCCTTTCCCTCACTCGTTTTCACGTCAGGTTGCACGATTTGCTTTATCTATTCCAACCCGGCACCAAACAAACAATGGAAAAATCTTTTTAAATGTACAACCTAATTTTATGCTTCTGGCACAAGTTGTATTATTTTTTCCTTAATTTCTTTAGTTTTTAATATTTCTTCTCATATAGTCTGTTATTTTCTTACTTCAAGTTTAAAAATTCTTTTTTCGATTATGACTTTATGCGGGAGATGATGATGAGACTCTTGAAAATTTAGAAGCATCGAAAATAGATTTTGCGGAAGTTTTGTTGCGATATGAGGAACACACGGTATAAATCGTCGGAGACACAAAACACGACGGAATAAAACGTATTTAGTGCTGACTTAGTCACTTAAAAGAGGACAGAGTCAATTTTTTTTCTTTTTTGTACAAGATAATAATTGGGGGAAGACGCCTGGCGCCTTCGTACGGCAGGTGTATGAAACCTGTACAGGTATCAAAAATATAATACCTGCAATCGATTGAAGGATTCATTCAAAATTCATTCTTAAAATGGTCACATTTTAAATGAATTATTTTCTAACTTTGCAAAGAAGATTTAGGCGCTGTTGAGCTGCACAATTGTAGAATATTCTGGTTAACAAAACTTTCTGGTGAAAAATAGTATTGTTTAAACAACCAGAAAAAGTGGTAAGGGTATTTTTTGGGTAGATTAACCAACCAGTTTTTTTTAGTATATAATAAGAAAAACTTATTTTAAGACAAACAAAGCAAAAATGTATGTCTGACTTTATGTTTAAATTAAATTTAAATTACCGGTTATTCAATCGCGTCGATGACGAATCGTTTGAATTTTCTTTTACAAAAAAAAACCATTTTCTTGAAAAATTATAAAAAAATGAATAAGTGTAGAATATTTTTTGTTTAATTGTAAAATAATTATATGTATACAATGTCCAAAGAGTTCCAGACTCACTGAATAATATTTTTTAATATTTAAATTAATTATTAAAAAACCTCAGAAGATTGGAAATGTTCTGGACATTAATTTATATAGATAAATAATATTTATCGTGAACCACGTGTTCTTCGAAAATCTTTGAACGAATAACGCAACAGGTGGACCCACTTCTTTAAATTAAATTACTTTAAATTTTAAATTATTATTTAACATATATGATAAATAATAGTATTATTATAATTTAAATTAGTTTCTAGATATTCTAGATAATCATTATAAATTATAAAGTACTTTCTAAAAAATTAATTAGCAACAAAAAAACTTTTTTTTTTAAATTTGTTAAAGACCTTGATACAGCACTGTTAAATTCTCGTTAGTATTAGTGACGCATTTAATACAAGTGCGAGAAAAAGCGTGATGGTATGTATCGCTTCCGACCATATTACCACAGGTATTTCTCATCTAAAGTGAATCTAATATTAGTTTTTTTTCTACTTTTTTCTCTTTCATACCGGCTATAATCCAGATTGAGATTTTCAACAAAATAACATTTCGCTGTCATATTTATCCAATATGTTATTATTTTTAACTCCAGACTAGAAAGCCAAACATATAGAGCTGACTCATAAATAAAGACCTTATTGGAGTTACCTTTATTCTTCTACCAATATTTAAAAAAAAGGAATATAAAAACGACTCACTGATCGGCGAATCCCACGTTGGGGCAATAGTGACATCGCTGCTACAGGAGCGCTTCAGGCTTCTCTTGAAGATCCCTCTCTTCATCGCACTTCTGCGTAAGGTCGGGAGCACCGCAAAAAAAATTATTATAAAAAATAAGAAAAAAATTTAAAAAAAAAAGGCGGCATGCAGTGACCGCTTTTCTTCTTCCACAACCTATCTGTCCTTCAGGTTGTTATTTCGACAGGTCCTGATGGACCAGAACAACTGCAACAAACATCCTTCCTTCAAGAAATAGACACCTGAAAATTGTAAAAAAAATATGTAAATATTAAAATTTGTATGAGTCACAGAAACTTTTCAAATTAAAGAAATTTATTTTCAATGAAATCTCTGTTCATTAGTTCAAACATTTTGCCCCTAAAGAACATCTATTCGTACAACTCAAAAGCAAGATTATAACATGTTCTGCCACAATTGAAGAAAACTACTTTATTCCAAGTTCTCTGTACATTTTACATGCAAATTATATTAAATATCTATAAATTGAACATGTAAATTATTTTTATAATAAACATATAATTTTTAATAATATTTAATAGTTTTTTTTAATTGAAATGAAAAAAATGTTATTTTATAGTGGAGAAAATTTTTGTTCTCAACTTGTTTCCAAACTAAAAATTTCTAGTTTATTGGAGTAATTTTGAATAATAAAGGTTTATGAATTGTATTTTAATAATTAAATATCCAATGGAAACGGGGTTATAATTGTCTTCACTACATTCCTGAACACCTGAATATTTCCTGCGCATGTGAAATGCGCACAAGGTAACTTTAATGTTATACCGTCGTGATATGGAGTAGCGGTGTTTCGAACGTTCTGACAGCTAGTGGTAGCTAAACTCTCGTCATCAATTCACAGTGTTTTGTGTTGGGAGAATTTTCATTTTTATTTAAATATTTACAAAAATTCCCTAAACTATTTCCAATCGTTGACAATTATTTTATTTACCAAGTGCATTATGTCTCGAATCATGGACAAGTCATCATTTTTAGTGTTGTGTACCTAAAAACTTATACAGTTATTACACATTTTTCAACAAAATACATACAAGTGTATGTGTGTGTGTGTGTGACTCGATGATTTTGAGATTTTAAATAGTGGATTTTAGCATTTCTTGTCGAAATGTGGAGTCCAACTCACGTTCAGGTGACAGGTAAGCAAACAAACTTACAAGCATTGAGTAATTTTGATATATAACAGATTTTATAAAATTCACTGAGAGAGACTCTAAAAGAAAAAGAAAACAGCAGAGCCAGGTAAGATAATAGGTCAAATCGTACTGCCTATACAAAACCTTATTCTTATGACAAATTCACCAAAACATCTGCGATTTTATACATACATATATATATATAACTTAAAGAGAACGTTCAAAAAGAACATGCGGGTCTTTAAAGAGCGATAGAGCATTAATTAATTGTTGACATTTGTACACCATCAGGTGGTTCATTCGTAAACATGCAGTGACGTTATGGAATGCAGTAAATGACATACCATTACAATGAAGGAATCAGTTGCAACAATGAAAAACACTAGCACAAATACAGTCATCAAAATTATAACACCAACACCACAAGGAATAGTACAAATATACAAGAGTGATTTTTTAATTAAAAATGTTTTTGAATAGAAAAAAAAGATAGTAAAAACCATTTTAAATAGCTAAGAAAATAGGATTTCACGTTTATTTTTTTTTGCTAAAACTTACAGTTACCTTTGTCTAATAAGATAAATGTACTAATAATTTAAGTACTACTTAAAGTCCGCATTGTATCATTTATAATCTTTACTACCAACAATTTGAATTACATCCTGTACAATTCATTTAGTACAATAAACAATTAAAATTGTAAATAATACAAAACAATTTTTTATTTTAAAAAATTTTTGTTATTTATATTTATGATTTAAATACATATGAAGAAGTGATGAAACCACTATTTTTATGCAATAATTGTTAACATATAATTCAAAACATTTTTGATAGTACTGTATGTCAGGGCTATTATGATTTCAATTGTAATTCTACAGAAGTAGAAATTTAATATAATAGCAACTTCAAAGTTTTGTAAAATTATGTAAAAAAAACATTACATAAACAATTGTATCAATTCATAAGGTTTTAATACACCCCTAAGTGTTCTTACGTAACAAAAAGTTGCAGTACATGAGCAATAATAAAAAAAATCAATCACTAATTGTAAAAAAAAATTAAGCGCGAAATTAAATTATTAAATAAAAAAAACTTTAATAAACAACTGTATAAAGAATACAAAGAATTGACATTTTTAATGATGCACGATACACAATCGGAAAAGGTCATTGAAAAAGAGAAAGGAATACAATACATGTTTATTTACAATATTAATTTCAATAAATTCAAATTACTTTAAAAGAATAAAAAAATTTCATTATTTTGTATGTTAATAGCCCAGATCTATACTGTATTACCCGAAAAAAATTGGGTTATGTTAACAATAATTTTTGTAATAGTGAAAAAAGCCAGTGTATCAAATAATTATAATACTTAAAGAAAATGTGCGAGAAGAACTTTGTACCATATTGAAAATAAACCAATCTTTACGAATGAGATAAATTTGAATAACAATTTTTTTTCTTTTTGAATAAAAGTCTCAGTTCTCAACTTATAATAAAGAGCATGACAAATCTGCAAAGTTCTTCATGACTAACAACTGATATGATAAGCCAAGAAATTTTAAGAAAATTAAAAACAATATATCTATAAAATTAACTCACATCGTTTGTTCTATGAAAACCTATGATATAAAATCTTTTAAAATCAAGTTTTTAAATTAATCTAAAAAAAATCACTTCGAGTTGTGTTCTTCAAAGTAATCAGCTTTATCATTAAAAACAAAAAAAAGATTAAAAAATATCTTCAATGTTTTAAATATATACCTATAATATTTATTATAAAGTTTCATACTTTTTAATTACGAATAAGTAATTTTATTCAGAAAATAATGAAATATTTTTTAATTATAAAGTTGTTGTTACGTAAAAAAAATCAAAATATATATAAATGAAATGTTTTTATACGAACATTTTTCTAGAAAGTTCTGTTGGACATTTTAATTGAATTTTAATCAATTAGAAATTATAAATGCAAATGACATAAATGCAGCAGCAGGTTTTCAAGTTAGTAGAAAAAATAAGTGAAATCGAAGTGCAGTGTGCAGTTTTATCAATAAGATACTAGTTAAAAACAAAGTATAAATTTTCTGTATGTGATTATTTTTTTAAATCATATATTTTAATTTTGCATGTGCACAAAAAATCTAAAAATATGAAATTTCAATGTTGTGCAATGTCAAATAAAATAAATCACTATAAGCTTGTAAAAAGCTAGCAATGCATTCTGGTTAAGAAAGCTGTTTTCTTTCACTGCAAAAGCAGAACTCCAAAAATAAATGTAGTCTTTACGCATCAGTGTTTGTGGCACAAAATAAATGCATTAGAATTAGAGCAAAGGAGAGTGTGGCCAAAAAATACACGTTTCCTACTTTTTATTAGATACATTAAAAAATATCTTTAATTAGAACTGATTTTAATTTGGGCAGAGAAAATCGAAAAAATGTATTCACTATATTAATTTAATTTTTTACCAATATTAATGTAAAAGAATTGACAAATACACATTTAACGGAAATAATAAAATGGACGCATGTGAAACAATATATCAGCAAACTTATCAATCAGCCTTCTGGTAAGGTGATATGATGATTAATTATACTTATACCAGCGAAATTTGAATGCAATTCCATCATTTTGCTGGCGATAAGGAACATGACAATCTAGTCTAATCATTATTTAAATAAATTGTGCTTTTATTACCGACATTGAACAGAACATCAACGCCTTTTTAAAGTTATGCAATGGAAAATCATCCTCGCGAAGTTACACAATATATTACAAATGACAAAAAATGTAAACCGATATATAGATACTAAATGAAAATTACAGACAACTCTAGAACTGTGTATTTTAAATCCAATCTTAAAAACTTTATTATATCTTTTAATTAAATGAAACCTTGACACTGATTAAAAACAATACCCCTGAACACTGAGAAGAAACAATGATTAATTGCAAAATAATAAATTGCAGATTTTGTAACAATTCGTGTGAATTAAAAATTACAATGAAACTGCATAGCAAGAATAATTAATTCGATTTCAATAAATATAAATAAATACCATATATTAATAATAATAGTTATCTTTTTTTAATTTTGTACTCCATAATTTGATTCATGTTACGAGATATATAGACAAGTCAAACAAATACTTATAATTTCTATGAATACTAATAATATTAACCTCTTTCTCTGAAAAAATTGGAACATATATACTAATTGATATATAGTATCGAATCGCGTTATTATAATTAAAAATAAATGGAGAAATATTCTCCAGATTCTAGAAAAGTGACTTTCATATACCGCTAGGTGTTAACGGATCACATTATATACGTTGAGAGCTCTTAAATCTGAAGAATAGAATACCTATAATATATACATTTTATGAAGGGAAAGAAATATTAAACTAAACCATAAACGAAAAATTACGTTGCATAATAAATAATGGATGATTTTCCATTGTGTCATAAATACTTTTTTTAAATATACAATTTCACAATCCGATTTCGTTATACTTACAATTTATATACGAAAATTTAATTCGTAATTTCGCCTTCACTTTATTGTCACTTTTTACTTATCGTTATGATAACAAATAAACTTTTTTTTAAATGTTATTAATTATTTATATTAATAGATGTCTTGAAAAATTATTGATACGATTATATTAGGAAAAAATGTCTTTGAAAAAATATTTTAGCCTTTTGTTTTTCAAGTTAGAAAAATCTATAAAAAAAATATTATATCAATAATAACAATTTTAAAAAATTTAATTGTAACACTAATTGGTCTTTACATATTTTTGAATTACATTGAGATTTATGGGTGTTAAAATATAAATGTATTAATTAAAAATTGAATTTTTAAACTAAAAATAGATATAAAGTGGATGCATCAGTAGGAAATATATAAAGAATCATGAAGAAACGAATGACATTTGAATGTTTGAATCCTTACTATAAGAATCATTAAAATTGAAATGCATACAATTAAAAAATTGCTATTACTATATAATTATGTAGTTGAACTATAAAAAGTAACTTTCTCAAAGTTCCCGTCGTCTATATAAATTCCGTGAAGCATGAAAAATACTAACTTCCGACAAAACGGTATTTCTGCATATGGCAGGGGATATAGGGATAATCCTCATACACTAGCTACAAGAATGTAACGAAAGAAGCAATTTTCCCATTCGTTAGACTATTATATTTTACAAATGCTGACATATGAAGTTGTAATTTTGCACAGTATGTGCATCCACCTTCAAATGGCTTGTCAATTTGATACACTATATTAAACTAAAATAACACCCTATATTCCTTGAATGTAGAAAAAAAAGAAATAAAATAAGCTGATATCAAATGGAATTTTACTGATTAAAATCATTACATTGTCAATGAAATTTTTACTAATTTCCTTTATTATTTTTAATTATGATAGAAGTTAGTTTCTTCTATCTTGTCTTGAAGCAATTAAAATTAATACAATTCTATTTTGTTTCAGTTCAAAGAGCCAAAGGATTGCTCACCAAAGGAAAACACAGTGAGTATAAGTTCAAAGATTCACACGGTTTATAAATTATTAATTATAAATAATAAAAGAATTCATTTACATTTAATATAGTGATTATATATTATAATTCATATAGTAATTATGATATTTTTTTAAGTTTAATTACTTATATAGATATAAGCTTAGGCAATTTTTTTTAAAGATTTTAATTTAATTACAAAAAAATGTCGATTAGAAACCTAAAGAACATGTGACAAATTTAATTAGTGTGGAGTCAGTGGCATTAGAGCACAAAGTAATTATCTAACATATGTGACAGTAGAGTATACAGAACAACTCAATTTTTAAAATAGACCAAGTGATATAGTTTTGAGAAAAATATAATTTTTTTATTCATATCATTCATAGTAAAAGCAATTTTTGCACGATGTGCCTCTACATATAAGTGTTATAATAAATAATAATTACTCAATATATTCGAAAGGTGATTTAATCAAATAAATTTTGATAAAGCTTAATAATGATAATGACCTCACAATTGACCGATTTAAACCCACACACACCGCCTCATGAATGATATATTAATGTTATTAAATGATATGATCGCAGAAACCAACGATTGCTTCGTGACAATATCGCTTGGCAAAGAAAAATATCAAACTTCAGTGAAAGAAAAAGCAAATGAAAATGTCGAATGGCATGAGGAATGCGAGCTACAAATCCCACAACAAGGAAATACTGCCGAGATTGTCCTAACAGCACTTCATCGCAATTTTCTAGGAGTCGACGAGTTTCTCGGATTAATTAGCATACCCCTTTCCACATTCGATGTTTACGAGAGACCCAAAAATCGATGGTAATCAATTAATTTACATTTTCCAGAATAAACATTTCATCAGAAAAACCCACCATCTATATTTATATATTTATATTTCACAAGCGAAATCTAACAATTAAAAAGAAATAATTAATAAATCATTAATAAACAGGTATACATTGAGGAGCAAACCAGGTAAGGAGAACACCAAGGAAAGAGGTGAACTCGAGGTGAAAATTGGTTTCATCGTGAAAGCAGGAAGTCTAACAGATCTAACGAGAAAGGAACGTCACAAAAGCTCTCTGGGACAATTGTCGACAGCCGCGCAATCAATAGGTGGCAGTTTATTGAGCATAGGCAGTCTCGAGAAACGAAAGGGTCTGAAAAAACTTGCAAAATCGATAGGAAACAAAGTCAAAGGCAAGAGCAAAAATAAACTCGATCATGATGATTTGGATGAACGAGATGAACATCATTTTCGACCAACTAGACAAGAGCCTGGCGAAGCTGATCCTGGTGTCATTAGTGAAGACGAGGATGAATTCACTGTAAGAAAAATCATCAATTTTAATTTTAAATTAATTTTTTTTTATTTACATTTTCAAATTTTAATCGAAATCTAATTTGTAATTTTCTATTTCAAGTTCGATGACCTGTCCCACAAGAGTTCAGCGTCATCTCTAAATGCCCCGACAATTGCGAATCCAACTGGGAATTCTAATAATAACAATGGAAACACGACAAATTTAACGAACACAACACAAAAAGTTCAAGCCATCAACGAAATTAATTCGTCGTCTCCTGTTTCAAATGTGGCACCAAATAAACCGCCGCGAACGGTAATCAATAATTCCCCATACTCACCATTGATAAAAGGAGAAAATCAAGAAGATGACGAATGGGGACTTAAACTTTATGGAAAGCAAGGTGGTAATGCCCTAAAAAGGTAAAAACCGCAGTATCATGAAACTTTCCCTATATTAACGTTTAAGAAAGTTGATTCACTCAAACGCACGTCTTTATTTAATTTAAAGAAGTTCATAAAAAAGATCAATTATCTATTTTTTTTTATTAATTCCCCCCTGACATCTTAATTAACACATTCGACCTTAAAATGAGAACTTGATTGTTTTTGTTCACAAAGCATAAAAACAAGGACAGTTTATGTTCTGTGTTATAAATTTTCATAAACTTGCATGTCAGTTGCATATTTATAATACAATTTATTATGGATTGCAAATTCCTGAGAAACACGCACAAGAACATAATTTGTAATTTTATTTTTAAACTTTAAAACAATTTTGTTTTCACTTATTAATTTAATTTAAAATACAAATTTGTGGAATTTTTATTTCCATTCTATAAAAATAATATACCTACTTCATCAGGAAAACAATTAGGATCCGAAAAATTTATATTTGAAAAAATAATGAATCAATAAGCGATTAAAATTTTCTTTTCAGATGGGAAAATAAATCTAATCCAAGAATTGTAGTGGAGGAAGCAAAAAATGAACAACATGAATTATCGCCAGTTTCTTCGCCATTGCCAGTTTCAAGATTTAGAGATACACCAGAGCCACCAAATCCAGCACCTCGTGAAATTTCTCTTCCAAAAAATAATAAAGAAGATAAAACGAATAAAAGTACCAAGGATGAAAAATTATTGACAAGAAGTCCGAAAGAGGAGAAAATATTTAAAAAAGATAAGAAAAAGGAGAAAGAGCAAAAATTCAAAGAATATAATGAAGATGGACGTTCATCAGCGGAGAGAATTATTATTGGTGGCGAGGACGCTACAAAAAATATTAATAACAAAAGTCGATTGCCACATGAAGTTCTTGCCCAATTTGAAGGAAAATCAAGAGAAGTAAGAATTAATTTTGTTATTAATTTAATTTCAAAACATTTTATGAATTTGAAAAAATTTCACTAAATGATGTGACGTAAATTAAAAACTTAATTTGTTTATTTAGGATTTAATAGAATTGACACTTCAACTACAGTCAGAGGTGTCAAACAACGAAAAACGTCTTCACGATTTGGAAAACTACATTGATGCCCTACTGCTTCGAGTGATTGAATGTTCTCCACGACTTTTACAAAACCCTTTTCAAAGTCAAAGACGTCTATCGTCACCAGGACATCAATAATTTTTAAAAATGTCCTAACTTGTCAAAAAATACGTCACGCGACTATTACCCTGGAATTAATTTGAGTCAAGTAAATATCTATAATTTTTTTAGACCCAATTTTCTTGATCTTTCTTGATTCACCAAAAATTAATTGGATTAAAAAAATTGTTGGGTAAATTTATTCAAGATTTATTTGCATGAAATCAATATTTTCCTTTTTAATCTAATTATTATTTAATAATCAAACAATTTTTGAGTTAATTAATTTTTCACTCCCAGTGTATAATTAACTTTAAACTTAAACTCTCTCGAATATCGTTATGTACCTCACTTGCTTAGAAAGATTATAAAAGTATCTAACTGCGCCAATAGTTTCAAACACTTGGAAGTTGAAAAAACAAAATATTAATTAACCCCAGATCCATTTAAGTGCCAATTAATTATATAATATGCGCAAAAGACTCTTGTAGCTTCCTAATAGAAATTTGCATCTTCCATGAATAAATAATCCGCAACTTTTTACCTCGTGGCAATTAAAAAGATTTTTTTTTTGCAAAATGACTTAAATTTTACTCCGTCCGAAAATATTTTAAGTTTATGTTAAAGGCAGTTACACAAACAATGTTAACCCTTATTGATTTAAATACTATGTGATTTTCGATATTTTAGTCCCGAGGGGTTCATATCATTTACTTAAAGTAATTCTTAGTGTTTATTTTGTTAATGTGAAAGAATTAAAAATGAAAATTTAATAGTGAGTCTACGAATAAACAGAATAAAAAAAAGTTACAAAAAATAGTGCCTTGAAGACGCGTTCTTTAAAAGTTACAAATATAAAAAAAATCTTTAAATTTTATGTTTACTCGATGTTTGTTAAGTTTATTAAAGTTGTAATTCATCGCGAATAATGAATTGCATTTCAAATTTTTATTTTGGAAAACAATTAGTTGTGTATGTAATCTAAGTTGTTATAAAAAATATTGTAAAAAGTTGCATTTGCACTTGATAATATTATTTTAATTTAAATGTATAAAATTGGCGTTTAATTGTAAAATATAATAAGCAATTAGTGTCAATTGTAAAATGTAACTTGTTGTTAATTATTTTTGTAATTAAAACAAGATATTCCTAATATGTAATTATTATTATTATTAAATCGAGTTCATAATTAAAAAAATTTATTCATTTCAAATTTAAGAAATATAAACAGAGAAAATTCATCAAATTAATATTTATTCAAACTTAATTAATTGATTTAATTTGCTTTCATTAAATTTTTTTTTTTGAATTATTACAACCTGTTTCTCTGAAATATATTGAAACAGGAGGGACTCACCAATTGAAGATCTCACGTGAAAGGAATTCTGGGAATGATAGATGATTTTTGTAAAATCCTGGCTGCTGTTTTTTCATCTTCGTTCTGTTAATTCAATCTTGGTTTAGATGTGGCAAATTAGTGATCTCTGCAAAGTTTTTGCTTCTGTTCGTCATAATTTTCAATCCTGTCAAGAAAGAACAAAATTAAATGAAACAAAAATATAAAATAAAAATTATACAAGATTAATTTTTCTAAACGAATATAATTTTATTTATTAAAAATATAACTTCTACATATAAGCGATATAAGAGTAATAACTTTGGGTAATTGGAAAAATTAATAACTAACCTAAAAAATAAAAGGATACCAATACACTTTTCTAACGTCGTCAAACGAAATTTCTGGACGTCAACATTATTCGAAGCGAAATTTTCCTTATTGAACAAAATTTCAAGAAATTTGCACTGTTCATTTTAACGCCGGAATATTCACTAATCTCCACAAGCAAAAATGAACTGAATGATGAAAACTTACCACTAAAAATTATCTACTCGTAATGCGAAAATGTTTCCTGAATATTAACCACCGCCATCTTGAAAAATTATAACATTGAAAAAGAAACTTATCTTTCACAACTCAAACAATTCAAGTTGTCAAAAAAAAGTCTTAACCTATTATGATAATATCAAGAATCAAATAACATTAACACCACAACAAATTATTACGAATTATTGATACAATGGGGAAAAACAATGTGTTGAGCAATGACACACGTGGGGCACGCTGTACTCGTCCTATGCATTTCCCATGTCATTAGGTATTGATTTACAGCATTTCGATAATATATGATATTTCTTGACCTTACAAATAAGTAAAACTTAAAACTGTTGTAAAAATGAAGAAAATTCACCTTTTTTTCGATGAAAAGTTGCGAGCTGACAAAGGATGCCGCCAACATGAACAAACACTTTAACAGGAATCAACTTGTATGAAACGGCAGGATCTCATGTGGATTTTAATTGGTTGAATTCTTACTGGCGGCAAAATGTCAAATTGTGATTAATGGACAAATTTTTTTAAATTACAATAAATTGTAAATATTGATTTTTTGTTATAAAATAAATAAATTATAAATAATTTATGTAACTAGGATAATGAAAAAAGTTTGTTTTAGCTAAAATTTAATACTTCACAGTCTTTGCATTTATTACTTTAGAAATATTTGGAATTATTAAATCGATACCGACAGCTGATAAATATAAGTAATTTTATGTTGGTAAACATGTCGTACCTAACTTCACTTTCGCATCGTTTCGCGGAAAATGTTCGCAGCGTGTTAAATTATCTTTGAATAATTTTCGTTTTATTTGAATAAAAATCATTTATTTTATAAAAATTATAGTTTTTTGAGGAGAAATGGCAAAAACCACTGTATCTGACGAAAATATTATTTCCAATGCATCATTCAGTAAGAAATTATTTCTATTTAATTTTCTCTACCGGCCATTAGAGGTTAATGTAACATTTTTATCAATTAAAGAACTATTTAAGTCTTATTTTATCTCTTTACCAAAAGAAAACTTTATTAAATATAAGTACCTTAATAATTCCTAAGTTTATTCTCTTTTCCTGTATTTTTCTTTTCGAATGTTAGAATTTTAAGGTTACTTTTTTCTTGGAGCAACTTGGTTATATGTTATGAATTACTTACAATATTCTTATTTATGGTGCAATAAATGATGTGAATCGAAAAATATTTCCTTCATTTACCTGAAATTTTTATTTATTATTTTTTTATTCACAAGTGACTCAGTGAACATGCAATCAGAGATTCTAATGATTTTTACTATAGAGGTTTTTTTTTAGTCTCATGACATTCATTTGGCATTCAATTAAAACAATATGTATAGATGGAAAGAATAGTAATATTTATAATATATTTTTAGCTCCACGCAAGACTGAGTCAACAACGGCATGTGCTGTAGTTTTATACGTATCGCAAGAAACTTGGTTAAAGTCCATTTTAGATGGTAACGCACCTCGAAATACAAATGCCGAATCTTCCGATGAGGAGGATGTTACCGATTATCAATTTGAGGATGATCTCGATTATCTACGATCATTGAATCCAAAGGAATGGAAAGATCAGGATCATTATGCAGTACTTGGAATTTCGAGTCTCAGGCATAGGGCAACAGAGGATATTATTAAAAGAGCCTGTAATTTTTAAACTTTATTTTTTAAAAAAGTATAATTTTTCTAAATATTTCTATAAATTGTTTGTATTTTATTTATTGAAATGTACATTTATTTGGTTTGTATAAAATTTTCTTATGAAATTTCAGATAAACACAAAATTCTAAAACACCATCCGGACAAACGTAAGGCTATGGGAGAAGAAGTTCGTGCTGACGATGATTATTTCACCTGTATAACTCGTGCCTGGGAAACATTAGGAAACACTACTAAAAGACGAAGTTACGATAGTATCGATCCATATTTTAATGACGACTTACCGGACGAGAAAGAGGCTAAGGACAGTTTTTACCAAATTATGGGCAAAGCTTTTAAAATAAATTCAAGATGGTCAGTCAAAAAAATCGTACCCCGTCTTGGTAATCCTAGTACGTCGAGGGAAGCTGTAGAAAAATTTTATTCATTCTGGTACGATTTTGAGTCGTGGAGAGAATACTCATATCTAGATGAAGAAGATAAGGAATCTGGACAGGAGTGAGTATAGAATGAAATTTTTTATTTATTATTAGCAATTTAATTGTTCTTGAAATGATTTTTTTTATTCATTTAATTAAATTTCAGTCGCGATATGCGCAAGTGGATCGAGAAAAAGAACAAAGCAGCGAGAGCAAAACGAAAGAAGGAGGAAATGACGAGGATACGCTCTTTGGTTGATATGGCATATAATTTAGATCCACGAATTAAAATGTTCCAACAACAAGACAAAGATCGTAAGACTGCCGTGAAACGAGCGAAACAAGAAGCCATAAAAGCTAAACAAATGGAAGAAGAACGTGTCGCACGAGAAATGGCCGAAAAAGAGAAACAGGAAAAAGAGAAACGCGATTTAGAAGAGAAAGCGAGACAAGATGCACTCAAACAGGAGCGTGAGGCACAGAAAAAAGCTTTACGCAAAGAACGAAAAGCCCTACGTGATTTTTGTAAATCGAAAAATTATTTTGCTGAAAATACCGAGGAAAATATTCGTCATATGGAAAGTGTTGAAAAAATTTGCGAACTCTTCAAATTAGTTCAATTAGAGGAAACAATGAAAAAATTACATGCAAATGGTAAAAGTGCATTTTTGACTATAATCGCCGAAACGGAGCAAAAAATTGCTGCTGAAAGAAGAATTGGTATAGTGTCTGATACAAAGAATACTCTTGAGAAACAGGTCAAAACATGTAGTGCACCATGGTCTGAAAGTGATTTACAACTTTTAATAAAAGCCGTGAATTTATTTCCCGCCGGTACCAGTCAACGTTGGGAAGTTGTTGCAAATTTTATCAATCAACACAGTAATGTTGCGAATAGTGTGAAACGCGATGCCAAGGAGGTTCTAGCAAAAGCCAAGGACTTACAATCAACGGACTTCAGTAAATCGAGTCTCAAGGAGCAAGCAAATAAAAAGGCATTCGACAATTTTATTGCCGACAAAAAAGCCAAAGATAATATTGATGAAAAAATGCCAGCAGTTACCGAGAGATTGGATCCAATTTCAAATGGTGTGACGAACGAGGATAAGGATACGAAAAAAGAAATGCAACCGTGGACAATTGCTGAACAAAAACTTCTCGAACAAGCACTAAAAACTTTTCCAACCACTGTGCCCGATAGATGGGATCAAATTGCGAGTTGTATACCATCTAGAACAAAAAAAGAATGTATGAAAAGATGCAAGGTAAATATTTCTTTTCGAATTTAAATATTTTTATTAAAAATTTTTAAATAAAATAAAATCTAAAATTAATAAATTTGTATTATTTTGCAGGAATTGGTAGAACTTGTTAAAGCGAAGAAAGCAGCTCAAGATTTAAAATAATGTTGACTTTTATTTAAAATTAGAATTGTCTCATAATTTATTAAATGACAAAGAAAAAGCATTACCGGTGGATGTCGTCTCCTCTTAGGAAGTAAATAGGGTTTGCAATTATTCGATTCAATAACATTTTTTTAATTTAAAAAAGTGTTATAAGCTATCCGCATGTGCAGATGCTTTACAAATGAAATTTTCACGCGAGTAAGAAAATTTCAATAATACGCGACTTTGCTTATTTTGACTCTTTATAATAGTGAAAACATGTTTACTGTTGACATTCATTTTTTTACCGTCAGAAGTCTAAAGCTAATGGAAACAATTTTTTTTTAATTAAAAGAAAAGAATATATATATATACATATGTTTTTAAAAATTATTTTTGAACAAAATTGGAGAGTGTTATAATAAATTTTTTCTTTTGGACATTTTTTGAATCAATTTTCCAGCTAAGACTATTTGACAAGTGATAATATATAAATCTCGTATAACGGAAATCTACGATAGTTATAATTTGCGATTATGAAAATGAAAAAGATATTTTACAATTATTTCAATTTTCATAATGAATTGTTAACATGAAATTAATTAAAATTGACAAGAAAAAGGGGAATTGTTAAATTGAAAATAATATAAAAAAGAGGAAATTTTTTTCATGGATTCATAATATAATGTTTTTTATAGAAAATAATACACAGTTATATAAGATAGTTGAAATCCTTATATTTTAATTTGACACATTTTCGACAACAACATCAACAACAACAAGTTTTGTGTTAGTTTTTTTTCGTATTCGACAAAAATGCTATTCACAGTTCCTTCAGTGTAATCCCCCAGGAGAAAAATTTTTAAAAAACGATGTAAATTTAATTACAGGAAAAATATAGTAAACTAAAAGTACTTTTAATTTTATATCTCTCAATCATTTGTTTTTGAGTTCCCTAATTCTTTATTAATCTAGGGGGATAAAAAAATAATACTCAATCTGTTATATGTAAATAATTTGTCAATTAAAATCAATTATAAAAAAATTAGAAGGTAACGTCGGCAGTTTACGATTTTCAAATGTGCGCGTGACATGTAGGTACTTTTTTTATGTGCGCTTCTCTTTTTTTTAAGCACCCGCACGTACAAACATTCAGTTATTTAATTCTTTTAATCGTATTATTCATTTCTTTTCACTTTCATTTTTATACATAAAAAAAACTGAATGGGTAACGTCCACTGCTTTTCGCAGTTTCTACCAAATATTATATACAGAATAAGTCTAAATTTGATAGCGACACAATTTTAAATTGAAATATGGGGCAAATATATTTAACTTTTATAACTTGAAAATAATTTATTTAATTAAATTAAATTTACTTCTAAGTAAATTTTGAATAATTTGAATGAAATGTAAACATTTTTCTGTCGCTATCAAGACTTGAGACTCAAGACGAATATTATAATGATTTGAATCTCATTAATGACTCGTTTTTAATCAACAATGGTTCTTACGAAAATATCTCAATGTCGTTTCGTGTGCCACATTGTTTTCATATGGGACGCACAACTTGTTGCGGTCAAGAGAATCTATAGATAATTGAATTATTATTTGAAATTGGTATGAGAAGCTTCTTACACAAACTTTGTACATGTGCCTTAAATGGTAGAGCAATTTTTTTTTTACAAATTTCAAATATGAATCAAATTTCTTAGAATTGTATGTTTGTTTTTACAAGTTTAAACTTTTTTTGTCTTGTTTTATTTGTACAAAAATTTTTGGAATGTTAATAGTGCGTGCCCTAAGAAACTTTGCAGCTCATTTAAAGTGATCGTTGATATTTAATTATTGAATTTTCAATAAGGAATAAAAGCTGTTGAGTTTACAATAAATAGTTTTTGAGTGCTAAAATATTAACATGTTACTCTCTCTGTTTAATAAAAATTGGACGGAGATAAATAATATAAAATCAAATAATATTAAAATTTAATTAATTTCATATTCTTTATTATAATGCAAGATGAAATATAATTTTTAAATTTAAATCTGTCCAATTTTTTTAACAGGACTTTTTGGTCGTCAGTTTTTTCAAACTTTTTGTGCTATTTTTTGCAATATTAATATCGCATTAGAATCTTTTTTATTTAAGTACAGATTTACAAAATTGACTGCAGAATATACACAATATAAATTAGTAGTCTTGAATGAGATTTTGATTCGAAATAAATTGTATTAATTTCAAAATATTTCTCTAGAAAATGTTCTCGATGGTATAAAAATTCATTGTTAAAAAAATACAATGAATAGTAGACATTAAAGTTATTTTTAATAAATAATTCTACGTTCATGGAAACGTTCTTTAAAAATAAATTTAAATTCGAATATTGTGATTTTCGTCAGAAGAAGTGGCAAAATCTATTTCTTTTTTTGTCATTTAACTCTAATTATATATTTATTATAAAATAGAAAAATTTTGCTAATCGATTTTCGATTTATTGAATAATATTAATCATTTAAAGTATTTTGTGCTTTAAAATTGGTCATGAATTATGTTTCTTGGGAAAATAACAGAATAAACAAGATGCATAAATATAATCATACGAAATCGTAAAAAGCAAAAATAGAGACTTCTGATAAACACGTATTTTGAATACATATTATAATAATAAGTGACAAAAGTGCGCATTAAAACGTAGAACAATTTGTATATGGGGCATTCTATTTCAAACCGTACCACTAGCAAAAGACTAACGCTTGTAGAGCACTTTTGAAATACAATTAATTATATTAAAAGTTCTTTAAATGTAAAATGTAATTAATGATTTGGAAAGAGAATTTTTCAAGCTTTTAAACGGTACTAAGCTTTTTTTTAAAAAAAATTTCTTTCTTATTATAATTTGCATTTAAAAACTTCAATTAATAATATCTCAAAACATGCCATCTTCAATTTCGTTAAAAATTGTATAAAAAGAAAGCTTAGATATTCTAGTATCTATTATCCAAATATTATAATGGGCTTTTCAGTAGATTGGGAAAAAAAATCAAAATAAAAAATCGTTTTAATGAATTTAACAAAGAATATGAAGTCAGGACGTAACCTTTTTGAATCCTACGTCACAGTCAAATTCATTTGTTTTTCTTTTAAAAATATTACTTTGCAATTAACCAAGAATTAATGGTTTTTGTCAAAAACTTGAAATAAAACTATGTGAATTTAATTTTAAATACGGAGTATAATTTTAATATTTCACGTTAATATGTCTAGCGTACACTACGATAGATGCGTAAATCCGTTTAAAAAAGGAAATCATGGTCGAGGAAAGCACTTAAGATATATTTCGTCAAATATAAAAATAAAATTTCCAGGCATTACTGATAAAAGATTGAAAATTTGTAATAGTTGCCGAAAGCAAATTTATTCGTTACCGAATACGTTAGAATCTTTGGAAAATTTTTCAAGTGAATACATAAATTATAATGATTTTAGCTTTTTAAAAAATTCATATACTCAAAATAAGTAATATTTTTAATTTTTAGTCACAAATGGAGTCGAATCAAATAATTTAAATGATGACAATTTAGTGGAATCTCCAAAAAAGACAAAATTTCAAAGCTCTAAAAAACATTTCGAAGCGGGTAGTGAAGTTTTACAACAAATCATTGAAAAATTTCAAGAATCTACTTCTGCAGAAGAAAAAATTTTGCTCTTAACATTGGCGCCGAAATCTTGGGGATATCGAAAATTATCAAAAGAATTTCATACAACATATCATCAAGCCAAAAAAGCAAAAAAAATTGTTGCAGAGCGAGGAATTTTATCCCCACCAAACTCAAGAGCAGGTCATCCTTTATCTTCTGAAACTGAAAGTCTTGTTAAACAATTCTACGAATCTGATGAACACAGTAGGGTAATGCCAGGGTTAAAGGATTGCATTTCTGTCAAGCAAGCCGATGGTTCGCGTATTTCAGTGCAGAAACGATTGCTTTTAGCAAATTTATCAGAATTGTTTGAAGTGTTTAAAGCGGAAAATGCTAATATAAAATTGGATTGGCAAAATTTTGTCAATTAAGACCACCCTATTGTGTATCAGCAGGATCTAGTGGTACACACGTAGTCTGTTTTTACACACCATGAAAATGTGAAGCTGATGATAGAGGGATCAAAAATAAAAAATTGACTGAAAACTCAGAAAACAGGTTAACGAATTATCAAGATTATATAAATTTAATTATTTGCAATGACCCAATGCCTGCATGTCATTTAAACGAATGCAAAAAATGTCCTGGAAAGAAAAGAATAGAAGAAGTTTTAAAATCAATTTTTGAAGAAAAAAAAGTCGATAAAATTGAATATCAAATTTGGCAAAATACTGACAGGACGACTATCAAAACGGAAGTTGAGAATGTCAATGGCTTTATCAAGAATTTTGGAGAAAAATTATTAAAGTTAAAAGTGCATGATTTTATTTTAAAAAATCAATTATCTTTTTTAAAAGAAAAAAAAGAAAATTTGGAAGAAGGCCATTTTTTAATACAATTTGATTATGCCGAAAATTATGCTTTTGTAGCACAGAATGCTGCTCAAGCATTCTACTGGAATAATAACCAGGCATCCTTATTTACTGTGGTAATTTATTACAAAGAAAATGGAAAGCTGATGCATAAAAGTATGGTTATAATATCGGATAACCTAAATCACGATACGATGTCGGTATACCAATGTCAAGAGTTGATCATTTCTTATCTTAAAGAAAATTTTTCTCTCAAAAAGATTATTTATTTTTCTGACGGTGCACCACAACATTTTAAAAATAAAAACAGTTTTTTAAACCTTAGACTTCATCTGGATGACTTTGGAATTCCAGCCGAATGGCACTTCCAAGTAACGGGTCATGGTAAAGGTCCATGCGATGGAATAGGTGGAAATCTAAAATGTCAAGCCAGGCGTGCAAGTTTGCAAAATAAATCTGACCAGCAAATATTGTCAGCATTTGCACTTTTTAAATGGGCTGAACGACATCTACCTGAAACGGAAATTAGATTTATTCCGAAAAATGTTTACGACACAAACAAAAACGATCTCGAGGAAAGATTCATCAATGTTTCAACAATTCCTGGAACACAACAATACCATTCATTTATTCCTATCTCTAATAATGAAATGATTTTGAAGAAATTTTCATCCTCTAATGAACACACGATTTACTCCGCACAAAAATGTCGTCCACAAAAGCGTTCAGCACAAAAACCCCTTACTCGAAAATGTTCGAAACGCAGAAAAACGTAATTGTTACTGGCCGTTTAAATTTTTTGGAAGATTTATAAATTCCTCTTTCTGTTAAAAATATTTAATTCAAAATAAATACAAATAAAATCGTTATGATCAAAGTGAATAAGTCTGTTATTTAAAAGTTTATTTAATTGTAACTAATATTATTTTAAATTACTGTAAAATATTTATTTTTCTAATAATAATAATTTTAAAAATTGTTTATTTTATTAACGTGTACAATTTAGCCTAAAATTGAAAATGATATTTAATTTACTATGTTATTAATATAATTAAAAATAATGAAAGACGTATAAAGCAAAGTCATTAAAGAAGATATGTTTAAATTATTTTTTTGCATGTTGATTTTGATAAAGTGATCTTCTTAACATAATTTAAAAAAACAAATGAATTTGACTGTGACGTAGGATTCAAAAAGGTTACGTCCTGACTTCATATTCTTTGTTAAATTCATTAAAACGATTTTTTATTTTGATTTTTTTCTCCCAATCTACTGAAAAGCCCATTATAATATTTGGATAATAGATACTAGAATATCTAAGCTTTCTTTTTATACAATTTTTAACGAAATTGAAGATGGCATGTTTTGAGATATTATTAATTGAAGTTTTTAAATGCAAATTATAATAAGAAAGAAATTTTTTTTAAAAAAAAGCTTAGTACCGTTTAAAAGCTTGAAAAATTCTCTTTCCAAATCATTAATTACATTTTACATTTAAAGAACTTTTAATATAATTAATTGTATTTCAAAAGTGCTCTACAAGCGATAGTCTTTTGCTAGTGGTACTGTTTGAAATAGAATGCCCCATATGTATATTTTTTAAAATCAGACTTATAAGTTTGAGAAATATATAATCATTATAAAAAGAAAAATTCCATTTCATTTCAAAATTATTGAAGTTTCTGTGTCAATAAAAAAATGATAAGAAAAATGGATAAAATACAAAGAAACAGACTTTTGAATAAAATGTCATAAAAGGGATTTTATAAATAATTGTGCATTATTATAAAGTTCATATAATAGTTTCTATTATTATTTTAGTGAAATTCGAAATGTTTCTACTCTCTAACACTTGAAAATCTTGAGACTGAATTTTCATAAAAATGATTTAAGTACAATTAGACATTTTATTAGTATTAAAAAACTTCAATTTGCACCTCTTCGTTGAAATTCACCTTTTTTAGAGAAAATAAGGAATTTGCGGCGTCTGTTTATTTCATTTTTATCTGAAAACTCTTGTTTTTTATTGAATTATTTTTACCTTATAAATCGATTTTCGCTGCCTTGTAAATCAGAGCCGATTTTTTCTAGAGTAATCTCTAGATTAATTTTATATTTATGAATAATATATATAAAACGATTGCTAGATATCCTGGTAAGAAATACGTTGAAAAAATGAATATGAAATTCACAGTCTATATTAATAGGAATAAGATTATTTCAAACAATAATTTACAATTTTAACAAAGTCTATTTTTTTCTCGATTTCGGGTTTGAAATCCTTAACATAATTAATTATTATATATTAGAGTCAAAACTGTGAAATTGAATAGAGATACGAAAGTCTATCGATAATGTACTCTTATTCAATTTTCATGGATGTTTACGGTATTCATTACAACTTCCTTCATTGTTTTTCGCTTGCTTTGATGATCAAACAAAGTTACTGGATCGTGAAGATTTAAGTTAAAAAAATGAGAGTAAAATATCAATTTAAAAATATCGACAAACGAATATTAAAAAATGAAATGAAAATATTGTTCGTAATTGTTTGATCATCGAAGTTATTATAAAAGTTTTTGCTAATAATATATTGCGAATTGCACAGGAATTCTTTTTGGGTTTTTGAAAGTATTTGAATTAGAATGTTCTTTTCACATTGACATCGAGTCATTTACTTCTTCGGAACAGTACGCGCGATGTACATAATATACAATAGTACTTAACAAATTGGTAAAAGTCTTCGCTGGTCCGAAAGAAGTTATATTAGATACTTAGGCACTTGTTATCTCATCTATGATCCATCTTACAAAATAACAAATAATACGAGACTATGAGCTTGTTCACTGATTTAATATTTTTTTCAATATCTATTTTAAATATACTTCCGAATATTTAAAAAATGAAATAATTAATTCAAATCAACATTTTAGTGTAGTTTGGAATCAATTATATAATTAATTGTTATTTGAATAGTTGCAACATTTTTTAAATTATATTTATTTTATGAAAGAAAAATGAGTTAATAATCTATTTGCAAAATCCGTGAAGAAGCTTCCATCGGGACAATTTCTTTATAAATATGCTTAAAAAATCAAAGAAATTTCATAAATTTTACCATTAACAAGTATTTCAAAAATAAATACAGACAATTTGTCATATTACAATCTTGATTTATATTTAATATACATTTCATTATTATGAAGTTCGACACATTAAAAAAAACTATAACAGAAATAAATGAAATTTTCTATGCATAAAATTGTTTTTTGTTATTACTATTTATTATTTTATTTATTACCTAATAAAAGTTGAAAATTATTTTAGTTAATAAAATTTCAAATATATTTCTGAATTAACTCTTTCAATTTATAATTATGTTTAAATTCAATAAAAATAAAATTTTAATTAATTAAAATAATAATAACTTTCAAACAATGGAAACTTTAATTTTCCATCGAATGTATGAGAATTTATTTCAAAAATTAATAATAAAATTTCTAAATAAACCCCAATTTCGTAAAAAGCATCCAAGTTTTTTCGATCTCTCAGAAACGTCTTGGCTCATTACTGGCACACAATTTGAGACATTATAAATTAAGAGACTGTACACTTTTGACGCTATTACGAACTACATATTTGTATATAATGTATCTGATCTTTCGCTTTATTTTTATAGTTTGAGGATTCGTTTATGTTGATGTGTATGAATACATTTACCCAGGGAATAAAAGCGCATTACTCATTTTTTTCTAATTGTCTCTATACAATATTTTAATCAACTCACCAAGTGAAATTATTTAAACAATTATTAAAAGTAATATATTTTTACATATTACAATATAAAACTTTAATATATTTATATAATAACGTAAATATACATTATTTTTTATTCTATAAAATCTTTTTTATTGTTACATATTGTAACAAGTAATTTATAATTCAATTATTGTTATTCAAAAAAAACCAATTTATATATAATCAACATTTCAATTAATAACTCAATAAAATTTTATATAGCTTAATTAGTTTAATAAATTAATTTTCCCTAATTCAATACATTAAATTCTGATTTAATAAATTTAGTTCTAATTTAATAAATTCACTTCTTGTCATTCAATTTTTCTAATTCAATAAAGTCAATTCTTGTTTAATACTTTTAAGTCTTCTATTTACATAGATAACATGTTTGTACAATTTAATTGTGTACCATAATATTAACAATCGTAAATTAATTTCATTTTCAATTAATTAATTATCATTGATTTAGATAATGCGTTTTCATTCGCCCCGTTAGTAAATAGCGTGCAGTGTAAAAAAAGCAGAAGTTAAAAAATTTTTCGGAAAATTAATTTTATATCTCGTATTTAAAATTGACGTTTGTTTAATGATGAGGAAAAAATTGAATTTATTTTACACTACACCCTTATGGCGATGGGTGTATTTTATATATTACAAGGTGAAATAATCTCTTTGTACCTTTGGAGGAATACGATGCTATATTGGAGAGGTGTTGAATGACATTAGAAACGTTATTAGAAAATGTAAATCTACTGACGTCCAAGTTTTTAATGGAAATTTTTGAAAGAACCAGCAAAGTCCGGGAATCATTTATTATTACTTTTTTTTATACGAACATTAACACGCAACTTTTGGCGAGTTAATAACGATTTAACAGTCCTATGTAACTACGCTCTTGGTCGAATTATGATTTTAAAAAACGGTACAAAATACGTTGCTGTTACAAAGCTCGGTTCGTTCGTCAAATTCTCTAAAAGGGTTGTTTGTTTCTTTTTGCAAATATTTTGTGTACCACTTTTAAAAAGAATGCCTGATCTGTCGATGATCATTGACATTTTGACAAACGAGCTTGTTGTTGACGAACTTACAAATTTAAACTCCTTTCAATAATAATCAATGTCCTTATCCTTGTTTTTCAGGCAATTAAACTCTCGTTCTCCATTAACAACCACAATAAAAGTTCGATATTCAGAATTTTTATTCAAAATCGAACAGTTCATAGTAAAAAGTTACTTCATGTAACTTATGTAGTCGTCATATATATATAATTATCGTCAATTTCGATAGACGATTAGCAAATAAAAAAAAATACCACTCGATCATTAAAATCAATCCCGATTGGAATCGAAAGTCACGAATGACGACGTTTTTCTTTTTTGGGTTACACTGTGTAACGAAAAGAGTAGCCCAAAATCCGGATTCATTCCTGATCCGGTTTGTTTTATTAAAGACAGGTTTGAAGAAACACGCTTTGCGCGCGTTTTCACTAGTGCTAAGATGGAGGCTGTTGCTGATGCTGCTGCTGTTGTTGCTGATAGGTTTGATATTGCTGTTGAACTTGAGACGGAACTGGCTGCTCCTGCAGTGGCTCATAACCAATTGCTTGTTGACCCTGATTATACGACGAATTCCAATGCTGATCCATTCCCTGTTGTAGTTGATAGGTCAATGGTTGACCTCTTCGTTCTTGAAGCAATAACTGATGAGCCGCTCGGTCCATTTCCTCTCGAGTCATATCCATCGCCTCCTGCATCTCTTTTGATGTGTATCTTACAAATTCTGGGTCGCAATATTTTCCTAAACCTTGTTCTACAAGCACCTGAAATAACAAACCAAAAATGAATGAATATTCTAGAATATAAAATGCTTATTTAATTGAATTTTGAAAAACTTTGAAGAATTCATTCCAGTTAAGCGGTCGTCAAATTTAATTAACGTACCCGACCAACGAGACTCTCAGCACTTCCAATAACTTCAAAATTCGGTTTCCGATCAGCGGGACTTCCGGGTAAGCTGTGTGATAAGCGCTCTGTACCAACACTGCCATTACTTTCTCCAGCCCAGGAAACTGATGAACGAAAAATCCAATTAAAATATATTTCTAATTTATTATTTTCATTGCTGCGTTTCTCATTATAAGTTCAACCTCATACAACTCTCAGTGTTCATTTTTATTGTCTTTTTGAAACACAATTTTTAATTTAAACAAATTATTAATAATTAATTTATTAATAATAATAAATTATATTTAATTTAGTGTATAAATATGATGTTAATTATTAATGAATACTATATGAGTAAACATTTAATGAATTTAAAACATTTTTATATAGCTGATGAGAGAGCAAATAGTAGGAGATTAATCTTATTTAAGAAAATCATGTTGGTTAAAAATTTGTTAATTCCACAAAGCTGCAAAGCCAGCTCAAAAAAGCACATGCAAAAATATTAATACACGGAACCAAAACGAACTGAATGCAAAAGAAAATGACAAAAGGGATTTGGTAAATCAGGATGCTACTCTTGTGAATTTTTTCAACTTAAATATTTTCAATAGTTTTTTCAAATATCCTGAAAATAAATAAAACTATAACTTTCTTAATGTAAATATTCGTCCACTATCCTGAAAACAGATAAAATTATAACAAACTTAAATAATCAAATTTTGAATATCCTGCAAATAAAGAAATTTTAACTCAAATTTTTTTAAATGTTTTGAAAGATAATAAAATCATTTAGTTATTTCTGAATCAAAAATCATTTTCCGAAAGAAAAAATAAAGTTTGGAAAAATAATTGGTTTTTTTTTGTTGAAGACAACTATAAAATGAGAGATGAATATCTACAGTGTTTAAATGAAAATGGAAAAAAAAATTGAATTTAGTCACCTCTGCCGTGATAGGAAGCTCGATGTGAAAAACAAGTATCACAGACCTTCCACTGTCGGGAATCGACATCTGCCAGGAATCCAGTAATGGCAATTGCCTGATTTTGTGCCAATTTGAGACCATTTGCAACAGTACGACCGCTGGCCTGAGTTCCAGTTCCTGATTCACCTTGAGACAAATTACCGGCCTGGCGAAAGGAGGAAGATTTCCTCCCGGTTAACGCTTCTCGTTTTTGTTGTCGCGAGAGACGGGATGACGATTTTCTTGGTGGTCGAACCCACCCTTCGCTATCACCATTTCTTCTCCCGGATCCACTTGACGCACTTTCAGCCGATGAATCATCGTCGCATTCAACTACGGCTAATTAAATTACAATTAATTTCGTTATCTACTAAGATATATATTTTATAACAGAGATTTTTTCGAACAAAAAAAGGTTTCCATTGAATTTTCTCCAATATGAAAGTACTAAAGAAATTTAAGATGAACTTGAGTGGAAAATATTTATATGTGTATAAAACTAAAAGAAAATTTTCTTAGAAAAAATTTAAAAGGAGAATACTTTGAAATGAAGATAAAATTACTTTATAGACTCCATTGGACAATATTCTTATCAAAGGAGAAGATTGGAAAATATTTATTTCCAATTCAAAAGAATCTCTTTTAGCATCTCTATTTCTTCTAAATGAATATAATTTCAAATAGAAGTATATTTTCGAGAAATTTATATTTTATTTTTCATATACTTTGCTGCGATACAAAGAAAATGTTATTTTCAAGAAATATTTTCCAAAAATTTCAAAAACTAAGATAGGAATTAAAATTTCTTTAAAATTATATAATTCAATTTACCGTGATTGTTCCAGACTGCACAATCGACGCAGCATCCTCTTGTCGCATAAGCATAGTAACAAGCTGCAGGACCTCCATTCGTGGAGGAAGCAGGACTGGGACTTGTTGCTGTTGTTGATGATGATGTCGTACTCGTTGCAGTCGTGACGCTCGTCGACACCGTTGTGACGGTCGTAACGGTCGTCGTGGCTGTGACGGTGACAATAATATTTGCGGGCGGAGGTGGGTTCCTTCTTGGAGGAGGTGTGGGTGGCGTCAACTGCCGCTCGATTCCGTCCTGAAGACTGTTCCGAGTAGCAAAACACCACCATCCCTTAATATGTTAGTACGAAAAAAAAACACAAAGCCAATCTCGCCTGCCTCGAAAACTCCGAATCTTTTCCAAATGCTTCTCTCTCTCTCTCTCTCTCTCTCTCTCTCTCTCTCTCTCTCTCTCCTTCACTCTCTCATTCAAATTTTATCATTTTTAAAAACTTGTTTACCTCAATTTCAGAATATATGAAGGCAATTTATTTGGGATATTTGTTTTAGAAAAGGAACACAACTAAAAAATATTTAAATAAATATTTAAAAGCTATTTGCCAATAAACATTGCCTGTAAGCTTATTGATATGCGTATGATGATAACGTTTGTGGCAATTATTTTTGTCCATTGAATAAATTCTAATTAACAGCTGCAAATATTAGCAACAATGCTGTGACTCGTTTATATAATATATATATATATATATAATAAAATGACAATAATAAAATAAAAAAAAATTTGTTCTTGACACAAACTAATTGCAAAGTGATTTTATTGCATCAAAATTTGAAAATAGAAACTGTTTTTTACAAGTATTTACAACCAGAAAAAAATTTCGAATTAACTTTCCATTTAAAGCACGAAAAAATGGTGCAACGATCGGAGCGTTCGGCGGCGAGTTATAGTTTAAAAAATATTACAGATTTTGAAGCATAGAAGAGAAAACTATTTTTTATTATTTGCGCAGCATTCTTTTAATCATGCATATTCACATGCTTAAAATGTTACTTTTTTTAATCGAAAATTACATTTCTTTTCTAAATACAATTTTTACGTGAAATATAAAAATGAATTCGATCAAAAGTAATTAGTATTTTGACGTTATTTACCAAATAGCAGTTAATGTTGAAAAAATTGTAATGTCAAAAGACATAAATTTTTACTATTTACTAAATAAATAATCATTTTAAGAAACAATAATTTTAATGAACTATAATTTAAATAAACAATAATGTAATTTAAATTATTTATTGTTTAAAATTGTTTTTCTCAAAAATCTTTTTAATTTTCAACATGAACTCTTAGCAGATTTGACAACAGTGAACTTAATTATTGTGCCCAATAATTATAGGCATGCTTTTTTCTAAAAATACTCTTCTGTGGTTCAAAATTTTCTAAGATGGAAAAAATTTATTACAAGAAACAGTAAATATTTCTAAACTTCATAACAAGAAACAAAATATTCAATACATTAGTAGATTAATTAAAAAAACATTTAAAAAAACCAACAAACAAAAGAACATGAAAGCTTTTACATGCAAAGCGAATAGCTGGCTGAAGCAAACTGGCAATTGAAATTCGCTGGAAAAAAGTCATGAGTTCCCTATAAAATTCTTACCATATTCGGTATTTGGATGAAGATAGTTACCGCTACCTGGTCCACTGAAACGTACGACAATGAGCAGACGCATAGAATAACGAGAAAATAATAAAATATAAAATATTTTTGAAAACCCCTAAGGAAATTATCAGAATTTCCGTCATTCAGTTCGTCTGACTGTAAATATTTAAAAATTAGAGATGATGACAGAAAAAATGACAAATTTTATGTGAATAACATTGATGTAAAATATACAATGAACAGGATTTTCTGCAAATTTCTAATAGTTTTGAAAAAACAAACAAAAATGAATAGTAGCCAGGGCAGTGTATAACATTAAAAATGTCACACGTGAAAATCCTAAAAAGATCCATGCGAGACAAAATATATTTTATGATTTATGTCATAAAAACTAAAAAGAAATTACGTTTTTTAAATTTGAAAACTTTACATTACATTATAGAAGAATGCTGAAATAACATTTAACCAACTATTAATATTGTAATTTACATTGTCAATTTTTCATAAACATGAATTTATCTGGAAAATGGAAATCAGCAAGAACAATAACAACAAATTCTGACAGATCCACAATTTCTTCTATAGAAAAAAAGAAATGCTTGTTTTGTATATCTTTAATGTGAAAAGTGGTTGTAAATAATGTTCAGTCACTGCATTGAAATGTTTCAATAATTTGTACCTAAATAAATAATAAATCAATCAATTACCTGATAAAGTAAATTATCAGTTTATTGACCAATCGAATTAACTGATTAATTAAAGTCAATAAACTAATGAGACAAAAATAATCAGTTAACTGCTTAATTATTAACTAAATTCGTGAAAAATTATTGTGAAATATTTTTGTTTTTTATAGTAACAAAAATAAAGTGTGTGTGCATGAGATATTTGAATTTCTTCAGCTATTGTGTAAAAAGCTGTAATTCGCTTTAATTTTTTTTGAAATCTGCGTTATAGAGATATATATGAAAGAAAATGATAATGATAATAGCCATAAATACCGATGCTTCTTCGGCATGCACTACACATCACGTTACACGAAAAAAATGATCAGATTTACGCAAAACCGAGGTATGTGACACAATAACTATAACACGACTTTTATTTTATCTCTATATATATATAGATATAGTAATGAAATAAAACGTTCTTTTTTCACTTACTCGAGTACTTTATATGCAGTTTGATAATTTGTTTGCTGACCAGGAACACTAAAAACCGCGAGTGGTCTCAATGGAATATTTTCCTCGACTCCAGTCAGTTTTGGATCAATTCCCATTTGATTCATAGTAGTGTCACTCATGCCACTGAACAAATTTATAAAAATCCATTTAATAGTTGAATTTTTTTTTCAAGGACAAGAAATAAAAACATAAAATAAAACTAAAAAAATTTTGAACTAAAGACTAAGGAAGAATTTTTATGTGAAATATTATACCTTCCAATGTTTGGCACCACTTGATGGGACCTAGCAGTAACTTGATTTGTAGCATCGTGCTTTACTCTGCGTAAGGAAGCGTACGGCAAAAAGTCTATAGAATTAGTCGGTGAAGTCTGAAAGAGACAAAAATAAATATTTTAAAAATTTAATTTCAAGAAAAATGTTTTAGTAATTTTTTTTTTTTAAATAAAGTAAATGAGAAAGGAAATACTTTAGGAATAGTGGAGTTTGTTTTGAGCGACCTCGCCCTGTGAAAACTGTGATGACCTTTTTTCATGCTCGACCACACGCTACCAAAAAGTGAGTGATTTCTCTGAAACATTATAAATGTTAAAATCAAAGCAATCAAAAATGAAATTAATTTCTTTTGGCATTTTTACCCTGTGCGTTGGTTCAGGATTGTCATCGATTAGTTCTTCTAGATTTCCGGAAATCGCCCTCTTTAGCTCTGGACCAGCTTCGTGCAAAGTTCTCAAACCCGCCTGAAAAAATTAACCCGCCATTAATTAATATATAATTTTTTTCATGATTAATTTAATGTTTTATCGTTTTTAGAGTAACACATGCCTGTAACGTAACAGCGTTGTGACAATCTATATCCCCTTCCTTCATTTCGAGTTCCTTTCGTTTCTTAAAACGTCTAAAGTAGTCCTGAATTAAAAAAGTTGCGTAGAACTTTCCTACTGTGACTTCATCATCCACTAAAATTTATTCCATTTAAATTATAAATTCTAATTAAATACAAAAAATAAAGAAACTTGAATTTGTAAATTTATATTTCAACTCACCACCCGGTGGTGGAACGACTTGATCCAATAATTTTGGACTTGTCCTTTTCCAAATTTTTTTTATAACTGCTCGTAATTCAGCGTTACAATCATCAATATTACCTTCGGTTTTTATTCGCAATGAGGTTCTAACTACAGCAAACAAAGTTGCATTAAAAAGAACAGTTCCGTCACTGTTCAGTGGCATATTCATGGAGACTAATCTCTGTAAAAATAATTTTTATTTATTTAATAAAAGTCTTGAAAGTCAATTAAAAATTAAACATGAAATTTAAAAAATAAAATAATATTAATTTAAACTAAATGTTGAAACTTACCTTACAAGCTACTCTATGAGGGCACAATTTACCGAAACCAAGTGGTGGTGAAATTTTTCTTAAGAGAGTCACAACATCCAAATGTTTGATTCGTCCTTTCGCATCCGGATCGTATTCCGACCAAAGCCGAATAAATTCATCTAAATGATGAGGTCCAAGAATTGACCAATCCCTTGTTAAATAATCGAAATTATCCATAATTACAGCCACGAAAAGATTGATAATCTAGAAAACATTAAATATTTGTTTAAAACAATAACTGAACTTAATTTCTTTTTAATTCGTCATTTTTAAATGGGTGAACACTTACAAGAAATGAACAAAGAACATAGAATGATATGAAATATGGAAACGCCATATCCGAACCGCAAGTATCTTTATCTTTATCCTCACTTTTCTTGTCACACTTCACTATATTGACTCGAGCTGAACAGTCCAACATAATTTCTTGCCAAGCCTCGCCTGTAAATTTATTATTTGTTAAATGAAATTGACAAAAAAATATCATTTTTGAATCAAACATTAATTTTCTGTATAATTAATTAATCAACTAATTTAATTAAATTACTACCTGTCGCTGATCTAAATAAAATGAGAACAGCTTGTGAGAATGTTTGGAAATTATTATTTCGATTGATGTGCGTTTCATCGTCGATGGCGATTCGTCCAAATATCTAAAAATTCCAAAAGCAATAAATATAAATACCAAGAAAACAGAATTCATTAAATTTTTATAAAGAAAAAAAAATAAAGTTTTTTTCTTACCTGCATACCAATTACAGCGTAAATAAAGAACAACATCACTATTAATAGAGCCACATAGGGAAGAGCTTGAAAAGATTTAATAAAAGTCCAAAGTAATGTTCTTATGCCTTCACCACGACTAAGTAGCTTTACAAGTCGCATTACGCGAAAAAGTCGAAAAAAATTTATTGAAATTATACTCGAACCAGGCTGAAATGAAATGAATAGCGTAATTATAATTTCACATTTGAAATTGAAAAAATTATTGGCTTTATTTAATAACTTTCTAATATTTTTTAACATATTGAAAACAATAGCAACTTACATTCACTTCAGAATAAACAATATCAATAAAACTTCCCAACACAATAATGAAGTCAAAAACGTTCCAGGCGTCTCCGAAATAATTCTGAAATAAAAATCCCAATAAAATTGTTATTTTAATACAATTAAATAATATGAAATATATTTTAAGATTTATTTTCCAATTACAGCAGACATATTTTTTTATAACAATTGATAATTAAAGTTACCTTAAATCGAAAGGCGGCGAGTTTAAAAACAAATTCAAGAGCGAATACTGCTGTGAAAATCATATTCAACACGTCAAGGGCTTTCGTATAGAAATCTGGTTGATTGTAGAATTTCATTGCCAAAGTTACAGTGTTTATCATAATTAAAATAAATATTGTATACTCGAAAGGCTGGGATGTTACAAACCACCACACTTTGTATTGAATTCGATGCTTTGGAATATAGCGTCTCACTGGTTTCGCTTTCAAAGCAAATTCAATGCAATTTCGCTGAAACATTCAACAAAAAAAACTTAAACCAATATCCGCGTTTACCTCAATTTTCATATCTGCCAAATTAAACTAGAAATTGCAAAAAATTGAATTTAAAATGGACATTATTAATCATTATTATTAATTATTTAATACCGAAAATACATTTTTTCAATAAAGTGCCTAATAAATATTTTAAAAATATGAAATACTTTTTGATCTATTCACCTGATTTTTATCCAGTTCACAATTTTTGTATTCCTGTTCTCCTTCGTTTTGAAATGTAACAATAACGAAACCCACAAAGATATTCACCATGAAAAACGCAATGATAATAATGTATATGATATAATAAGTAGCAACTATCGGACGAAAATTGTGAATTGGTCCATAATCCTCTCTATTCGAATCAATCGAATCGTATAACAATCTAAAATAAAGTAAAATGGAAAATAGAATTAATTAGATTTATAATTAAAATAGTTTTCTATCAAATTCCTTTTATTTCCATAAGTATTACTTGATCGAAAAAACATAATTAAAAAAAATACAATAAATGAAACTGTTTTAATCTGAAACTTAATGAAAATTCCCAATATTTTATAAAAAAAAAGATATTAAAAATAATAAATTAGAAGAAAATAAGAATTTGCCAATTTTACCCGGGCCATCCTTCAAATGTGGAAACGGTGAAGAGTGTTAGCATGGCTTTAGCAACATCATCAAAATGAAAACGATGTTTCGTCCATTCCCTTTCCACCACTTTAGGCCTGTCAATATTTCCATCATCGTATATTATATAAGTGCCTCTGAAAAATGAACAAAAAAAATTTAATTATAAAATCAATATCATGACTAAAAGTCTATTAAAAATTTTAAAACACTCACTGGCATTCGGCTTCTGTCATTTTTGATCCATCATTGCATTTAAAAAATTTTCCCTAGATTGTAAAATGAAAAATTCAATATTAAAATTTTGTTTCAGCAGTAAAAATAATTTAAATTTGAAAATTTTGAAAACAAAAATTATATACAATATCGACACAATGATGTTAATTATAATTATAATATCCTGGCAGAAGCTACAATTATATAAGAATAGCGAGAGAATACGAGCAAAGTAAAGTGTAAACGAAATTCAAAAATAAAAACATTCCTTCCGGCGTGCATAAAAGTGCAATGCGATATGCAACTTGGTGTCGTCGATCGATCGTCGAGACGATATTTTATACATTCAAATATACAATATTTAAGCTATATATCATTTTTATAATATATCTTTTTCTACCGGTGATTTTTTCCCATCCTCGTTATCCTAATTTACAAAAAATATTTTTATTGTGTAATTTGCCACTTTCTTAAAAATCAATATCGATTTTCCAACATAATTTTACAGTGCAGATTTTTTTTTTTAATTAACCAGTTTCTATATTACATTTATTACAAATAAATGCTTATATATAATGAGTGATTGATAAGAGTCGCGAATGCGAAATAAAAATAATAAATTATTTATTCTCAAAATCATGCACAATTCTGTTAATAGAAGCGTAGACATTTATTTTTTTATACTCGCGATTAAAAGGCAAATTTAATCATGCTCAGTACAAAACCCTTTGTTGTAAATTCTACAATTAAAAAAAAATTTAGGAATTTAACTTTAATTTATATTTATATATATTTAATTAATATCATTGAAAATGTATTATTTGTACCTACAATAAAATAATTGCTGATTATTATAAATAATTACTATAGTTAATATTAATAGTAATAACTATATTATAATTATATTTACATATAATAAAAATGATTCTATCAAAGTGGGTGAAAAATGTCCCTGACATATTTGTTACAAATTTATATGAATGCAAATATACATGCATTTTTGAATGTTTTATTAACATTTATTAAATTAAAAATTTACTTCATCTACAAATTAATAATACCTATCTATCTTCTTTGATTACTAATATGATTGAATTAATAATAAATTAAATACTTAATTGACAATGATATATTTAATGAATAATTATAGTAATTTAATTTAATTATAATGATGAACTGAGTATTAATAAGAAATACTATAAGATAACTAGCTAACTACATAAATGATCTTTGATAATGAGAATTTCGGAATACCTTGAAATTGCAATATTCCAATTTATTCGAGTAATATTTCTGATTAATAATTTGTTTTATTTGAAATAGTTTTAAAATAATAGAATAGAAAATCAATTATTCACATGAATTATATGTACATTATATTATTAAATTAAATAAAAAAAATGTTTATTTTACGATTATTCTTCTCTGACAAAAATTGATTTATGGGTCTAATGGTATATTTTAAAAGCATTATATTATTCAATATTTGAAACGTATAGATATGAAACATTTTCATGACGTTTCTGAATAGTGTGGGTTGTGAATTAATTTTCCAATATTGGATTTGTGGTTACAACACATTAACATAAGGATATCATGCAACCATGAAGTTATAGGCACAAACATTCACGACGGTAAAATACAATTCAAATAATGTAATAAACGGATAATGCATGCTTGAAAATTTCATATAATACACACATTTCATGTTCTTTTAATTTACACACAAAATGGATTAATTCAAAGTTTCTTGTAATATAAAATTCTTTTGTTTTATATTTTTAAAAACTGTAAAAAGAATTACAAAAATTATTTTGACATTATTTCTAAAGTCAAAGGATTAAAATTTAGGAATATTATTTTATTTACTTATTCATTATTAGTTAATTATTTTTTAATGTAATTAACCGTTAATTTCAAATTATTAATTACTTCATTGATTAATTAATAAAAAAAATTAAATTTTGAAATTAATATTTCATAACGTTGGAAAAAGATAAAGTACCTAAGTTTAAAATAATTTTTTTAAAAATGATTACGAAATTTTCAACAAACTTTGAATTAAAGGATATGAATGTACGGATAAATTGATTTACGTTGTATTTAGTAAAAAATAACATTTTTTTTAATTATTTAAAAGATATTTAAATATTTTCAATTAATCAAATTATTTTATAGAAAAATGATGCTTCTATATTATTCCTCGAATAAGTAAAACGAGCATTAAAAATTGAAGAAAAAATGTTAATTTTTAATGAACATGTTAATATATTCACACAGACAAGTAGATTATAATTTCTATATTTGTAGTGTCATTGAATAGAGTGCTTCTATTGAAAATGAAAAATGTTTCTTTATTCCTGAAATAAACATTTTTACCAACTAAAATCAATATTTCAATATACTTAAAAATACAATTTCATGAACAAATAATAACGTCTAATTATTTATATAAAAAAAACAAATTTTATAAAAAAAATTAGTTTATTATAACTTAAACAAAATTAAACGCAAAAAAAAACTAAAAGAAAAATATTAATAAAAATAATTAATAAATTTTTTGCAATGGGAACAAAATTTTCTTTTTAATTTATATCAACCCTCACAGCATCGGATATTTCAGGATATCAAAAAGCCTCCAGATATCTCTAGGACGTCCGTATGTTATCCTTAGTATCTGAAAGCTATTAGGGAAGAAGCACTCTATGGTGGTATTTTGTTTATTGGAAATGCACTGTCTTCATGATTCATAACACTAAAAATAAGGGAAGCACACAGAGTAAGGACGAAATTTGCAACAAAAGGAGTTTATACAAGATATATGGCGGAAGTGAGCTGTTCTTTGAGATGCCTCCGAAGTTTTTAGACTTTTAAAATATAAAAATATAGTTAAAAATAAAAAATTTAAAAAATTAATAAATTCAAACATAAAAAAAGAAATAAAACAATAGAAAAATTATAAATTTAAAAAAGCTGAAATTTGAATATTTTATAACTTTTCTACTTGTACATTAATTATTATGATAAAAAGGCAATTAATAAACGTACCCAGTTTACAAGTTAATCCTCTATACTTATATACATAAACTATTTTTTGCCAAGTCACTTTAAACTTGTATATATAAGCTTCGTGTAAAATTACTTGTAAACTTTTAAAGTTAAAAAAGGTCACGAGAAGAAGAAAAGAAAATTCTTTAAAAAATATTTTTTTCAACTTTTCTCAAGTTTATTAAAGTGTACTTATATAATAAACTAACAGTGAAAATTCAGAAAGAATACTTGGTATTTATAATCAGTAAAGTTTCTTTTTTTTCAAGAATATTCTACAATACTAGAAATTATGAATGTAGGTACTTATATGTATGATAAATTTTCTAAAACTTCGCAGACAACTCGTGCGCAATATGTAATCATAAATTTAGTCATGTCAACGTGCATGTTTCCGCTTTTACCGGTTTTGCAAAAATAAAAAAAAATTTCTATTATAGAAATAAATGAAAGTCAAAATTGAAAAAGATTATCGTGACTTATCCGAAAATATTGTTTTAAACGATTTTTTTGAAATAATTTTAGATTTAGAATTTTCGCTAAAAAAATTTGATTATTGATTTACATTTTCTTTAAATAATTCTCTAATAAAGGGTTTTTTATTCAAAATTCCTGATTTTTCTTAAATTATAAAAATTCTTTGATCAAGGACTATTTAACAAGTAGTTAATAAATAACAATAATTTTATATTTTAATTAATTAATTTTTTATTAAATCAATTTTAATTATCAATCAATGATCGTTTAAACTATTTTTACTTAATTAAGTAATTAAGAATTGTAATTAATTAAGGAATAATGAAATTACTAATACAGTACTATCGTTTAAAATAAATGTTCAAAAAAAGGCACAACTTGAACATTTTTCATTTTGATTCAGAAAATTTTTTTTTGTTTTTTTGTTTTGTTTTTTTTTTTTTTTGAGAAAAGTAAGTACAACATCAGCATCATCTAATTGGACCTTTACCTTGAACAGCTGTACCCCGATAACAGCAAACATGAACTGTAGGAGATAGGTGACCAACATAATGTTGCCAATCGTTTTAATGGCAACAATCACACACTTGACTACGTACTTCACGTAGTTCAGGTCAGGGCAGGTGAGCAGGGCGAACGAGCAGAGCAGGGTGCACACGGGTCGATAAGAGAAATAGAAACAAAACAAAAAAAAAAAAAGAAAAAACAGCATAGCATTAATTAAAAGGACACTCTTTCATTCCTACAAAGGGCTGAGTAAATGAGTTTAAGGGCTGACTTGTTAAGAATTTTCTGGAAACATTTGGAATTTATTTTATTTTCCAAAGAAATTCGTGACACTTTTTTTTAGGAATACCCGAAGCTTTCGAATCCCATTGTCTTAATGAATTTTATATAGTTGAATATAATTATCAATTTTTTTTTTGTTTCTCCATTTTTATTTTATTTTTATTATTATAAAAAGTGTCAGATAATTCCAAGGAAAATTTCAATGAATTATCTTAGGGAATGAGTTATTACTGGATCTTCAGATACACTTAAGAGAAAGTTGGACAATATATTTCTGCAGTTTGCACTCCTATATCTAATTTCCTCCGTATTCTTGAGTTCGTCTTTTTTAACTTGTAAAAAGTTATAGCCTTGATTTTACAATTTGTTTTCTTTATTTTGTTTTTTTACTTTTGCCTTTTGTCGAGTCCTGATTTAAGAACTAAGCCCTCGCCATCCATCCAACCCATCAGTACAATGTTACTTTTTTTTCCATTTCAATGCACCTAAAGGGTTCCGAATTTAATTTTCTTTTTAAAGAATATTAACATTTTAATATAAAAACGACTCTTGTTAATAAAAACTGATATATATATTAAAACTCTAATCCAATTATATTAAATACTTTTGTGAATTATATTGGTTACTTGTTAGAGACAAAGAAATTAATTTTAAATATGAAGTTATAGCAAAAATTTATAAATGTGAATAAAATTTTATATTTCATTTATATATAAAATGAAAAGTTAATTAATAAATTAGAAAGTAATTGATTAATTAGTTGCTAATTTCTTTTCAGAACCCTCCCGCTTCATGGAAAACTTTGCAGCCAAAATAAAAAATAGTTTAAGGAAACTTATAATTAAAATACTTTGATCTAAACGATATTTCATTTAAACGTTTATATAGTGTATCTGCATGTGTTTTTTTTTTCTAAAAACAACATTCTAATTGCTAACTAACGACGACTTAAAAACTATATATTGATCATTTTCGTTCTATGAGCATAAAAATCTAACTAAGACACCACTTAACTAGAACACCATTGATTTCAACTAAAACACGACTATGAATAATATTATTAATCACCAAAAATGATATAATTATAATAATAATAATTATTATTATTTTTATTAGACATGGTTCATTTTAATGAAGTAAATTATCCATGAAATGAATATTCCACATTTAATTTGTCAGGAAGGAAAGAATAGAATTGTCAAATATTGCTGTAATCAAGAAAAAATATCTAAAAATGAACTTTTTGTAAATGAAGTTTCAATGTGAACATCAGTTGCAAACTATTTTTATTTTATTAGCTTATTGGTTTATGCATTTTTCCCCCTTTTTAATAAATTAATCATACACGATAAAATATATTTAAAACTTTCTGCAAGTTTTACATATTTGAGAAATCAATGTTTATCGAATTATACTCTAAACTATTTATATGTCAGCGTAATTAAATTCTCCTGAACTGGTTTTTTGTACTGAACAAATTTTTATTTAAAAATCTGCGGTCTTTATTTTTGAAAATAAATCCACAATAAAGGATAACGAAAATGAATTATTATTGTAAATTGGAAAAAAAATTAATACTCAATGTTGAAAAGAGTCTGCGAATGAGATCCTTGTATTATATAGAAAAATGATTTTCTTTTCCACTTTGAAAAAATTAAATTAAATTAAAACAAATCCTAAATTTAATTACTCTTATTTAATTAACTCTTTCTTTTCGATTTATATTAAAATATTCAAATATTTGCTAAAAATGAAAAAAAAAGAGATTAAATTGTCGATTTAAAGAGATTTTAGATATATAAAGAGATGATTTTTGAATTTCGTTTCGCACTATACTCTTTAAAAAGTGAATAATGGGACTATAATAGAGATAGTTGGTAATAGTCAAATAGTCTCTTGTTAATAGCAGCACACCACTGTAACGCTCAGCTGGCAAAGCATGCAATCTGATGGCATCCTTCTACGAAGAGGAGCCTCAATCACGAAGCCTTGTTTTGTTTCTCAGCTCATTCACACGCGACAGGCTAGGTGGTTGAAAGAGAATGTGGGTGACAAAAGGGATGTGTGATTGTTTCAGAGAAAAACAAAGTTGTGACGTTTAAAGTACTTTCAAGTTGTTTCTTCCAAGCGTGGAACAATCTACATTTATTGTAATGAAAGAAAATCAATTGTTTTTCTTTTTATAAATATAGAAGAGAAAAAATTTATTTTTTATTCAAATCTAATTATTTACTTGAATGTTATCAAATAAATGTTTATTTGTAACAAATAATTATTTTTTGAGTCAATAAAAATGACTCAAATAAAAAATTGATTTTTATTTGGTTCAAATAAAATTATATTTGATAATAGACAAAGAAATGATTATTTAAATAAAACTAAATTATTTTTCAGTGTACAAGATAAATATTAAGAATTTTTTAATGAAATTATTATTTATTTAGAGGAGTATTTGACGATTAAACATTTATAATAAATAATAAATAAACTCTATATTTATAATAAATAATTTTCTCAAATCCCTATTCTATCCGTTCATTTAAGAGATTAATTTCGGCTGATTTTACTGCGAATTGGTTTTCTGTCTCCTCTCCTCCAATCACCCTCGAAATAACAATTCAAATTTTATTCCTTCAATCATTCATTTAAATTGACCCAATTTTTAAAAAAATTTTAATATTTAAAATTTATAATCAGTTTGAGATTAATTATTATACATCAAAATTTATAATTAAAATTTTTCAGATTCGACTAAATTTTCTGAAACTAATCAAAATAAGTCATTTTTCACAGGTAGAGAAAATTTAATCGATTTTCAAGTTACAGTATTAAAATAAAGTTCTAAATTGTAGACAGTAGACAATTTATTGTTTTATACATAAAAATTTTTTAAGTGCATGTTAGTATTTTGGACAAATACAATATTGGCGTCTATTGTGAGTTATAATAATAAAATTGTGCGAGACACATGATAAAAAATCGAAAAAAAGATATATGAGAAAAAAACTTTGAAATTAGTGGAAATATTAATTGTGTTTTAAAATGGTCAGGGAGAGGGACAAGACAAGAAACCCATTCGCAAAACAGTTTTCGACAAAGAAAAAAAAGGGTAACCCAAAGGTGCATTGACAACAAAAAAACAAAGCCGTCATGGCGCTCAAGCTTTTTGATATTTATTAAATTTTTTTTTTTTTGTTTCTCATTCCTAACATATGGCTCGTTTACATTATTATTTAAAATAATGACCAATTCAAACCAAAAATTAAACGTAAAAATAATAAAAAATTAGTAAAAAGCTAAAACGTATTTTTAGTAACAATTCCAACCAAAAGGACAATCATTTGAATAAAATATTATATTGGCCAAAATTCAAAGTAAAATTTCAAAAGTATTATAAAAAAAATTAAAAAATGGAATAAAAATTAAATTTGAAATTTTGAATAAATATCAAACAGTATTGAGCAATCAGAGATGGCTTTTTGTGGTAGGTGATGATTTACAGTGATTTTTTGGTGATTATATTTTGGTAGTATTGCATTATATGAATGACGGTTGTTTATTGTCGTTTTATTTGTAATAAAAATGAAAAAAAAAGAAAAAGACTTTTGTATTTATATAGTATATAGGGTGGGGGGTAAAAATACGACACTCTATAATGAACTATTAAAAGTCCAAGGAAGTCAGGACCGTTCAAGGACCTGGAATCCTACCTTAAAGAGCTGAACGCCAATGACGGCGAACACGAACTGCAGGAGGCTGGTGACGAGGACTATATTTCCGATAGTCTTTACCGCTACGATGACGCACTGAACTACGTGCTAGGTTTCAACATTAATTATTTTTAAAATAAAGATTTTCCAATTTCTTATTTTTTCCAAAAAGACCAGTTCTGCTTTTTTCTAATCATTTTTACATTTGTTCAATTTTTTTTCCTCATTATAAATTTAAATACTTTTTTCAAATTAAAAATATTTTTCTAATTAATTAGATTCTAATTTGAATTTTTTTTCCTTATTTACTCTAATATTATGAAAATATATTTATCCTACTTGTCACGATTTCTATACAATTCCTCAATCTTTATCTAGGAGAACTTTATGAATAAATTTCAGGGGAGATAAAACTTTATTATACTTAATGGCAATAAAAAAAATTGTCCTCTCTTTTTTAAATCAACTGAAAGTTTTGTGAACAACTTGAATTCTAAATGAGTGATAAATAGTTTGAAAATTTTTTCTTCTTGTGAATTAATATTTTAATGTCAAAAATTAGAAAGTAAAGTGAAAAGAAATTGAAAAAAATTTCATGACCCTAATTCGGTTTGAAGTGTTTTTTTCTTTCTTTTTTGCTCTTATAGAAGTTTGAATTTTGTCAAGTTTGTTTAAAGTTGAAGATTTCAGAAAGAAAAGTAAAAAGAAAAGATAAATACCTTCAAGCCTTTGGCACGATTGATTGCTCGTAACGGCCTCAAAACTCGTAGCACCCTCAAGATTTTCACAAATGATATAGCCCCAGAGCTGCGAATAATAATTAAAAATAGAAATATTATAAAAAATACTTTTTTTTAACAAATTTTTTTAATACTAATTTGAAACATTATTTACATAATTATGAATATTACCTGTAAACTATGGAAATAAGAGATACACAGACGACAAGAAGATCAAGAAGATTGAAGGCCGATCTGCAAAAAGCGCCGTCGTGTATAAAAGCTCCATAAGATATCATTTTCAAGCAAATTTCAATTGTGAACACGGTGGTGAAGAAGTAATCAAAATAATTGAGAATCAGATTTCTCGGTGATGTTGATTTCAAAGGGTCCTCGGCAGCCAGCATTGCTGACGAAATCATAATGCAGACCAAAATCACATTACCAAAATAACTATGATTGCAAACCCAATGACAGAAGATTCGAAATCTGAAACGATTTTATAGCACATTTTTATTTTCACTTAATTATACATTATACGTAAAATATTATTTTTAAAAAATTTTAACAATAAATTTACTTACCTGCTTTTTTGAGAAAAAATAAAGAACGCACTACCGGGAGGAATTGGTTGAGTTTTCGTTGCCATGTTAAATTCTGACATTCGTCTTGGCCTCGCTGACACTTCTCCATCGATTCCATCTAGAAAAAATAGAATTTTATTTTTTCTTGGTCAACGCGATTTCTCAAGCGGAACTTTATTAAGTTTGAGCTGATCTTTCAGTCAGTCGATATCATTGGCTATATAGCAATATCCTTGAGTATTGCTGTGTTTCCGGAAACTAAACGAATTTCCTGTCTTTTTAAAAAGATTTATTGACATTTCCCTGAAAAGCTTGCCGATAGTTAGTTACACATATAGTATATATACAAAGAGAATATTTGATTAGTACTGGCTGTTTGTATTTTTTCGAGTATGATTCTTAATTAACATTACGGGACCGTGCAGGGTGCGGTCACCTACTCACGCTTCGGCTGCGATTCTTAATTAACGTCGAGATCGATTTAACCTGTGTAGTGTGAGAGATTCATTTTGTGTGTGCACATCCACGAAGAAATTTTGCTTCCAGCATATTATATTGCAAGGAAAACGGAATTTAAATATGGAACCATCAACAAATCATTTATAAAGTTCAACATTCGTCCTCATCACTTTCAGCTCATTTCGATAATAAATGTTTATTATCGATAAATTAAATAAATTATAATTATATTAATTAGTATTAGAAGAATTGCAATAAAATTATTATATTGAGCAATTTCAATTTATAACATGATTTTCTTTTACCATTAATAATGAATTTTCTAATTAAGTTAAAAAAAAAAAAATTAACATCAACTGAATGATAGAAATGAAAATTGTGACATGTATGTCAACAGAAGTTCAAATGATTCTCATAATAGTTTATTAATTATTAATTAATCAATAAAATCTGTCAATGAATGAATGAATGAATCTATTAATGAGTAATATTGAAATTTTTCCAATAATTATAGATTTCAATAATTGAAAATTAATGTATTCTAATTAAATAAGTGACATTAATAAAATTCTCAATTGATCAAATTATCTAGAAACTTCTACTTATTAAAGAAATAATAACTATAAATAAAAAATTAATAAATTAATTTTTTATGCTCGTTATAGAAATAAAAGATAAAAAAAAACAAAAATTCTTACCATGCATTTCGGTTTGATCATCTTCTTCATCTTCTACGTCAAGATCTTCCTCGTCAGAGTCAATGTTTAAACGAACTTTACCTCTGCTGTTCATGTCATCTCCTTTTTCAGAACTAGAATAAATACAATAATACTATTGATAACACATTTTTCAGTTAATAAAGAATTTAACATTATTTTAAATTGGAAATTTGTTTCATATAAATGTTATAATGAAAATTTAATTTCTTTGGTTAATTTCTGAATTTTTTAATTCTGTCCTTAGTTAACTTACTTTTCAGTATCTAAAGCTGCCTCATAATCGTCCATAGTTTCATTTGGATCTTGCTCAAGACTTGTTTCTCCACCATCATCTTCACCTTCGGTTATATCACCTCCATCATCACCTGGATCACCACTAATTTCATCGTGGCCTGGTGATGGACTACGGGATTTATGTTTCTCTGCCTTTTGGTAAAAGAAAACAATATTTTTAATTAATTAAAACTATTTTCAAAAAATTCTCAAATAATTTTCTAGAAATTCTTAATATATAATTTAATAAAAAAAATGTTAAAAAAAATTAATGTTTTTAAAAATTTGTGTATATATTTTTTTATTATCAATTGTTAAAGTTGTTAAAATTCCTCTTAGAATGCAATGTATCAAGCACACCATGACCCTATTATCGAACTCGACCAGTGAAAAGATTAAAGGGAATGTTCCATTATTAAAAGTCACGTAAATGACCTAATTTACTGACCACTTCTATTGTAAAAAATGTGTTTCTTCGTTTTTCATTTGATTCCCTGATGAATAAAGTGAAATATGTTTTTCTAACCCAATTTCTCAAATAAAATAATTGAAATAAAATTTTTTCATTTTTTTATAATTTTAAATGTAATTAATTAAAAAAAATATATCACAGGATCTATTGTTAAAAAGTTCTAAATATAAACAATTTTTCTCAACAATTTCCTTCTTTTACTATTCAATAAAATTGGAACATTTTTATTTTAAAAATATGTCAACACTTTCTACTTCTAAGGATAACAATTTAATTATGAACACATGTCAAAAAGTATGTTACCAGGAAATATAATAAAAGACGAAAGTGCGAATGAACAAAAGCCCAATGAATTTTTCTCTTTACATAAAATTACAAAAAAAATAGAAGATAAAAAACAATTTTTTGACTACTCAGGAGACGGATTTCTAGGTATAGATAATTGATTGATCTCCATGTACTAAAAAATTCAAGAGAAACTCACCTCCTCCTCAGCCTCTTTCTCTATTGCTGTTAAGGATTCAGCATCCGCAAGATTGTCCACTGCGATGGCCAAGAAAACGTTGAGAAGTATATCTGATTTTGTTAATCAAGGAAAACTACAAAAATATCTCTGAACAAATATAATTCTAAATTTAACAAAAATTAAATAAAATTTTATTATTTATTATTCTATAATATAATTATTCTATAATTTTGAAAAATAATTTAGTAAATCAATAATTACGGAATTTAATAGAAAATGAAAAAGCTGAAAATCGAATAGAGCGTGAAGAAAGATTAAGAAGAAGAGTTTTTAAAATTGAATGATGAGAAATTTCTAATTAATTCATAAGAGCTTCAAATGTCATTATATAGCGTCGCATTCAACAACACATTAAATTCGCACGAATCCTCTACACGTGTGACCTACCTAGTAGTTATATATCAATAAAAGTACAATGCTATTCAGCTTGAGTTACTTATCTCTCTTTCACTCTCTTGTAAATACGATAGTCGTCATTTGAATACAGGCAAACAGGGGAAAACATTTTTTATGAAAATGCAAAACTGGAACACTCATTATAGAATTATAATCTGTGATAAAAAAATACTAGCAATTAAATGCAGAATAAAACATTAACAATGTATTTTTTTTTCATTTTACTTAGAGTTTCATTTTGAATTTCAACATTTTATATAGACATTACTTTTAATTCAACAAATTTTAATTGTTCACAAAACTAATGTTAATTATTACTGTTCAAATATTTAAAATATTAGCTAAAGCAATTTTAATTTAGTTATAAAAATTTAATATAAAATAAAAAATTATTAAAATGCGCAAAATGAAAAGATTTAATTAAATTATTTCACTGAAAAATGGTCAATAGTAAATTTATAAAAAAAAAAAAAATTTTTTAAAAGGATACAATTACCGCAGATGAAGAGGATAATGAAGTACGCGCACGCAATTACACCTGAACTAGCAACTCCACCATAAGCTAAAATTCCCGTGTACATAACAGTATTCCAGTCTTCACCTGTTAAAATCTAAAACAAAATTTTTTACATATTTTTCACTATTAATTTTTTTGCCGAGAAACGACAAAAAAGAATCTATAATTTTTTTTAAAGAAATTATTAAAATGATACCTGAAACACTGTTAGGAGACTTTGCCAAAAGCAATCAAAATTTTGTCGAGGTTTGTCATCCATATCATTGAAATTAAATTTTCCTCCAAATACCTGTTACAAATATATTAACTTGGATTATTTTTGTTTCATTCGCATAAGTTTTTATTGAGAAAATGATTAATTTTTTTATTTTATTTTTTTAATTATTCGTATAGAAAATAATATTTTATATTATTTAAAATACTTTTTTAAAATAGATCTTTTTTTAGAGTGCAAAATTATTACCATGAGAGTATAACAAATTTGTTGTGAAATTTGTTATTTCTCTTTTACTAACACACACATATATATATATATATATATATATATATGTTTATAATAAACAAAAAGCGCCAATAAAAATATTCAGTTACGTACCTGCATCCCTAGTAAAGCGAAAATAACAATGAATAAGAAGAGAAGAAGCAATAGAGATGCAATCGATTGTATCGAATTTAACAAAGATGCTACTAAATTTGAAAGAGATCTCCAATATCTGAAACAGATTAGAAACAAAAAAATATTATATGGAAACTTAAAAAATTAAATTATTTTATTATAATGCAATTTCGAGACACAACTTCAACTTACTTTGTGACCTTGAACACCCTGAGTAACCGAACACATCGAAGTACCGAAACTCCAAGTGGTGGCATCACATGTGTTCTAGTCAGTATCATTTCGCTAATGGACCCGATAACCACAAAGCAATCGAATCGATTGAAAAGTGATACAAAATAACCCTAAACATAAAGATGTCAAATTTTAGATAAATTCCTTTATAAATTAAATTTATAAATATAAATATTTATAGTTTTTAATTATCACATACCTGAAAGCCTAAACTATAAATCTTTAACATCATTTCCATAGAAAAAAGGGCGATGAAGAATATGTTTGTAATTTCTGTAAAAATATTAAAAACATATGTAGTAAATTTTAAAAATTAAAAAAAGAATTCTTTTAGAAGAAGTTTTAATATTTTAATATAAAATAATTTTCACGGGTTCAAACCTTGAAATTCATCCAGCCAATCAGGTTGATGATAATGTTCAGTCGCTAAGACTCCGGTATTTAAAAATACTAAAATTATAATTAACCAGTAGAAAACTTGAGACTTCACAGCCTTCCTGCAGGCTCTTCTCATGCGCCTGTTCGCTCTGAAAATAATATATACCATAAACTACATTAAAAAGTACTTAAAATTATTTAACTTTCAAAAGTAAGTAACGTTTTAAAAGTTTTAATCGACACTGAAACTGAAATTTGTTTCAATTTATAAATACCTATAAAAGATATAAGATTTGTCTGACCTAAAAAGTTATTTTCCACTTGAGTTTTTCTATATACTTTTTAATGAATTCTCATTGAAAAATTGTTAACGAACTGGATAATATAAAAAGATAGTTTAAAATAGTATTTAAAGAGTTTGAGTAAAAAATAAAATAAATATACAAAGTTGAATTCGAAATAAACATTTAATTTCTCATTTTTAAATAAGCATTTCATTAAAATTTTTTTCCTTACTTTATTAAATATTTTATGATGAAATTAAAATCTAGTTTAATTTACAACACGTTGAAATGAAAAGAAACTTTTCAAGTCAAGTCTCTAGAAAATTGAGACAAACGCTGTCTGATCTTACGAAAATTTTTCTCCTTAATTATTTTCTCTTTACCTTTCCAAGTCTCGTTTCTTTCGTTTCCACAATGATTCTTGTTGAACACCATCCTCCTCGCCCTCGAGTTGATCTGTACTCTCCATTTCATTCTGCTGCTTTGCTAAATATTAATTAAACATATAATTAAATAAGTAATTGATTTTTCCATAAATACCTTTGAAGAAATCTAACAACACTTATTAAAAAAAAATTCCAAAGTTTCAATTTAGAATTTGAAAAATGTAAAAATTACAAAAGAACAAATTTGTAAATTCGAATTGTCAAGATATCAATGATCGAATTTCTTATTGAAACAGAAGTCTTTTTACCCATTGAGATACTAAGATTTCTTATGTGACAAGAAAATTTCATTCTTATTGAGTTGTTTTATTTTAAAGCATCACTTACATTTTCCATCCTGCATCTGTGGCTCATCGGCTTCTGGTTCGATATCCTCTGCCTGTGTTATCCAATCCAGATACCCCCGGAGATCGTCCTCTATCTGTTGTTTTTCCCTTAGCTTATGAAAATCACCTCGAGCTTTTGCCTTTTCTCTCTCCTTGGAAAACTCTCTGTTCATAAATCCGACAATGTATTTTCAATTAATAATAAAACAATTTATTACTCTTTAGTTACCCATATTTTCAATCTTCAAACTAACGAACCTTTTCAACCAAGAAAAAGCTCCAGAAATTAATATTATATTATTTTCATTCTAGAAAATAATAAAGCTTTTCCATTCACAACTTATATATTGAAATTATTAAAAATTGTCAAAAAAAATATCATTTTTCTCAATAAATACATAAAATTTTTCAATTATAATGAATTTTTATTTAATAAAAAATAAATTAAATACTTTTCTCCCTAAATAGAATAATAATAATAATAATAATAATAATTTTAATGTAAATATATATGCATTTTTTTCCAGATGAATAAGGTAATAATATCTCTTTTGTAATTATAATATTTATAGACAATAATTCTGACTACAGAAATCACATTCTTGTCTAACAAGGGAAATTTCATATAAGCAATGCAGTCTTCGTGTTTGTGGTTTGGTGGTAAGTAAAATCTTACAAACTACATACGTTTCAAAGTGTTATCAAAATTATCTTACAATGCTTTATCAATTCTTAAGCACCTCTAATATTAATATTTTAGATATAGATAGATAGATAAAAAGATTGAATTCATAGATAAACGTACTAGATATGTTCTTGTTATTTAATTATTCGCGAAATTCTTAATATTTTTAATAAACTAGCTATAAATTATTTCTCAATTTATTTAAACATTAAAACAAACTTACCCAGATAACACTCCGAGAATTAGATTCATGACAAAAAAAGCTCCAAGTATAACCATAGAAATAAAATAAATCCACTGCCATTCACTTCCCATTGCATCTTGAATCTAAGCAGAAAAAATAGAAATTTTCTTCAATTTTTTTGAACAATTTTAAATTTTAGATTTTTTAAAAAAGATAAAAAAACGAAAATTTTTTATTTTTCTATAAAGTAAGTGATAAAAATATTTAATTATTTAAATCTCAAAAATTAATTACTATTAAATTTAAATATATTGAAAATTCTTAACATTCAAATTTAGACTTGTTAATTGCTTTTTGTTTCCGAATTTACTAAAATTATTGGAATGTAATTGGATATAAATCTTACTGCGTAAAGCACGTCGGTCCATCCCTCGAGGGTGATACACTGAAAAACCGTCAACATAGCCAAACCAAAATTATCAAAGTTGGTGATTCCATGATTTGGACCCTCCCAAAATTTATCGCTGCAGTAATAATTATCACCAATATTTTCACACTGAAAACCTCCTTTTCCACATGGATGTGGTTCATCCATTTCTTCATCTGAAAGCAAAATTTAAAAAATTTATATTATTCAAAGTAATCGCTCTTATTTTTCGTTAAATAATTAATCAAATAAATAAAATAGTTATTTAATTACTATTAAAATTGAAAACATAAAAATGATTTTCTAATTAAGTCTTAAATAAAAAAATTTTTTTGTTAAATAAACAATATACACATTTAGTCATTACGAATTTAACTAAAAATATAACATTTTAAAAATTTAGTAAGATATAAAAGAACTTTAGTTGAACTTTCATTTCTCAATGGGCATAAAGTGGAGGTTTTAAACAAAAGCTTTAAATGATAAAAGGTTCTTTCAGTAAAAGATAAATAAATCATTTCATACATTCAAAGGAAAAATTTTCTTTATAAAAATTGAAGGAATACCACATGAGAATAAAATTAATATTTTTAAATTTTACATATTATTTTAATGGAAATTTTTTTGTAAAAGTTTAGAAATTAATTTTGCATTGAAGAATCTTTGATTTGATTTGCATGAATCACATTCAAATGTAGGACAAAAAAGTTCTGTACACTTGCACGATACATTTAACTGTTCCTCATACTTTATACGTCTATTGTCAATACCTATTATTACCTCAATACAATTTTACGATCCTTATTGCTTTACATAAAATTCACAACATGCTGTAGTTATCACATTTTGCATGCGAAATCGTTTTCTATAATGTCAGTTACAAATTTTTCTTTTTCATTTCTTTGCTCACACTGTACAAAAATATTTCCTTAATTTTACAATTAACAAATAATAATTAGTAATAATTTTTTCTATAATTATTTGTTTAAAAAATATGTTTATGTTTATTTTACTAAAGTTATATGAAGAATTGTTAAAAGTTGAAATAAATTAAATAAAAAAGTGTAATTATAAAAGTATAATAGTTAATTAAATAAAAGAAAAACTACACTGTCAATCAACTGTCGAAAAAGTTTCTTATGATTATTTACCAAAAGTTTGTGATAAACTATTTTATTTGTATTATAACATAATTACCAGTTCCATTTATTCTACAAGTCTTGTGCATTTCTCCTGAGAAAAGTTCCAATCCTATAATTGCATAAATAATTATGACAAAAAGAACCAAAAGGGCAATATGCAGTAGAGGTACCATGGCCCTCAGAATAGAATTCAAGACGACCTGAAGACCTGAAAAAATAATTCGAAATAGGTATTATTAATAATAATTTCAATAAATAACAATTGTAAATAAAATACATAAAAGAATTGTTCAACACTGTAAATTTTAATTTGTTAAGGAATTTCCGCCATTGGTAAATATTCTCAATATTTAATTTTAACATGGTAAATATTTGAAAATCAATTTAAGAAAGCATATATTAGAAAAGGCTATTTCTAAATTCTCAAGAATTTTCAATTTTATTATTAACGCGCATACACTATACATGTGCAAATGCCGAGTGTAGGAAATGTTCAAGACAAAGAATCACGTTAGCTATTTCCTTTGAATCACCACTCTTGTTTTGTTGCAAAGCTTTCGTTGTTGAAATGATAGACATAAACTTGAGAATAAGTATGTAGGCTTGAAGTATTTTCGATCAGTTTGCAGTTCGAATAGTAAAACGTTTGATAGAGGTATTTTTACCGCTCAATAAAACAACTACAATCATTAACTATAGAGAGATTTGCTTAACAATTTATTTTAGAGACACATTTTTTTCAAGCCATAAAATTAGGAAGAATTTAAGCTTTTGTGTCAACATTGTTTTCATGTACATGTTATTTATAAAATATTTTATAAGATTATCTAATTGCGAATCTAAAATAAATTTTCAAAAATTAAAAATAAAGATTTTAATATGATGAGTTTTTAAAAAAAAATCTCAAATTTTGATTTTCAGCATTTTTCAATACAAATTTGGTAAATATTAACTAGTTATTCATTTCGGTATATAAATAGCATTGATGGCAATATTTTTTTATTGATAAAAAATCTTTATAGGAAGAATATGATAGCTTTAATAACAGATTCTTGGAAAATTCAAAGCTGGTAAAGCCAACTTGATGGAATCGCTTACATTTTACTGAATAAAGTAGGTACAGGATCAAAAGCTATTTGAACTGGATGGAGTACTTACTAGGAACACCTGACACTAGCCTCAGAGGCCGAAGCACTCGAAAAGCCCTCAGCGCCTTGACATCGAAGCCCTCTTTCAAAAATACAGTTAAGATCGTGCTGATGTTGCTGCAAACAAACAATATATTAAGGTCATATTAAAAAATTAGTTGGACAATATTTAACAACAAAAATAAACTATAGATATAAATATAATATTTAAATTTTACCAGAAAGTTTGTAGCAACAAATTATTATTACTTTTTTATTTTCAGACAAACAATTTTTAAGAAAGATTTGTAAAATAAAAGAAATAAAATTTAGAGGTAAAAAAGATTCGTCGAACTAAATTGAAAAATAAAAGAGAAATTACTCTCGGATCAAGAAATTTTATAAATTAGTTTCAATTAGCTGAGAGTATAACGGATTACATAAACGTTTAATATAAAGTTTATAAAGGAAATATTGAAAAGAAAGTTAAGGAGTGGCAAGAGATAGACAGGAGAGAATAATCAAGGTTACATAATTGACGCTAATGGATGGCAACTTTTCTATATAAAATTGCGTCTCATTAAGCGTACAAAATATAAACTTGCTCCTGTAATCGATCAAACTGCAAGATGGTCATTTAACATTTCAACAACCCCCTAAGGAACCCCTGACCACAAAATGTAGGTCGACAATTTCATTTGTAACAAGACCAAAGAAGAAATAGTTCGCATTAAACATCTTACAAAAACTGCCTTAATTTTTTATAAAAACATATTTTTTCCATTTCTTGATTTTAAAAAAAAATTAAGACGAAACACTGATGAATATTTCGATAGGTTGAAATTTCACCTGTTCCCCTCCTTTATATCTATTAAAAATAAATTTATTCCTAATAATGATTGAATTTAAAAACTATTTTCAATAATAACTAAATTGCAAAGTAAACATATTTTTCAACAAACTTTCCAATTAAAGTATCATGTTATCATCACGAAATGCTAAAAACAAAACAAACTTAATTTAAAAAACGTATATATGAGATATAAAAAGTATACTGATTCTCTTCTCTATTTAAAGGAGAGAAATAGGGTATGAAAACGTAGGTCGACAGATCCCAATAGAATAAAAATACGAATTAAATGGAAAAAAGAAACACAAGACTTTAAATGAAAAAGAGAAAAAAGAGAAGGTATACGAAAAGAATGATAGAGAAAGAGAAAACTCCCCAGCTTCTCTCCATATAGCGCAGGCAAAAGAAATAAAGAGAAAAGACTAAGTTAAAGGTAAAAATTGCGACTGCGCATTCGGAGTCATTTTGCTTTAGCTCTTAAGGGTGAAAAATATTCTCATGACATTTCTCCTCGTTTATAATATATATGTATAGTACCTAGTAAAATATGTTACATTTTTACTATGTAGACAATTTTACCAACCTTGTCAATCTTCACCATAATATTCTATCAAATTTACTCATTTTCCTCTCCCAAGGCCTGTATAAGTTAAGTGCGTGGGATAAAACTTTTATTAAAAAAAAAAGAAAAAAAATAACTTAACATCTCTCTAAAATAAAAGATAAATAAATTTTTAAAGTGAAAAAAGGTTTTGTTAAAAGTTTTTGAAATAGAGATATTGTAATTAAAAGTTTTGCGAGCAAAAAGTATAATACAAACAAAATATACATTGAAGAAATAATACGTTTTATTATTATTGTTTCTAGTTAAACAAATTTTTGAATGATATAATTTTTACTGAATTTCAACTAATAATTAAGTTAAAAAATAGTTATTATTATGGAATAAATTGTTGGTACAGCCTGATTAATACCGCTAATTCATCCATCTTTATTTTGATCGGGTAATTTTAATACAATGTTTTAATTAAGATAAAACGTCCTTGTTAAAGAGAATTCTACAGAATAAATCAAGAAGCGCTTCAATGTTCAAATTCTGATTGGAAAGCTATTTGCATATTTCGAATCTATTTGTACAAGTGCTATATATTTATTAGGGTACAATTTCCTGAAATACAAAGGTACTTGTGTCTGAAATCCGCGTCTATTATGTATGTACGTCAAGTAATAGAAATATATCTTCAAAGGAAACTAGAAACAGTCTCTAATAAAATTTACTTGGCGAATTTCTGGACACAATTATAAAAACATACATTTCTTTGAGGAAAACAATTTTTTAACAAATTTTTCTTTTATAATTATTTTTTCAGATATATTTTCAATTATTACAAAGTATTCCAAAAACTAATTTTATTATGACTTTTCTATGATTACATTACGTTATGAAAAATGTATTAGTTAACGAAATAATTAATTTGTTCGTAATGAGTCCTACACTCGGGTTATTTACTCTGAGCTTTAACTTTTTGAGTTTAAAAGAGAAAGAATTAAATCAAACTTTTCAAGTAAAACTTACCCGATAACAACTATCGTAAAGTCCAGCAAATTCCATCCGTTGCGCAGATAAGCGCCTGGATGAGCTACGAATCCGTAAGCTATAATTTTCATCATGCATTCGACTGTGAAAATTACTAGAAAAACATACTCGATTTTTTCCTGAAACATACATAAATCAGATATGATATTATATTAAATTTTTAAACTCTCAGGAACAATACAAGAGGTAAACAATAATTTAGTTTTCGTTTTATTATCAAACTATTTATTAATTACTCTTTTTTGGAGTAAGATGAAAAATTTATTGGAATTGTCTAATCAGCTCACATTATATGGAAGTAATTCTCGAGACATTGAAAGTGTTTCTCACAGAAATTACCTTGTATTTCATTAAACACCAGTGAATCGTATCACATTAAATGATCAGGTGGCAATTTATGGAAAACGTTTTGACTTCAATCGAGTATTGTTAAATAGATTATTAATAACATTGTTTCATAATGTACTAGACAGAATCAGTCAACTGTTTTCGTTCAGTTCTAGGAGTTTGATGAGATCAATATAATTTATGTCAATTTCGATATCAGCAAATTTTTCCGATCAATCAATTTTTCGGGAGAGGTAACAATATTTTTCATCTCCTACATTAATAATAATCATCATTCAGAGAGAAAATGTAAAAACCCCCCAAGGGTCACACATCGAATAAGTAAATATAATAAAAAATTAATCAATAAAAAATGTATAATAATTTGAAAAATATTTATAAGAAAGATTATTATAGAAACTATTATATTAGAACGAAACGAATTTCACTTGATGTATATTTCTTCGTCAGTGAGGTGAATTTGTGAAAAGGCCAAGAAAAACATAAGGGTGAATGTAAAAATAGACGAGGGATTGTAGAATAGAATAAAATGAAGAGAAGTAAAAAACCGGAAGTCTCTAAGTAACCTTTAACCACCTCAGCATTCCATTTCAATACATTTGTGTGGTTTGATATCTGCAATATAAATAAAAAAAACTATATTTTCTTTTATTGCACATTATTAACAGTATTAACAACCGAATATTTTATGCAGTAGAGGAGAACCACTCTGAAACCTTAATGAAAGAAGATTATTATCGAAATTAATAAATCTACAAATTTTAAATGAGCTGAAAGTTCTGTTTTATCAAAGTTAATTAAATTTAATGTTTGAATTTGACTCGACTCTTTAAACTTTGTTCATTATCTATATTACCGCTAGATTCATTTTAATAATTTGTTCGAGAATAATATTTTTAAAAACTTTTATAACTAAAAAAATAATTATGTAACTTTAGAAACAATTTTTTTTGATGGGCTCAAAAAACAAAAATCTCGTAAACAATATAATATATTTTCTTTTGTGAAAAGAGAGTTTGCAACAAAGTTAGCCTACGACTGTCCGAATTCAACAGTTGGTATATCTATTCTAGTCAAAAAATTTGTGACATTAGCGCAACTTTATTTTCCGTATTTTTCTATTCATGTGACGAAAATGATAGAAAACAATACAGAAAGTTGCACTAGTAGTTAACATACAGTTGAACCAGTTAAACACTCGAGTTGCCATATTGGATTTTTGAAATTGAATTATTGGTTTTCTATCAAGATGAGAAACTCCATACTAAATACAATACGCAGTTTATATCAATGGCAATATAGAAACAACTTATGAATTGTATGTTGAAACCAAGCCTTTTTTATATATATTTGTTGGCTTGTTCAGCAACGTGAGACGAATATAGTGCACTAGCTCTCATATGAGAACTGACGTGAACAAAAGTTATATCTATAACATGTTCATCTATATAGTTGAACATGTAGCATGTGTTGTAGATTGTGGCACTCGATCACAGTAGGGTGCAACTTACTCAAGGGAAGATTGAACAATTATTGAACTTTCGGCTAGAACAAGTCGAACCACCTACTCCTTCTGGCTTTGAAATCAATATTGCTTCATGCCTTGATGAACGGAAATTGTGGATCTAGACTCCCTTAATGGTGTACTTTTATATGATACTCGAGATGATAGGAACAAAAAAAAAGACGAATATAAATGACTGCCGCGCACTGTCTTTCATTTCCTTTTGTGAAAAGCACACAAGTTCTATATATATGTATTCCCTTTGGAACTATAATACTTATTTCTCGCTAGAATGCGAGTTACTTTGCTGCTTGCTATTCATGAGCTAGCATATGAAGCTTTTAGATCATTAATTTTATGTAGTTTTAAGGCAAAGTCTCTGTAAATTCACGATGTGTTGATATTGTCGCACTATATTTGCAGGACATATACACTTAATTTTATATTAAGTCACTTTAAATGGATCGATTAATCAATTCAATTTAACATGCGTTTTATTGTTTAACAATGGTTCATTATTTCATCAACTCGAGTATAACTGCATTTAGATGGATTTATAATTAACAACTCTGTATTAATTAATCATTGATTATAACGGAGGTTCAAAATATTCATTACTAATCAAGAATTACTTTTTGAAAAAAAAAATGATTGAGAAAAGTTTGAAATCATAACAAATTGGTTATATATAGTATGCAAATTCACACTGAGTATATTTATTGAAATACAAGCATGCTGATTTCAATGTAAAATGCAGTCTTCTGATTCTGAACTTAATTTTCCATTTCTATATATATAGATCTATATCTCGTATCCAGAACTTTAATGAAATAGAAAATGTTCATTTTCCTTGATCTTAATGCAAAGCACAGTCCTGGAAATTCCTAGGCATTCTAGATAGTTTGCATAGAAAATATAACTGGGGACAGGACAGTTCACAAAGCAATCAAGCAACGTAAATGAGAAACCAAGAAAATTACTCGTTCAGGAAGATGCTCAGAAATTATACTCTCACTTTAATTCAATTTCACGCCTGAAGAGTTCACACTTCCTTGCGGATTGACAAAAATAAATCATCCAATCAACAAATATATGAATAAGATCATACAAAAGTATTATATGTATATGTATATATTATGTATATATGTATATATTATATGTAATTATTCTTTCTGTATACAATCGCTCAAGATATTTCAACGATTTCGTAATATTTCAAAAACAACTCAATTCAAAAAAGGGTCTTTCAAGTATTATGTAAGCATTTTCCAGAAGGTAATTTTTACAAAGGGTTTAATTAAATCTTACATAATAGTTTTTCTTGTAATTTCAAATGGCTTAATATTTATTTGACCTAAATTCATTTAAATATTATTATATAATGAGAAGAAAAGTAAAAACTTACCAAATAGAAATTGGTCGCATTGGAATCGCCATAAGGATATGGAGTGTAAACAGCTAGAGCCACACAATTCGCAAAAATCGTCATCAGAATAAGCCATTCGAACGGTCTAAATAATAAAACTGTATTAAGGAAGATATTGAATTAAAGAATGAAAGTATATAGAGCTCGAGAGTGCCGCAAGTAGATATCTGTGGTTTTGGTCAGCCAGAGAGCCAGTATAACAACCCGCGCAATACAATGAAAGTGTAAATATCAAGGATCGTAAAAATATCATTTCTCATAAACGAGGAACAAAAAAAAATTATAGTGCTCGTCAGAATAAAAATAAAAATCCACAATAAAGCAATCATAAAAGTTCTTTCAATGAAAAAAATTAAAACAGGAAGTTGAAAATAAAATCCATTACAAAATGAATTAGAATAAAAATAAATTAAATTACATATAATGAAATTTTTACTTTCATTCTTCCGTCAAAAAATAAAAAAATTTATTGTCAACTCATTGATGAGGAAAAAAAATTTTAGTACAATTTTTTCTCTTTTAGTTTAGGGTAAAAAGAATGACAAAATGAACATTAAAAAATATTCAAGTTCACCCCATTTGCGGATGAATCGTGTTAGATTACTTCAAAGGGAATCCTATCTGGTTGAGAGGAAAAAGGTTGAAAATTGAACGTTGGCGCAATTGGCGATTTAAACTTTTCTCACATAAATACATTTCGTGGGATGATGATTCACTATATTGGATTGACGAGCAGTTTCAAACCCCTCGCAGTGCGTTATTTCGAAAGGAAAAGTCGAACTAAAAATTGATGAGATGTGATTTTGACGTTAACCAAAAATATGCATGAAAGTTGATGCGCACAAAATGAGATTAAAGTATGCGAATGAAATTCTGATTGAAAAAGGATACTTCCACTCGACGACGTCAATGCACATTTTTCGAAGGGGGTTTTTTAAAGTGAGAAAGAAGAGGGCCCTGACGGGCCTGTCGGAGGCTGCTTTGCCACCACGACGAGCCGGACGTTTCGGAGCCGAAGCTTTGACTGCGGCCTGACCAGCCACACTCGCGGCTCCGGCTCCGGGTCCCGTTTGTGAAACATTGGCTCCCGATTGTGCAACTTGTTGTGATTGCTGAAGTGGAGAGGTGGCAGTGGAGGGGGTCGCGGCCGTGGGCTGGGCCCCTCCTTGTAAAGGGCCCAACGCTGAGCCGCCATCCCCCGTGCTCATCGGTCGCTAGTGTCGAACTCCGTTCTTCTAGATCGCTTGCGGCTCCTCGACGATTGACGCCGATTTTCGGCCAATGATCGACGTGGAGTCAAAAAGACTTCCTTCCCGCAATTGATCCGCATGCTACGGCCCGGTTATCCTCTTGGGATTCCTCTGCGAGCTGAAAAACAAAAAATAGACAATTCAAAATTACTATTTAATTATTTTCTCAATTCTCTTAAAGTATAGCAAAGGCAAGTTTTTTTTTTTTTTTTTTTTTTAAATATTTATAGATCTCGTGAAGGGAATTAGCTAAAAATATTTCAATTGGTGCGACTCGTGTAAAAAAAGTAATGAAAGGATTTGTCGAGCTTTAACTAACGAATACAATTCTGGCGACTCTGTGACGATGACTTTATTACTTAGCTATAAATTGGTATTAGTGTTGGTTATAAAAATACGAAAAGAGGTATATTCACACAAGAAGTGAGTCACTAGTGGATGGCAAAGTAATTACCGCTTTGAGTTGTTAGAGAGAGAGAAAATCTAATATGTATCACCCACTTTGTTATTGCAATTACAATAAATTAGTTTCGCGAACCGTCTCTAACTATTTTCCGAAAACTAATCACGCGTACAAAGTTATAAATGAGTCGTTTTAAATGTTGCCAACTTTAAATTGTTAAACTTTTTTTTTACAATCTATTCGCACTATAACCATTTGGAACAATATTTTCAAAATAATTTATGCTAATAATTCTCAAATATAATATGTACAGAATTCTTGATCTGAAATCTCGAAAATTCAATCTTCAAGTGATATATGTAATATACAATAAGAAGAGCATTTTTTAATCAGAAAAATGTAATTATTAACTCGATAGTTAGCTTGCAGTGTGAAGTCAAGATGAGCAGCTCATCGAGAACCATTTTATTGATTATTCTCTCAGGCAATATTATACATTTTTGAAGAAATACTTAGAGTATATATATATATATATATATATATATATATATATATATATATAAATGAGGGGTGAGTGTGAAAAGGCCGAGGATATAGAAGTTTGATCGAGTCGAAATAAAATATTGACCTTATTTTTATTTCAGTAGGTATATAAAACTTCCTACCTAAAAAATTATTTATAAATAAATAATACCATTTATTATCATAAATTTATACCATTTTGTAATTTGACAAATGTATATAAAATATTTTTTTCTGTCAATATTTGCAATTTTTATCTTTTTTAATGAAAAATTGCTTCGAAAGCACAAATTTAATTCAATTCTATTTGTATGAATAAAAGTCCACTGAAAGCAATAGTTGTATACGTATACTGAAAATGCATATAGCTATACCATAAATCCTGATCTGTATCAATTTATAGTTCTCTTATCCATATCCTCAGAACCCTAGGAAGCAAATGTGCCTTTTCCCACGTATATCAATAAAAATATATATTAGTAAAAATTACGAGAATGTGATAAAAAAAACATTTATTTATTATTGGCCTAATGAATATTTTCATTATTATTACTATTATTGTCATAATCAGATTTGTTATATTAATATTTATTGTTTAGAAAATGTAATATTTCATTTTTGTCTCTTTTTATTTTTACACTCGATTTTTGAATCCTACATTTTTTTCCAAGTCGTACAAATGAATATTTCCCTCATATGACAACAAATCGATTGTATTATTATTTTTATGAAAATAAGTATTGTACGAACGCAATAAAAGGGAAGACTATTGTCTCCCCTTGTGCAATCTGTGCTCTTTTTCATTTTATTTAAAAATAAACATCAATAAATTTTTAATACGTTTAGTTCTTTTTTTTATATATAAAATAAAAGTGAAAAAAATTTCTTAATTTATCTGAAAATTGATCGACAGAATTTCATTGAAACAAATATAAATATAAACAAACAAACTTTTTTTCTTTTTTGACAATCTATTGTCTTGATAATAGACTAAACAATGCAAGTGTCAACCTATGTACTGAAGATTGTTTTTGGATCGAGTCAAACGAAAGTAGTTGCCTCTCGTCGTTCCGTTCGGGCGACCTGGGACTTCATAGTGGAGGTCTGCTATATTTAGTGAACCTAAATTCTAGTAAAACTCTCTCTCTCTCTCTCATCTCTCATAAGAAAAAAGAATAAACCTTCGTTTTAAAAAAAAGGTTTATAAAAGTTTTCCTAAAAAATAAAGAATATTAAACTTATATTCTCAAGGAAAGAGAAAGTAATGTTAAATTATTATTATTATTATTAATATTCCATGAAATTGTAATACAACATTATGTTTATTTGCAGCCATATAAAATCATTATTTTTATGTTGGGAAATGTGAAAAAAAGGAACCGACATATATAATATTTCTTACACAAAAAATAATAATATTGGATCATTTCCAAAATCATGCGTTTGATGGAAAATTTTTACATCTTTTAAATTTTTGTCTGTGACTCATATTGGTCTGTAAATATATATAATGTTTGTGAGTCTCTGTTTCGAAAATAAAAACCTAAAGAATTTTAGAGATTTACATTTCAGTAACAAACGAATTGCATTTTAATTTTAAGGAATGTATGAAATATTTAAAAAATATATATTATTTAAATAAAAGTAAAAACTAATTTATCAAACCGACGAGAGAGAAGAATATTTCCGAATCAATGAAATTATACAGTATGAGAGAGCTCGAATAGAAAACTAGATTCGGAATGAGATATAAAATGAAGGAAGTCATTTGTGAATCAACTTTCCACAAGTTCGGAACTTGACTTGAAATACGTCACTAACTCTCCGGTCATTACACCTGCAGGCAGATTTCAATTTAAATACCTTTCCATTCTCATTTCCACACAATTTTTAAATTATTTTTGAATAAAATGATGCTTATAATAATTGCTTATGAAGCAATAAGGTCAGAGACTCTCGAAAAGGAAATATAAGGTCATGAAATATGTACAATAAGCCCTCGAATAGAAGTACCCTGAAAGGTAAGAAATAAGTGATGAGTTTAATACTCTAATGTACCAATATATCTGACTTCAATATGATACAAGTAGAGGCTAAATTTTCCAGTGCTCAGAAGACAAGGACACAATATTACAAATAAACTTCCTTAACGTTGCCCTTGGAAAATTTTAAAAAAAGTCGATCATATCTGTGTTTATGAGTAAAAATTAATTATATAAAAACAATAAGACTATTATTTTATAGAATAAAAAATTATTTTACTATTATTTTTCTAATCTTTGTGGTGTGAAATTGTCTTTATTATTCGTGTATACATTAAGATAGTGAAAATGAGTCGAAAAGATTTGAAAAATGCTCGAAAAGCAACGAAAGTTAGAAAGACACTTTCTTGTAAATATATTTCCGTCTCATAAATAGTTTTGCAAGCATCAGGAAAGATAATGGTTGTCCCCAAACCAGTGACCTACTTTGGAATAGTCGGATTCCCGAGAAATGAAAAGCACGACACGTTCCTGTGGAGGCAAACGACTAGAAAGAAAAAATCGAATGAACATTGTTGAAGGAACAAATAGAAAGAGAACAATGGGCTCACTGCTCGTCTCAAATGCCAATTTCAAATGAACTGAGTTTTTTTTCAAAAGAGGGTAAACGCCATATTTTTCAAAGGAGTTTCACACGATTTTCTTCTCCCGCCGCAATGACTATATTTATAAAGGCAATTTCAACTTGAAAAACATACACAGAAAATAGAGATTTTACGAGAAGAAAACAGTAAAATATTTTTCGTTTTTAACTATTTTATATATCACGTTGCGATTGCATCAAAATGACATTTTTTTCTAATGCAAAATCAAAGAAGATTGATATTTGTGTTATTATTACAAATATAATTTGCCATCAATTTTAAAATCATTCAAAGTTCAAGAAATATAAATCCGTCACTTTTTAAAGCATTTTCTTATGTAGTTTCTGTTGAAACAAGAGCCCATAATTCTGCTATAAAACGGATTGCATTATTTTTTTTTTATCAACAAGTCCACGTTAGCATCTTTGAATTTTGAATCATTTTAAAAGAACTTGATCTAGATCGTACTTTTTTCTACACATATACATATTATAAATGACAATAAAATTTTACGGTGAAAGAGTACATTCACTAGAATTATTTGTCCATTTAAATGTATAGTAATAAATGTAGTGAACCAGAAGAAAACGAGATAAACAAATGTTGTCGAGGAAAATAAATGATTCACACTTTCAGGACCATTGTTATATATGTATATACTCTTTTTTTTATCGGGTATTTTTCATTCAGTCTCTACACCAGGGTGTTAGTGCATAGTTGGTATAATGGTCTTGCCAGATTCACTTGACACAGAAATTCATGAGATAACAATTCACTGCATCTATTCACTTTTAGTGTATATATTTGCTTTCGAATGATTTGACTTAAGATCAAAGTGATATAGCGAATTCCAATGAGTAACGATAACGATTTAAATACACACTCACAGACCATTCAAATAATTTGAAACAAAAAGTAGATTCTATTTTTAAGCGTTATAAAACGTTCAAAATATGTGCATTTTGTTTTGAAAATATTGAAATGGGAGTTCAGTAATGAAAATATCGCATATTTGTCAGACGCTTCTACGTGATTAAACATAATGACAAATATCATCAATTCACATCGCGCTCTGTTGTTATATTTTCACAATGAAAATGAAAGATATCAAAAGTGACGAAAATTCTCTGAAAGAAAATTAAAATATATGTGGAAAAAGGACATTCAATTACTCTGCTTTAAGAGAAAAACTATGTACCTACGGTATAAAGAAGAAAAAAGGAGTTTTTCAGTCATAAATAATTGAATCTCCTGTCGTTTTTTTTAAAAAAGGGTAAAAATTGATATAAAAAAAAAAGCTTTTGTGAATTTTAAATCTAATTACAGTGTCGGCGTTTTTTCTGTGAAAACATTTTGAGAAAAAAATACTTAATCGAGGTATAAAAATCGTTTGTCTACAAATTTTATATCAAATTTTTCAATTAAGGCATATTATTGTTTGCAATTGTATCGGTTTAGTAAAAACATTCTTTAGGTATTTCTTCGAGCGAATTTTTATAAAGGGCAACAAAATTATTTTATTTGAATGCTTATTCTTAGAAATTTTCTTAATTGGCAAACATACGGATTTCTTCCTAAAGAAACTTTTTTTGTTATCGTAGCTTTTGAAAGCGAACTATATATATATATATATATATATATATATATATATATATATATATATACAATACGCGATTTCATGCTCTACTATTACAGCATCAATCAGAAAATATACTTTGTTTTGTTTACTAGTATATCTTTCAGCTTGAAAAAATAATTCACTAATAAAAGCAACATACATAATGGAAATCATTATAAAATATCGATTTGAAATTAAAAAATAATGAAGGTAGAATACAAGCAACTATTTAAATAGAAAGTATATATATATATATATGTGTGATAAGAGTGAAACCCTCTTCATTTATTTTACGTGTCACACGATGAGCAAACCACCAACTAATCGTTTTCTCTCTTTTTCCTATGTGGATCTAAAGATAAGCTGCCGATAATAATGTGTATAGCGTGGATATATGTTAGCGTAAGGGTTCAAAAAATCAATATTATATGACACTCTATTCGGTGCAATGATTTCCTTAGTTTCACTGGAAAATGATAAGTGAACTAAATCTTACAGTGACCTATTTTTAAGAAATGCGAGAGACGATCGATTTACTTTAAGAAAACCAAGGCTAAGTAGTGGAAAATACCGATTGATATAAACTATATACACTATATATAATTTCCATTTGTCATGTCTCTAAAAGTGACAGCAAAGTTATAAATATATATATCCATTGTAGTTTTTACTTTGACAAAATAATTTCCAACTGTCATTCTATAATACCTTGTAAATGACAATGCTTGGAAAATGTTGAAAATAGAAAAAAAAACTTTTTATCAGTCATTTTCTTATATTGAACAATGCAGTACATTTTTTTTACCAATAAGTAGATTAAAAAATTTTTCGTATCACCTTTAAATTTTATTTCTGAATATAAAATCAGCCTTGTTGTATTTAGTAATATCTAAAAATTATAAAAGTATTTTTCTTCACTGTTCTATTCTATTTTATGAATATTTATATATATAGAAATAAAGAAAAATCGTTAATTCAGAAACCCCATTTATATAGATCTTGATATTTATAATAAGAAGATTTTTATCATTATTCCTTTTTAATAATGGTTAACAAATTTCCGTCTATTTTAACATAAAGTTTTTTGAAAATATTATGTCATGCCTGACACTAATTAGAATTTTAACTCAAAAACATTTAGACTTTTAAAACATGATATCTCCAAGTAAATAAAGAAAAATATTTTTTCATTCTTTTTTAAAAAATATGAAAAAAAGCAATGCACCGAATTCTAAGAAAATGTATTTAATATACGTTAAAAATAATAAAAGCGAATTAATTAACAACCACAATATTAGTTATTTTGTCAAATTTAAAAAAGATGAATTTTGCAAATTACAAAACATGGCTTCAAAATACAATTAATTGCCATTAAAATTTTGAATACAATTTATAATTGGACAATATCTTTCGATCCTCATATAATTACTATCCTTGTTCCTCTTTATAAATGCCAATATCGCGTGTTTACATCATCTTTCCCAAGTAAAAGTGTACCCCTCGTATAGTACCTATCATGCCTAGATGCTCTTAAAGCAGAACTATGCACTGTCTGAAGTCAATGCGTGTTACGGAATGTGCGTGTAAATGTGCAAGCATACATTGTCGTCTGGTATCTTTCATTACAAAACTAAAAAGACTTTACATTGGCAAAATGCCATAAGACATTCGACTGAACCAACGCGACCCGCTATTTTCCGTCGTTAACTACTACTATAAACTGTCGCTGCTTTCTCAAATCTACAAATTTTAGTAGGACACGAAAAGTAGGTCGTTCACTAATTCATTTGTTTTCATAAATATATATAGTCATCAGAATCGACAAATTTTTTGAAACCTTTCAACAATAAATCTTTCAAGAAAATTCAATTTTTACCATGAGTAAACCTAATAAGTGAAATGTCCTTCCTATATATAAACAAAACTTTTATTCAATTCAACTTTGACATAAATAAAACTTCTTTATATACATAAAAGATAATTTTCCATACTACAAATAAATTACACAAATATTATTTGACAAAATATTAATTTCATAGAAATTTACTACCTTTAATCGAATTTGCTTCTCATAAAAATTTCATTTTACCGAATTGCCATTTGACCAAACAAATAATATATAACAACAATAAATAAGTTTCTTTTTAAATTAGTAGTAATACCTCTTTGTTCAGCCAAATGAAAATTTATTGAAATAGAAATTCTGACATTTAACAATTCGGCTAAATGAAAATTCAATCAAACGTAAATTCTGTTAAATGACTTGAATTCTCATATATGCTCCAATAACTATATCTGTTCATTACAAATTTAACTCCATGGAAAAAATAACGAAATTCATCAGAGAAATTTATGGATTATTATTTTAGAAAGTGGGGAAACTTTTTTTTATCAAAATAAAAATCAGTATAACAAGCTGCGAATATTTTATACTCTTCTGAGATACGTAAACCGCAGAAAAAATAAAAAAAAATAATAATTACAATTCAATTTTATGCAGACACAGTTTCAATGTTAAGTTTATATATTAAAAATGTAATAGAAAACGATTTATTTCTCAGTCAGATTTATGAGTTGCTATAAATTTCTAAACAGGCAATGTGCGCTTTAATGCGGCACTCGCGCACAGAAACTTGAAGGAGAATATTTCTCTCGATAAGCTGCCATGTACCCGCGTGCGAAAAAGATGGGCACATGTGTGTGCGAAATGGAAAAAGGAGCTTGGGGAAAAATGGTTTCAAGAGATCAAAAGCGAATGAGACCTAATGAGATTGACCCATTTATCTCAAGACCACACCCCATGAAAGTAACTGTCGTTTTATTGCAATAAGATAACGTATACCTATAATGCAATCTAAAAATTTTATCTATATATACAATAATCCTTAAAACCCTATCAAATTATTCAACAATAAATCTTTCATAATTTTAAATAAACCGAAATAGTTAAAAATAAATAAAAATTTTTAACGGAGTTGTCAGCTGGTTTTAAAACTGATACTAAAATTACGAAAAATTCAAAACGTCGTCTTGGAACTATACTAATACAAAATTCACAAGTCTGACTGAAACGGATTTTTGCTACTAATATCAAAATTACAAGACCTTTGAAATCTTCTATCTAAATGACACTCACTAAATTCGCAAGTATTTGAAATAGCTTTGTCTGACTGTTAATGTCTTTTACTACTGAATATGGAGAGTGGATGGAGAAAGTATTCTGACATGAGATATAAGATTGAAGAGGGAAAGGGGTTGAACAAAAATATTACTAATGCTTATATAGGGGAAGGAGACAACTTAAAAAATATTTTTACCTAATATTGAAACAACCCCTATTGAACGTTCCTCTTTCTATTCCTATATTGTCGTTTCAAACTTTATTATTTACAATACTTTAATTCTGCGTTAAGGTGGAAGATATCAATTGAATAAAATTTTACTCTTTTCTAACGCTATATAACATTGTTAGCATTTCAATTAATTAAAATCAAAGTATATATTATTATAGAAATAAATAATGAATTTAATTGTATTCTCTTTTAAAAATAGTACAACAATACACACTGTTCCAATCAAAATAAATGTCATTTTTGTTCATTTTGTGAAATTATTTTTAAAAAATATTTAATAATAAATGAAAAATTGACATTTCTCAACTTCTAAGGTTTTTAAACAGTTATGTTTAAAACGAAAATTTGTCAGATATATTTATCAGAAAGGTGTCACAATTAATTTAACGTTTTTCAAATGTAAACCGATCAAAGTTTAATTTTCATTTCAATTAATTGAAAACAGAAAAGAATTTCTCCCTTTCGAAGATGACAACTTTAAAAAATTAGAGCGTAAAACCAATGAAATAGAAATTGCGCTCCACTTGACGTATCACGCCATATAGCCTTTTCAAGGGTGAACGGACTCTGCTCTGAACTATACATAGTAACTACATCAGTTGTGTCAGCCGTTCCGAAATAAGTAGAATAATGTTACAATGTCGATCCTCGAAAAACAATGTCTAAAAATATTCACCTGTTCCCAAACTCTTATTTTACACGTTTAACTTCTTGCGAAACAAAAGGTTATTGAATAAACACAATTTTCGAAAATGAGAAAAAAAATATTTACAAATTACTTCATCTCCTCTACGTTATTTTTACAACTCAATCACTGTTTCCCTATATATAGAGAATGTAATTTTGTTTTTATTTACTTTTATTATTTTACTTTATAACCATTGCTTTTTTAATTGAAATATTTTTGTTTAATTTAAAATAACACGTTATTTAATTAAGTATGTACTTTTCATTTAAAAACCACTTTTTAATTTGCCTTATATATAAAACTCAATTTTTATATGAAATTGCTACAAAAAATATATTTTCCCTAAACAAATTTCCACCTCTTAATAAAAAAAATATATATGAATTTCTAGAAGTGAAAGAAGAAAAAAAAGAAATTTCAAATAAGGGGAAAATTCGTTTTGGTAAATGAGAAACTTGGAATCAACATTGCCGAGTGAGCAATGCCCTAAAAATTGAGAAGACGTTGAACTTTCAACTCACCACATCTTAAAAGTAAAGTGAAGAAGATATCACGTGAACCGGGCGGATCCGCTCGTCATATCCGTTCGTATTGCACTTTATAGGCACTCACTAGTCACGATAGAGCCGAAAGGGGTTGAAAAACTGAATGAGCCACACAGTGAAATGAATTCAATAAAATATATATAGATATAAAAGGGGTAAAGAGGGGGTGTTTTTTCGGACTGGTCTCGTCTTTCGGAACAAACTCACACACAATATTTTTCTCACACGCCAGCAAGTCTCGCGCCTGGTCGCTTCCTCTTCTCGCACTAATTCCTCGCCTATATGCTCACTATAAACTTATAAATAGATATCTGGGTGCGTTTGCTTATTTATATTCTTTTATCGTGTTCCTGGTGCTTTTCACACGCACGGAGCCGCGGAGCAATTAAAAACGGGCATTTTTTCCATTTCATAACCGGAACAAGTAAAAATCAACAATAATAATAATAATAATAATGGATCAACGATTTGTTTCCCGGGGTGAGGAATTCCCACTCTTTCTCTCTCTCTCTCTCTCTTCCTCTTTATATACACTATAACGAACGTCGACGAGCACACGACGCAAAGCAGGATCAATTTTCCCGACTCGGGACTATCGCCCTCAACTCTCAAATGCACTGCGAGTTCAAGCTTTCGGCTTTCGATATATAGTATATATAATTCGAGCGCCACCCTTTCGCCAACCCAAGGGATGAAAAGCGTAGCCGAATATGCTTGTGAAATAAAACTATATATATCTTTTTCAACTCAAAATCACGTATAGTTTATCACACTAGTTTGAGAAACGACTAATAGAAAATTGACTTTCTTTTCCTTATCGTTTTTTTTTTTTTTTTTTTTACTTTTTCCTTGTCTTCTATATATTTCTTGTTTTTTCCACCCCCTTGGACTCTCTAGGCAGACTCAGCGCGAATCGGGTGGTGTAAAATCGTACTCTGGGCACCAGCAGCAACGCACCACGCCAGAACCTATTTGCCCCCACTATCGTTATCCGCCGGTTCTACGACAGCGACGCCTGGCGTCGTGGCGCCCACCCCCACCCGCAATGGAGAAAGCTTTTGCTGAGCGCACACCGAGCTAGGGAAAAGAAGAGGACGACTCAACCTTCCAAACCTATCTATCCTATTCGACAAATGCACTTGCGCCACGAAAAAAAGGCACGTGTGTACATAAGAGGGTTGAATAAATGAATTTATAACAATTGTCCTATAGACAAAATCCAAGAAATAACATTAGATTCGATTAAAATAAAAGAGGTGGGAAGGGGTGATGCGTCAGAAAATGGGCTACAAAACATGGATTTGTCGCCTACTTTTACAAGGGGTTGAATTCAAGAGCATGAAAACAAAAACTCTTTAGATAATGGATTTCTTATGAACGAAAATTACAACTGAAAAATTTCATCAAGACTTACCGAAATTTTTTAGCATGAAGTGAAGTAATGGAAAAAGAACAATAATGATGATGATGATGATGCGGTGGTCCAAATTGCCTCTCAACCGAATTGATATTTCACCTAAAAAAGAATTCTCATCAATCCAAATTGACAATATTTAGTTCATTTTAAATAATAATTAAACATTAATTAATTTCTTTAATAAATCATTTAATTTGAATAATAAAAATAAATCAAATCATATTTTTTAAATATTATAGATTTAGAAAATCATTTAAAAACGTTGAAAAATGTATTTTCAAAATATTTGATATATGGGATAATTTTCAAAAATTAGACAGTCAAATGTATTCAGTTATATAGAACTAGACTAAGTTTATATACAATGAAATGGCTGACGCGTAAAGCACGTTACTACTTGAAAAGAAAAGTGCAACCGGCGTGATTAACAATGCGACACTGACAAAAACTGAATAAAATTTTAAAGTAAAATGAATTTTCAGAAAATACATTATTCACAGAAATATTCCTAAAACTATGATATTTTACTAAAAAATGTATAAAATATTATTATGTGATTATTATAAAATAAATTATTCCCATAAAATAAAGATATTTAAATAAGTGAAAAATTAATTAATTAATTTAATTATGCATAATTGAAAAGTCTTAATTTTTATATTCATAGACAATAAGTAAATAATCTTAAAAGTAAAAAAAAACAATTAATCTGAAAGCTACATAAAATACAATTTATGTAAAATATCCACGTTTTTGGTAACTATGACAAATAATAGTAAAATTACAAACACGTGGTAAAAGATAGTTGTAGTTTTATTATTATTTACAGCAAAATTACCAATATTTCTACGAAAATCACGTTGTACAGTGCAATTTCCATATGCATTGACAACGCGAAAATAAAATAAAGTAAAAAAGAAAATATGAAAAATTAAAATAAACATGTATATAAACAATAACAAACCTGTATTTAATATTTTTCTTTCTTTCAATGTCAGCTTGTATTCAAATCAGATACGAAATACTTTTAAATATGTCGCGGGGTTCCAGTGTATTTTAGGTTATGTTTGACAGTCGAACCCACGCTGAACGACTAATTATATTTTATACAATATAATTCCAAACAAACACTTATCTTTCAACAATAATCAAGATACTCACTATTAAAGTACACAAGAAATTAACAGAATTATTGTTGAATTGTCAAAAATATAAAAAAAAAAAAAAAATGCTAATGAAAAAAGAATAAAAATTCTAACCTTTTTACCAACAGTTGATTCCTCTCTCTGCTCTCTCTGTTGCCCACTTTCCCTTCAATCCGAAATTCTGGACTACTTTCAAAGACTCAATGACAATGACCTGCAATGAAATACTTTAGGTTAATTTCATGTTCCACTTAAATTCGTTAAATTCATTAACGTTTTGTTAATTCTAAAAAAAACAATTAAAAAATTATCACTACTAATAATTGATAATTACAACTGCAATAAATTCATGGATAAAAGTTTTTTTCCTTTATTGCAAACGTTTGATAAATGCTTAATGGAAAAAAAATCTTTTCTATTCTGAGATTTCAGCAAATAAACAACAATAAATAATTTCGTCAAAACAACGCATGACGAGACGCGCGTTCAGCGTCTCTCCCCACCGCCAAATTTTGCAATAATTTCGGCGCGACATTCATCTCTCATTTTTCAATTTAGTCTTCTTAATCAACATATTATGCTCAATCCAACTCATTTATCATTAATCATAATTTTAATCACACTAAATATAAAATACTCTTCTCAATAAAGTTTTTTTATAAATTTTAGGTTGTGAAATGACTCGAGAGCGTGGCGGAAGCAGTCTGATATTTCCGGTGCTTTCCGTTGTATCCCAATTTTTAATTGGGCAAGATTGAGAAGTGTCGTCTTAGACGACCAATAAGACTATAGCTGATAACGTAAAAGGAATTGGAAACCATTACTGTTCTCTTTCCCGATCGTAAGCCGGCACCGGTTCACTAAAAGAACCGATATCACTTTATTAGTAAGTTTTTCATAAACGTAAAGCCTTTAAAATTTGTGAGCCTTTTCTCCGTATAAAAAGTAGACGAACGCGAAGCGGCTTCGAGAAACAGTGCTCGTCGCATAAGTATGGCAGCAGTAGACTTTTATCAGAATCAGCAGCAAGCCGATGGCCAGAATCAAAATCCACAGGCCACGGCTGGTATCCCTGGCAAGGATGACGAGCGAAAACTCTTTGTTGGAGGATTGTCCAGGAACACAACCGAAAACGAACTCCGGGAACATTTTGGGAAATTCGGCGAAATTGAGAGCGTCTCTGTAAAAATTGACCCCTATACTGGAGTTTCCCGAGGTTTTGCGTTTATGGTCTTCACGAATCCGAAAACCATTGACAAATTATTGGCGTCAGGCGAACATTACATCAACAAACGTAAGGTTAGTATCGAAATGCTGATAATGAAATACGTTCATTTTTTTCACCACCTTAGAAGTATCCCTATTTATCCCTTTTTTCATATATTCCCAAGACGCTTTTATTGTACTGTCGTCATTGTCTAAAATTAACGTTGCGTTCCCGATGCTAAAAACGCATTCAGGAACGTACACGAAACACTTTGTGATTTTGTTCCGTAAATTAATAAAAACTCATGTTATTTCACACGTGTCTGAATTTAATTATTATTTGAAAAAGATAATTTAATCTTCCCCTATGTTGAACAAATTCTTTATTTAATTCGTAACTTCCGCTATATTGTAATTATTGACTTCTCGTATTATTCAATTATTCGAATTTATAACCTGTCTTTTATTTTTTTTAATATTTTAAAATTTATTTACTAGAAATTTTTCCTTTTTAAAATTTTTATTATTCATGGTCCAGTGGCGCTTGATAAATTCTAGTCTGCATTACCTAAAAAGCTAAAAAAAACATTTGTAGGGATGTTTGATTGAAAAATCTCTTATAACTGTTTATCTTTATATTACGTGGATATACTTGATTTACCTAAACATCATTATAATAAGCGAAATAATTTTTGTTATAAATCACTAGTGCACGTGGGAAGTATAATTTAATTTTAAAAGTTAACCTCAAATACTCATTCGAAATAAACTAAATAATAACTTACAGTTTTCTAGTTGAAAAATTTCAATTTTCTCTTTGAAAAATAATTTTTTTTGTCAAACTTGAAAATTGACTAATATTGGGTAACAAACGATCCAATATCAATTTTCAAATTTAATTATAATAATGACAATAATAAATTGATTTAATTATATATTGTAAATAAAAATTGTGAAAATGTTCAGATACTTAATGTTGAATAGAATGAATTTTTTTACTTAAGAAAAAAATTAGATAAACAATTGAAACAAAAGATACTCCATATTTTCATATTTTTAAAATCAAGAAACAATTTACAATTGAAGAGTGTTTCACTGTAAGTGTAAACAATTATAATTTTGTCACAGAACCATTGAAAGTTGTTTGAATAAAGATTTAAAAATTCTGTCATTAAGAAATAATTTAGGTAACATAACCTAAAATTTGACAATAATTTCTTTCAGGAATTTTGAATTTGTATCCAAATATAAGTTTTAATGATTCAAAATGTTAAAAATAACTTCTTCACATATTCACAGAGAAACTTTTTTTTATCAAAAATTGTATTTTTTAATTTCTGACTGAAAAAAGTAAACTATTTTTAAATAGAAAAATTAATAAAATAAGGTAATAATATATATAAATTTATTAACGTTTAGGTGGATCCGAAACGAGTAAGCAAAAAGGCACAACATGGAAAGATATTCGTGGGTGGACTGACTCCAGAAATCACGGACGATGATATCAAGACGCATTTCGGTCAATATGGAACGGTCGTGGAGTTACAGGCTCCATTTGACAAGACAAAAAATCAACGTAAGGGTTTCTGTTTCGTCACCTTTGAATCGAGAGATGTCGTTTATAAGCTGTTAAAGATTCCAAAACAAAAAATTAATGGCAAGGATGTTGACGTAAAAAAAGTCAAGGTCAATCCTGATCCAAGGGCTCAAGGATTTTGGGGACCTGGATTTGGATATGGCGGTTATGGTGGCGGTTACGGATACATGAGCGGCGATGGATTCAACGGTTATCATGGATACGATGATCCGTACGCAAACTATGATTACGCTGGTTATGAGGGCTACGAGAATATGGGATACGGTCACATGCCAGGTAAACCAAGAAATGGACCAGGTGCTGGTCCACGCCAATTTCAAAGACATCAACCATATTAATTATGATGGTTTATGAATTTTTTTAAAAAGAACTCGTGAATTCTTTTTGGCGTTTAAAGGGTATAGTAGGAGGTAAATCGACTCTGTTTTCATTGCTGTGCATATTGAACAGAGAGAATTCCTCCAAATAATCCCTAAAGAAAACAAACAAAAAAAAAAATATCGTGCGCTGTACATTTACTGTAAGCTGACAATTTTTAAGTCATATACCCCGGTGTTGCCAATCAATTCATCTTGGTCATTTGTAAGGTTCGCAGTTCTTCCAAGAAAAGTATCCTTCCAATTTTCGCAAAAGGCGGTTGTTCGTTTTGCCTCCTATTATACTAAAAAAAATAATAATAATAAAAAATTAAAAAAAAAAAAATTCAAAACCTGAATGTCCTATTTTTATATGTACAATGGCAGGAACGCGAAAATTAAAATCTTAAAAAAATTTTTACTTCATATTGATGAAGATATTTGAAATTAATAATTTTTTTCCGGTTGTAGAAAGTTTAATCAACTTTATTGCATGATACCTGCCCGAGCATAATTTATATAGAAAAAAAATTAATTTACAGAAAAGGATACCAGTTTGATTTGTCTCCATATTTTTGTTTCTTTTCTTTTTTTAATTAAGTACTAATTTGTACATGTAATAATTTAATACTCTACTGTTAGTAAGAACCCTTAGATCAGTGTTACTTGCACGTCAAGATTCGAGTTTAAGTGAACCGTACTCGACATAGATCTGTACATAATTAGAGTTTTGTACGGTCTACGTACGAGAGAGTGAGAGAGAGTGAGAGACGCTCCTCCAAGGTTCCTAGAACCTTGTTGTTTTATTAAAATATACTTCTTCCTTTTTCAAATAAATAAATAAAAAAAAATCAAGATTGTAATAACATTATATATTCTCCTGTAATTGTTAATCTCAAGTTAAGGGTTCTAACTTTTAAGAATATAAACCGAGACGTGCATAATCACGTTTGCACGTGATTATACACATCTCCATTTATTATTTTTCAATCTGCGTGTACAACGCGCAATTATAATATGAATTAGATATTTACAGTTAGGAATTAGAAGAAAAGTAAAAATATTTCAAAAAATAAATAAAATAAAGTGTATAATTAAAATATGAACGTTTGCGGCATCGACATTACGCAACAGCGACTGAGAGTTCAGAGGTATGTAATCTTTTCAAAAATGAATTTGACTTTTAATGAGACAAAAGAAAAAAAAGAGACAGAAAAAACGAAAATAAAATACCCGAACTCTGTTACTCGCGCGTTGCTGTTTTGTCCAGTGCTGTGTGAAAATGATACGAATATGGCGATAATATTAACACCGTATAAAAACCCAACAAAAAAAAAAAATTATGAACAAAATATTAAAAAGTTTTTCTTGATGCAAAATTCTATAATAAAAAATAAATAAGAACAAAAAAATGGACTGGTGAAACGCTCATGGCAGTATACAACCGACATGAAGTGGCCTGGACAACTTTTAACCATTTCTTTCGCATTTGTAACTATATAAATATAACGAGTCCTTTAAAGGATATGAAGATTATATCTTCATATCGCGCGAAGTCTAGTTATCGTATATATATAGCATATCACTGTTAGTGATAGAGGCCATAGTATACCTTGCAGATAGGTACACTTACGATTTAAATGAAAGAAGAATTTACAATTAAGTAAACGAAAAACAAAGGCCCAGAATATTAAAAAAAAAAAACAAACAAACAAAATACCCTGATAAGATCTAAGAGAAATTTTTTTTCGGCAATTGTAGCATTTATGAAATTTAACAGACTAGATGCATCTCAATTGCATTAAAGTTTGTACATCGATAAATTTTGACACCTTGTTTCGGACCTAATCTTTTTTTTTTTTTTTTTAAATTATACAATAATGAAAAAAGAGGAAAAAAAGCGAATTCACAAAAGTATTAGCAGTTTGGCTTAAAGGGAAACGTTTTTAATTGTCTATCATCATAAACAAAAAATTTATAAAAAGTAAGTTGTAATTCTGGAAGATTTTAAGCCAGGCTAAAGGTGCTTTTGAATTTAAATCTGTATACTATGTATACTGTATTTGCTGTGTGCGAGACAAATATAGATTTATAAAAAGAGAGAGAAACAGTGTGTGGAACAAAAGAAAATATGACGAATATTTTGTTACTATTAATACTATTCGCTTGTTTCACCCATGACACAGTGTATATTTTAATTATAAACAAAAATAAAAGGCCCATTATCTCCGACGCCATTATATTATCGACTTATTCGTTTACCGCTTTATTATTATTATTATTATTATTATTATTATTATTTTAAGTTTTTTCGATGTTTGTCTGTAATTCAACACAATTATCTTCGCTTTATGATGTCTTTTTTGGGTTTGTTTCAATTTACTATTATTATGAAAGAATACAGAATATTTAGATTTATCATTTTTATTATCATTTTTTTGCATGGACACTTATATTCTTTTTTCTCATGATTTATATAAATATATATTATATATAATTCAGGCTTAATATTTTATTATGCGTTATATGAATATTGAATTATATTCATCGTATTAAAAAATAGTTACAGTGTTTGTTAACAAATGCAGGGAAAGATATAAAGAAAATTTCACACAAAAAACAAAAAACAAGGATTTCGTGCATATGTCTTACTTGATTCTCTATTTTATTATATTATTTGATATTTTCTCTAATTACGAGTTATCTTCCAATATTTCAATTATGTATTTCATTTTTTGAACAATTAAATAAATAATATTATATTATTATTATTAGTTATCAAGTATTATTATTTTTTTTTAATTTTATTACAACAAAAAACATCTACTTATTATAAGTAAACTTGATAGTTTACTAAGTTCAATTTAAAAAGTTAAATTTACAATTTTTAATAATTAATTGATTATTTAAAATTATTAAATATTTATTCGGCCAAACACTTTAATGTATTGGTTAATTTATAAAGCAATATTTATTAATTAACCAAGTACAGAAAAAGTTTCGTTGAATTTCAATCAATGGAGATTTACATATTTACAAGTTTAAGTAATGAAAATTTTTTGATTGAAAATGTAAGATTAAATCATTTCTATTTCGAGTATACATTTCAAATTATTTGAATTTAAATCTTTTCTTGAACTGTTTGTTACTCGTAAAAAAAATTTACATAAGTAAATATTCCATATAAATTTAACACACAAGAGATTTCTGTTCAATCAACAAAAGTTGTTTTTCTGTTTATTAATGAAGAAAAAAATTATTTTTCAGTAAATTTTTTGGAGCCAATCGAGACATATCAAAATTGTGAAATAAAAAATTTCTGAAGAAGAGCGTCAAGATACACGGTCATGTTGCAAGTTACAGACACGACTGAGAGCGAGTGCTACACATTTGAGAAACCCAGTATCATTTTATTCAGTCGCGGCGTGGTCGGTGAGCCGCATAGAACTTCGGGCGCAAACGCAAGTTAAAATGCTAATGGAAGATATTGTTTATTTGGGAATTTTATTACTTTCTACATGGTTTGGTCAATATTATCGAAAAATCAAAGATCCCTTTACAAAACAATGGGCAAGCACCTTGTATGGATTGTTGGTGGTTACAACTGTTTCAGGAAGTCATGTGGTTCACCCGATCATCTGCACCCTTGTTAATGCCATCATCGTTACACAGCTGTCTTGGAAGTATGTACACTTATGGTATAGTCACGTGACATTAAACAAAAAAAATAGGTTGATTGCTTGGGTTATTGCACTGTGCATTGCAGATATACAAACGGGAACATCCCGAAAAAGCGGATTCGATCTCCGAAATAAGCATAAAAGGGTCAAACCATTATATTTCGAATGAAGTGGTCGCTGACTAATTTTTAAAAATTATAATACTTTGCAGGAATGATTTTGAAGTTATCAAGATCACGAAATGAAAAGAATTTTAATAAAATTTTAATTATTTATTGCAAAATATGAATTTAAAGTATATGAGGTGCTGAAAACTGTCAATTTTTTAGCTATTAGAAAATATGCAAAAATACGTAGAATTTACCATAAAAATAAAAAATTTTTTTTGTAATTTACTAAGAATGAATAAATTTATCATTATCAATTGATCTAATTATTTAAATATGTGAAATAATATATAAAATATGATTTTCAAGTTCGCCTGTCAAATAACCTAAATTTGCAAATTTCATCTATTAAATGTGAGAAAGAGAAGTCATTAAATTGAAAAAAACCTTACCAAATATAAAGTACCTGTGACTAACTTTTAGTTTTTCTTAGCACTTTTTTCCTTTTTTCTTCATAAATGTGAAATAAAAAGCAATAAAAATTGGCACTTTGCTTATTTGCACTATTTTTAAATGTAAATAACTTTCTTGGAGAAAACTGAAAAATTACAAAACTTGGGCAATATCTAATTGATCACTAAATACACACACTGGAAAAAAATTCGCTTTGGTCCCGAAGATACTTTTTGAGATAATTAAGTTTAAACTTTTCACAATTTTTATCAGGTTAATACATGTAGTTTTTTAAGGACGAAGTTAGGTTTTATTGGTTAAATATTTTGAACTAACTTCAATTTTATAAAAATCACATGTATTAACCTCATAAAAATTGTGAAAAATTTAAACTTAATTATCTCAAAAAGTATCTTCGGGACCAAAGCGAATTTTTTTCCAGTGTGTGTATTTAGTGATCAATTAGATATTGCCCAAGTTTTGTAATTTTTCAGTTTTCTCCAAGAAAGTTATTTACATTTGAAAATAGTGCAAATAAGCAAAGTGCCAATTTTTATTGCTTTTTATTTCACATTTATGAAGAAAAAAGGAAAAAAGTGCTAAGAAAAACTAAAAGTTAGTCACAGGTACTTTATATTTGGTAAGGTTTTTTTCAATTTAATGACTTCTCTTTCTCACATTTAATAGATGAAATTTGCAAATTTAGGTTATTTGACAGGCGAACTTGAAAATCATATTTTATATATTATTTCACATATTTAAATAATTACATCAATTGATAATGATAAATTTATTCATTCTTAGTAAATTACAAAAAAAATTTTTTATTTTTATGGTAAATTCTACGTATTTTTGCATATTTTCTAATGGCTAAAAAATTGACAGTTTTCAGCACCTCATATACTTTAAAGTCATATTTTGCAATAAATAATTAAAATTTTAATAAAATTCTTTTCATTTCGTGATCTTGATAACTTCAAAATCATTCCTGCAAAGTATTATAATTTTTAAAAATTAGTCAGCGACCACTTCAGTCGAAATATAATGGATTGACCCAAAAAATAAAATAATTTCTTTAAGAAAAAAAAACAATTTTTTATGTTACAAATTCAACATTTTTTCATAATAATTTTTTTTTAGTTTTAATGGCAATTTTTGTCTATATAAACAAATTTTTCGAAAACTTAATTTTAATTATATTTTAAAAATAATTAATTCTAGAGAATAGCCAAATAAAATAAAATTTGTTTTAGGAAATAATATTTTTCAAATAAAAATTATTCCATTTAACTTTGCTGAAGTCGGAAACATTTATTAATTCATAACTAAAATTACTTTTCAATGTTTGAGAATATCTTGAACGTTGAAATTGTTTTTTAACGATTTCCATAAATTGATTTTGCTATTTTTTTTAAGATGCGAATCTTAAGTATTTTTTATAATTCATTTTTTATGATAAAAAACTTTAGGAACGTTTTATAATTAATATTGAGAAACTTTTATAAGAATGATATAAGCAACAGGAGAATCTTTTTCTGCTATATTAGTTATTAGCTCCTTTTGTAACATTATCAGGCCAAGTCTATTTAAGTTGTTACGATCAACCTTTGGATCATGATTGCAAGCAATGAGAGATACCAAAACAGAATGGGAAAAAAACTGAAGGAGATGAATATGTAATTTTTAAAGCATTTTTAAAAAACACACTGTTCGTGATATTTACGCATTGCATATATTTTACTGTGTATAGTAAATGTATGCGTTAACAACCAGTTTCATATTGATTTGTAATTTTCAGAAAGTATAATTTGCATTACTCTATCTGAAAGTCACCATTGAAAGAGATTTTTTTTTAATATTGTAATGTTATTCTGTTATAATTGTTCATACTATTCTATAGTTTTTAGGAAAAAAAACATTTTAAGCATTTTTTAATTGATAAATAATTATTTTAAGAATAATTAGATAAAAAGTTTACACTAATTTAATTTAGTAAGGAATTTAAAAATGAAAACATTTGTAATATATTTAATTTCTTTTTATAAATATATTTATAAGATTTATAAGTGCAATTGTCAACAAACGGGTTCATAAATTCATGAAACCGGTTATAAACTGAGTTTTATATACAATCATGCTTATATTTTAATGTAACGTAAAGAAAAGTCGATAAGTTTTAATTATTTTCTAGTCTTCATATATATAATCATATTATTGATATTCCTGAAGTTGTGAATATTTATTTGAAGGAAAATTGTTACATACATTTTTATTTAATTTTTTAAAATTCTAAATTAAATAGAATTTTTTAAATTTTTGTTAATTTGCAGTTATTAATTCAACGTGTATCTATTTTTTCAGGATATGTCACATTGTTAGTATTTTCTTTACTTTCTTTTATCTATTGGTTATCGTTCGATTATGTCATTTATTTGGATTTGAACCCGTGTCGGGTCACACCAGCTTAATTATGATGATGATGACATTAAGGCATTCGGGAGTGGCATTTGAAATTAATTCTGCAGCAACAGCTCCAGAAGATGACGCACAAGGACTTAAATCAGAAGCTTTAAAGCGCGTTACTTTCCTTGACATCTTCCATTATGGATTTAGTTACATGGGTGTTTTAACTGGTATAATACATTCAAAAATAATTAATAACATACATTTTTAAAAAATTCTAAATTTAAATGCACCTTTAAAAAAGAGAAAAACAATTTTTTAAACATTTTAAATTTATTTTTATTATAGGACCTCATTATCGTTATCGAACATATTGGGATTCTTTGCACAGGCCTACATCCGAATATGCTGACCATTGGGGAATAACTTTGTATAAACTCAAACAAGTTGCAGTATTTGCACTTATATTTCTAGTAACCAGCAACGCATTTCCAGCCAAGGTACATTAATTGAAATGTAATTTTAAAGTAAAATTGGAAAAAAATGTGTACAAAAGCATTATTATATTTTCAGTATGCCTTAATGGAGGAGTTCAATAGCAGAAATTTCCTCTACCGATTTTGTTATATTTATCCAACATTTGTAACATTTAGAATGAGAATGTTCATTGGAATGATACTATCCGAATGTGTTTGCCAAATGGCTGGCTTGGGATGTTATCCGACAAAAAGTGAAACAGTCTCTGGTCTGGGACCAAGAAACTATAAACTCATCGAAACACTGTAAATATGTATAATAATATACGATAATCGACTTTTTTGTGAAATTCAAACTGCTGAACTAGCTTCTCTTTGTTTTTGTTTTCAGGTCCAGTGATTTAGAGCAGCTAAAAAAAGAAGACATCGATTTTGAAACCGTTCACAATATGAATGTGGAAAAAGTGGAAACTTGTAATACTGTAAGAACAGCAATGAAAGTTTGGAATACTACTGTTCAATATTGGATGGCTAATTGTGTATATAAACCATTTCCATTTAAAGGACTTAGAACACCAGCTGTTTTTTTAATATCATCAGTATGGCACGGTTATGCACCTGGATATTTTCTTTGCATTAGTCAAATCACTTTCTTTTTGCCCATGGAAGATATTTATGTGAAAATTTACAAACAGTGTGCAGACAATAGTTCCGTACGTATATAATCATATTTTTATTGAACAAACAATTTGCTGATTGAACAGAAATGATCACGAAATCGTAATTAAAACTTTCGCGGATTAAATTAATTTTTGATATGTACAAAAAAAATATATTGTTTAATCTTTTTTATATTCGATAAAAAATGTATTTATGAATTTTATTTTTGCAGGCAAAAATGTTTTTGGGTGCTCTCCTGTGGTTTTTGAAAATGTCATGCATGGCTTATTTAGGACTATCGTTTCAATTGCTTCAATTCGATGAAACGATGACATATTATAAAAGTGTCTACTTCGCAGGTCACGTTTTAGTGGCTATACTTTATGTAACGGGTCGAATAATCGCACCAAAAATATTAGTTAAGGACGAAAAAAAGAAAGGCCTTTAGATATTAACCGAGTCAATTGAAGAAATTTTGTTATTAATATAGAAATTTACGCATTTTGTGATAATACATAAAGAACACGCAACACACAAGCTTGCTTGTAAAATTTAGAAATTTGCTTCAAATTAAAATTAAGAATTATTATAAATTTAGCTCATTAATATATTAGAAATGTTTTTGTAAATTTTACTATAGAAAACAAATAGTAAGTAGACTTCTTCAGAGTATCGACTCTAGTTTTAACAGTTAACTAGAATCTCTATTTTTATTTACTAGTAATATTGTTAAGTACTTAAATTATAACAAGCCTTAATCAATACTTTAAATATCATCAATAGAGAGTCGATACCGTGATATTTAATATAAAGTCCAGTTTGAAAGAGATCTCAAAGTATATAATATGCTTACGAAAAAAGTCAGAATTAAAAAAAAATACTGTTATCTAATTAAAATGACTTTTCGTTAGTTTTACGCACAAGGGGCAAAGTGCCATTTTAAATCAATTTATATATATACAAAATCTCAGAGTAAAAATATGTGATATTTACTACTGTTGCTCTTTGAGTATCCATTTCGATTAAGATAGTAACGTAAAAGTGTGCCTCTAGAAACGTAATATAAACTAACTACGTAAGTCACATTTGCAGATTTTTAAATTAATGATATCGTCGTAAAACATGAACGACATTTACCAAAACTCGCGTAAATTTTAATGAATTTATAAAAATGGTGAGATAAATAAAATCAACCAGTTCATTATATTAGCATTTATTATTTAATTAATCCTCTACAACTTATTTTATTTATTAATAGTTGCTGAAAAAAGATAAGACATCAAATTAAACAATTATTAAAAAAAAATTTAATTGAGAAATTTTTTTTAATAATTGGTTTAAAATTACATTAATTATTAATGTAATTGTACATAATTTTATTTTTATGAGAAAATTAAAACTAAAGTGTTACATTTTTATTTCGGAAAAATAAAAAAACAACACTCTGTTATCATTTCTAATACTTACGCCGCTTTTATAATCAAGATAACAGTTGAAACTCTGAAAAAGAAGAATATTTATTATAAAATAGAAAAAATACCCATATTCAATATCCCTGTAGTGGATTGCAAGGCAGTAGCGAATTCAAAAAAAATATATATATATTTTAAAAATTCCAAAAAATCAGTATTTTTAAAACATATATTTATTGTTAACACCGTTCCCACTTCGATATTTTAAAATAAACTAAAGAATTCGTGTTCAATATAACAAATTTCTATTAATCAACAATCTTAAAACGATTACGATACATCTTTTGTAAAAGAATTAAATTAAATGAAAGCAAAACTTTCAAATTACTTTAAATATAGATATGTTTTATTTAAGTAACAAGATTTGTTTTAAAAAATAAATATTTTAAATTAATAAGTGCATAAGTATCAAATAAAAATAATTTTGATTCTAAAAAATCATCAGGAAATAATTAATAATTACTTAATGAAACACTAAATTTATTTTTAAAAGACTCTCGTAAAGGTTTTTGATATTTATCCCCATAGATAGATACTAGTCAAGTAAACAACTTCAAAAAATTAAAGATATATTTTGAATTATTTCCGGATTGAGTTAAAAAAAATTGTTAAAATAAGAAAAAAATTATTCTACTTAAAAACTGATAAAGGTTTTTGCATTTCCAGAGTGTACAACGATGCTTAATAAAAATTCAATACTTTTTTATATTTTCAAGATCCAAAATAAAATTTTTGAACAAGTTATTTTTATATGTATACATAATAACAAAAAATCGTTCAAAGAAAAAAATTAAATTTTAAAATTCAAGAAAAACAATTAAGTATATATTTACTTTTTTTTAGACAAAATTTTTAAGTTAAACAAATAGAAATTACGATTTTGACAATCGCTGTACTCTCTGAAGTCGATTATAGACTCATTTTTTAATTAATGAATGATTAATTAAAAATTTTACATTTATTAATAAATGCAGTGATTACAGTAATTATTGTTGTTAAAAAAGGTACATTTTTTTAAACATAGCAAAATTGAGACCATTTTTTTTAAATGAACAATTAAAAATTGTGCTACAATTTTCAACTTAAAATATTATTCGTACTGTTTGTCAAATGACTATTTTTTTCAAGAATAAAAGCTATTTAAACAAACTAATAACTTAACTAAATTAAGTATCTTATGAAAAAAGATATTAAATCACTTCCTCAGAAATCAACATTTTGCAAATTAATCCCTACTTTTTTAACTTGGATAAATTTTTAAATAAAAATTTTGAAATGGGAAAAACAAAATGATTTTTGTAAAATAAATATTTTATGAATACGGGACAACCTATAACCACTGCAAATGTTTAATAAACATTTTTCATTCATTAATTAAATTTCTAATCGACTAGCCTCGACCTTCGTTAAAAAAATAATTTTTACGTGTTGTTGCTCGCGAGGTCTGGTGACTTCCCGGGCTACCTGGTTTCAACAACGCGAGGCTGCTCCGGACAGCCTCGTCGGCAGCAAATTTGTTCGTTGATTTCGGGCCTGCATTCTGCATATATCAGCGTTTTCGACACGTACTCTTTCTCTCTTTCTCTCTCTTATTTTCTGCACCCCCCAGAGACACACCGGATTTTCACTTTCGTTCAACGTTCGCGAACCTGCATTCACCAGACCACCAACCGCTTGCTACTGCAAACTGCTTAGACAGCCCTGCTACTCTCAGCTTGCTGCTTACTCTCAGCTACCCCATCATCAGCGACACTCGCCACGCCACTCCTTTCCACCGCCTGTGGCACCATAAAATAACAACTTAGACATTGAGAATAACTTTTTTATATCCATATGTCGAAGTCTAATTTTTCTTTAAAAAAAAAAATAATAATAATAATAATCTTTACTTCTAAATTCTATAATTCTAAATAAAATAAAAAAAAAAATTACATATACATAAATACCAGCCTTTTAAAAAGAGGAGACTTTACCTCAATTTTTAAAGTTTCAGAGATGTGTGTGTGTTGAATCAGAAAAAGGAATATAACTTTTTCAGAATTTCGAAACTTTTTTTAGTATATATAACAGAATAAATATTTCTAAGGACACTACATAATTCGAACATGTTGAGAGAAACAACTAAATACAAAATTTGCGTGATAATTTCAACAAACAACCCGGATGTTTTGTTCTACTCTGATCACTACAATCGATAATATAATTAACTAATTCGGAAAAGAATATTTTTTGGCGCTTTCAATTCGCTATGCTTTATTATAAATGACAAACTTACATTATATAATATTATAATTTCCTGAATTGATACAGAAACGCAGTACTTATGTCTAGAGTTGCTACAGACGTAGAATTTCCAATTCTATATTATTAAGAAAGAAAAAACGAGAAACTAAGGAGGAAAAAAACAATTCTGTCGAAACCTCGATATTTTATATAAATTCCATTTATGAAACATCATTTAATTGTTAAACAAATATCGAGATTTCAAACGAATATTGCGATATACAATGAAGCAATAGCGTCGACTGACTTGAGAATACGAAAAATCATTAGAAGGGACGTTTACGATTAAATTTTACATCAATTTTCTTATTTTTTTAGTACATCATAATTTGCTAATCTAAAAAAAACCAAAAAAAAAATTCGTATTTCATTTCGGTTTTGCCTACCCTAAAGTGTTTAATCGTGAAAATAAAATTTTTCATGCACTTTTATAGGATGTAGGATAATTTCGCAATAAAAGAATAAATTTGTTCGTAAACATTTATATGAATTTCATTCAAATCGTCTTTCAGAGTTTCAAAAAAAAAAAAAAAGAAAAAAAAAAAGAAAAAATGTTTCAAGTGCTATATCAGAAGCTGCAAAATTGTGAAATGGAAACTTTCAGGCAGATCTTTAACAATTAAAAATTTGATAACATTAAAATTAAATTTCAAATTTATTTGAATTCCGTTGAAAAACGCAATCTTATAATTACAATAAAATTATAAGCAAATACTAAACTTTTTTTTTGTTTTTGGTAAAAAAAAAGAAAAATTGTAAGTCACCATAATTAATATGCAAATGGTAAAAAGGAGATATTAAATGTGCCAAGTATTGTTAGGTATAGAATGATAGAATACCTTTTTGTATTCTGCTTTCAGGCAGGAACATCACGATAATGCCTGTTCATATTATCTCCAATTTCGTCTTCAATCGTTCAATCTCTGCAAAAGTTACAGACAATTAATTAAATTTTTTTTACACAAAATTAATTCAAATAAATCATGAGAAATTCTAATATAAGATAAATTTTAGAGAAAACATTTTTTAAATTTTACCTGGATTTAGAACGACTGTCTTTTTGTCTGTCAGCAGATTTGCTGCGAGAATGGGATTTTCCTCGGGAACTTTTGCTGTCGGATCGGGAACGGCTGCGGCTACGACTGTAAGAACGTTTACGATCCCTGTCGCGGCTTCGTGATCTGGAGCGAGATCGTGATCGTGATCGTCTGCGATCTCGGCTACGACTGCGTGATCTGTAAAAATAAAAGATTTTAAAAATTAGAATTTTCTTTGCTTATTTCCTTCTATTTATTAGACTTATCTTAAAGATCGATAAATCTAACGAGACTAAAATAAATAAATCCGCGTAAGCGAGCAATTGAACCTTGAAGCTCTCTAAATATAGAATTCATATTTTTACCTTCCACGACGACGACTGTTGCGACTTCTGTGTGGAGAAGTTGGTCTTCCATATCGAGCCATTTGAACTCTCAATTCCCTACCATCCAAAAGACGACCATCCATGGCATCAAGTGCGTCTTCAGCGTCTCTTTTATCATAAAATCTGCAATAAAATACTTAATTAGAATATATATTTTACATACATAATACATTATTATTATTGTTATTATTATAAATATTTTATATTACACATTATGCAATAAATTGCAAATAAAAACAGTTTAAATTGACAGAAAAACAAATTGAAATTTCCTACTTTACAAAAATTTCTCAAAAATTATATTTCGTCGATGATTTACAGTATAAGATGAGAAGGACAAGTGGTGACAAAGCGTTACATGACGTCACAAATAGGTCTGCATTAGGAATTTCAGTCAATTTTTCTTGCCAATATAACGAATGAATAATTTGTAAATTTTCAACTTACCTGACGAAAGCAAAGCCACGGCTCTCGCGAGTAAAACGATCTCGAGGTATATAAATATCGCCCACTTCACCGCATCGCTCGAAAACACGACGCAAATCCTCCGGCGTCGTTCGGTACGTCAAATTGTCCACTTTTAACGAAACCATCCCGTCAATACGGGGTGGAGGACGCCCGTAACTCATTTTCACTGTACGAGAATTACTTTTCAAGAGAAATAAACACTTTTTCACATTAAAATCGATTAAGAAATTAGAATACGAACAAACCTTGTTGCCACAAGGGAATCAAAATGGCGAATGTAATGGCGACTTGGCAACTAACGGAAATGAAAAACGAACGAAAATTATGGCGGACTGTAGAGGGGGAACAAAATGAAAAGTAGGGGAACAAAGCGGAAGAGACGTCATTATGTGCTAGTCAAAATAGTGACTATAATAAGAAAAATTCTTCAAAATATAAATACCAGAGAATTCTTTAAATTAGAAAAAAATATTCATAAAATATGAATTAAATATCATATAAACCATAAAATAAATTAAATAATCAAATAAATATACATTTTTCGATATTTTAAACTTATTAAATTATTGGTTACATTAATTAGTGTTAATTAAAATCTTATTATGTATCTTATCTTATTTATTATTTTTATTAAGAAAACTCACCAATTTCAAAGTCTAAAATAGATAATGTATCCAAAAATTGTTTGGAAAGTGTATTCCCGCCAAGAAAGCAATTGGACAATAGAAACACTGGAACAACACTTTGCACAATTTATAACCTCAATCACTATTCACTACACAATGCACAATTATTCAAAATAAATTTAATGAATTTGTTAAAATAAAACTCATATCTTTCAAATCTCAACTTATATTGAGATATTTCCACAAAATCACACAAATAATCAACACAGAAAGTATATCACAAAAAGACTATGAGATTACACACAAAATTTTCGACAAACGGTATCACTATTAATTTGCATACATTTTTCGCAATTATTATATCGAACAGACAGGTTTAATCTTTATTATAAGAATTATATCAAATTTTTATAAAACACAACAAATAATACACTTATTTTTCCAAAAATAAAGACACTCTACAACCGACGCGGCATTTCTAAAATAGAACAGAGGAACAGCTCTACCAGGTTTGCCAACTGTTGAAATAAAATTCACATAACATTTAATTTCGTTATTATTTTCACAATTTAAGTATCTATTGGAACAAAACCGAAAATTTTATAAAAATAATTACTTAAAACGTCATATTTTTCTGTGAAACAATAAAAAATGTAAAGAAATTCGGAAAAATAATTAATGTTTTTTAACCTGTCGAAAACTGCTCTGCGCATGCTCACAAGTCACGTGACGTTGGCGGGGAAAATATTCAAATTTGAATATTGAATTTTCAGGGACATCTCTTTCACTCTTTAGATCATTAAATTTGTAAAACTATTAATTAATAATTTTATTAAAAACATTAAAAATATGAAATAATAAATAGCCCTTTAAAAAAATTAACTTTCTTTAAAAGTATATTAAAAATGTAATTAATTTTCGAATTGAAGGATTGTTAATTAACAAAGCAATAATATTAACACATTATTTTTATTGAAGATTTAATGAAGCTGCGTCTGTGGTATCACAACAATGCCCTTGCATACGATGCCCCCCCCCAGTAATAAACATGTTAACGTTAATTAAATTCTCAGATTCTCAATTATCATACAGCTTCGATTTAGCATTTCTTTCAAAAGTTCATTAATGCGTACCTTTTAAAATATAGCAAACGCAATAATTTCTACATTCTGGTCCATCGCCCCCATTCGAAATCTGTGTCTTTTGCTCTGACAAAATTTTCCATTTAATAAAAATATCAAATAACATTTTCTTTTTTTTGTTATAAGTTACAAAATCTGAACAATAGACACAGTTTACATTATTTTTAATTTTTATTTTTTTTTTTAGAAAAAATTTCTCAGATGATTGTCATACATTTACAAATATTGGTTTTTTTTTCTTATAAATTCCTTTCTACAAAATATCGAAGTAAACAATTTTTACTGAGTATGACTTTCATCTAAGATTTTTGGGCACTCATGAGTTTTTCTTTTTATTTTTAAAGTTTTGAAAATAATTTTTAACAAATCACATAGCAGCCGAATAAATAGCTTATAAAATCTAACAGCGTTATTGTTTATTTTATGATATAAAAAAAATATAGGAAAAACACAATGCCATCGCTTGTTATACTCGTAATGCAATGTTACACGTATAAATTAGGTACACCTGTCATGGGAGGTTTCACTTAAAAATCAATAATTGATGTTCAATATATAGTATATGTATATAAATAAAGATCCTGCAGTGTCGAGCAGGTGGACGAGACTCCAATACAAATATAGTAAAACATAAAAAAAGAAAAAAAAAACTATTCTGATCGATGGTACAGGGCACATATTATTATGACAAAAAAGAAATAAAAATATATATATATATATAGAAACGGACTAATCAAATATAATTTTAATACGTATGATGCAATTTAATAAGATTGTCTCGTTTGCAAAAAAATATTATAATATAGAGACTAAAGCCCTGGTGACGAGTAAATGAGATTTTTCACCTCGCTTTTTGATCGCTTAACGCTATTAACTATTCAACAATTCAAAATACTTATAATAATACACACAACCTTGAATAATCTCAACAGCTGCTGACCTTAGCCCGAACCACTTATAACATATCCGTAGTTCTGGATTACAAAAGTAATTTTTCGCTATTGCTACATTTGTATGATCGCTCGGTATACATTTACAAAAACAAGAAAAAAATTATTATGTACGCTTGTCGCGTGATTTTTTAAATTAAATTTTCAGCCGACGAAAAAAATAGTTGCTCAATAATTTGTTTTTTTCCTTTCATTTTTTTCACATTGAAAATATTTTCTTTTTGCAGAGCATTCGCTAGACATCACTAAAAATAATTTATCATTTTTACACATTTTGCTTTGTCAGAAATGGCCAGCAAAAGAAAATCTCAGTCAAATGTTGCGAGGAAAAGTGACACAAAATAAAATACCATAACTAGAAAATTAAAAAAATTTAAATAAATAAATCGAGTAAAAAAGTTTGTAAAAAGTAAATTTAAAAAACATTTTTCAAAACTAAAATTTCATTTTATAAAAATAAATGTCCATTAAAATTCAAATCATTTGAAACGAAAATTAATTCAAGAAAAATATTGTCACTTATCAAATTTGGAAGACATTAAATTAAAATTGTTTTTAAAAAAACTAAAACATCTCCGACATTGTCAACATTCATAAATATTAAATAATAAAATTGACGCTAAATTTCGATTTTCCATTGTGTTTCTGACATTGTCGCTGACATTTTTTTCGAAATTTCTCAATTTTTTTAAACTTTTTTTTAAATCGAGTTACAATACAAAAATAATATTCAGTCAATTAGTTCAGATTAATATTCGTGCAACAGGGGTAAAAGTGTTTTTATATAATAACACTGTGAATGCATGTCATGTATTTCTGCATACTTATATATTTTATAAACCTAATTAATCTACGTGTAAATTGAAATTTCTACAACAAAGCGTTCTGAAAGATGAATTTTTTTAACGGACGGAACAATTGCTGCATTAAAACTGCAGTTTGAAATATATTTTTTTTTTGAATGTTTATGCTTTCGAATATATAAGAGCGCACAATTCTTATTTCTCTGTTTTTTTCTTTTTTCATTTGTATTTTCTTTACATATACTTATTTAATATTCGAACAATTTTTGTTTTTCGCTTTATATATAATAATAATAATAATAATAATATATACAATTTACACTCGACGCATTTTTAACAAATTGACAAGTTCGTGGCGTGATTTTTTCATTTTTGACAAAAATTTACGAGACGTAAAGCAATGACCGTCCGTACAATGAGAAATAAACAAAAATTTAATGTCACAGAGTATATCTGACAGTATAAATAAAACGATAAGGTGAAAATCTTAAAGTACAATAAACTAGAATAAATTAAGCCAGTCGCTGCCAAATGTTATGCAAATGTTGGTGTAAACAAAGGAGAAAAATAAAAATAAAGTAATAAGTTATCGTTTAAATAATATAATAATAATAATAATAATAATAATTAAAAGTTGTAAAAATAGTACAAAAAAACACTAAATAATTTAATAATTAAGTATGTGATTGTTGTTGGGGTTTTCTTTTTTTCCTTTCATTTTAAGTAAGGGTCAATTTTCAACTTAACGACTAAAATCAAAGGTATGGAATACTGATATAAAAAATCTATAAAGAAGCCTCAACTACCACTGCTAAATAAAAAAAAAAAAAAAAAAAAAAAAAAAAAAATTCTGTTTAAAACCCATGGCGTTTTCCTGTAAGTATTATACTTACAAGTCATAAGGACACTAGTTTTAACATTTTGTTTTCTTTTTTCTTTTTTTCTTATTCATAGATCAATTAATATCATTAATAAAATAGCAATACTCGGTCAGTTGATATAAAGTTATAAAAATATCTTCTAGTATTCAGCATTAGTAGAGAGCTTAATAAAACTTAACCTACTCGAGAAAAATCTTACTTCCTTAAAGAGTAAGACATGATAATAATTGTCACGCTTTAACAATACGAGGTGAGCCAAACCTAGCAAAAAAAATGCCTAACAATTAAACTGTCCGTTTACCTATATCAATGCCGCAATCAGCGATTCTATCGGGGGATTTTTTTTATTTTTTTAAATCTTTGCAACAAATAATAAAGATATTAATTAATTTTTAAAAATCAATCAGTTTCAAGTCCAGTTGAATTTTGATTATCAATCACGTCATATTTTATAATTTTATATTCTCGTATGGTGGTGAAAACCTTTTTTTTTATTTCATTAAATCAGAAAAAATCTGCTTTAAATTAAAATTACTTTTCTATATACATATAACGATGGCTTTTAAATGAAAAAAAATGTTGAATTTAAAAATAAAAATGTATTAAGTTAACTTAGCATAGAATGTTATCACGAGAGAATATTTTTATTTTCTTTAAATATCAAGAGATAATATCAAGTTAATTGTAACACAAAATATTATTTAAACTTATAAACAAGTTAAATTATGTTCCGAAAAATAATTTTTAATAAATAAAATAATTTAATTTTTTCTTAAGTATTCATTAATTATTAATCTAGTAATTAAATTAATTAAACTTTATAAATGAAATATTCAAAAAAAAAATTTTCATTTATGATAACCGATTTTCATAAACAATGTATTTTCATTTAAAATCCATCGCCAGATTAACAAACAGTATTCACCGTTACGTGACAAAAGGTTTAACATTTTTTTTTTAATTTAAAGACTTGATAAAAAATATTTTATCTTTGAATCGCATATTATTAAAAAAATAATAATAAACTTCACAGCGAACTTGTAAATTCTTATGAAGGAATATTTTTAATCGTATTGATATATATATATATAGAATAATAATATAATGCATTTTTGTATCATTTAATGTATACATATAAATATATATGTATGTATGTATATATATATTTATATATCTATACAAGTGTATATAAGGCTCCTTGGATAACGACTAATGCCACGTCGTTCCTGTCACGTATAAATTTAACTTTTTTTTCTTAATAAGCGCTTTAAAAATATAATATAAAATCAAAATATTAAAGAGTACCACCGCCAATGCAAGACTATGTTCAAAGAAGAGAGATGACGTAGAAAAAAAGAACTGTATATCCGTGAATAGATAAAGAAAGAAAGAAAGAAAAAAATATCAATAAAACATAATTTTTGTTGTTGTTGTTGTTGTATGCCCTTAACTATAATCTATGTTACAAGACTAAATCTATTTTTGGCAAAGTTGTTTAGGTATACGACATTAAGGAATAATAATATATGAGTAGATGCACTGGCCATAGTATTATGCACTATTTAACTTTGCTTAATACCTGTGTGGTCGCTTATAAACATAATCTGTACATTCTTGAAAAGCTGCATTGACAGAAGTACTCAAAAAAATCAATTATAATTCAAAGTTATTCTACATTTGCTTTGTTAAAAAAAATACTTCGTTTACCATTAAAAGTTTAAAATAACATTTTTTTATCACAATTATTAAAAAAAAAATTGTTATTAAAACATTCAGTGTATGTCTTAATGTAATTTCTGACAAAAATTAATACCAAAAAAATTTTAAATAAATAAAATTGAAAAATAATTTTTTGTTTTATTTTTTTCAATAAGATTAATTTTTGACAGGGACTTTGAGAAGCATTTCAATTTAAATTTTAATTATAATTTTAAATACTAAAATAAATTGAAATTCAACATTGAATTTAAAATCGATTAAAGTAAAATTCATTAAAACGAACGATATTGATCGAGAAAAATTGTAAATAAAAAAATATTACTTTCTCTTCTTTCTGTACTTTGACGAAAAAGTTTTGCTTAAGTTTTTTTTTTGATTAATTTCATGAACCAGGAAACGACGGCAAAAGAGCAATAAACTTTATTACTTTTAACGTTTTGTATATAAAATCGTATGTCACCTACAGGTATATCCTGAATTTCATCGAGATTTTTGGATCAAAAAAAAAATTTTTTGATCCAACGAGTATTATTGTTATCAAGTACGTCTACCGTTTTTTCTCTCTAAAAAAGTGTTGGCTCACATTAAGCAAATTAATTATTTTTGCTATTTTCCTCTCTTTTTTTGTTTTTAAGTACGTACGAGTTAGAGATTTTTAAGAGTATCTATAATATCTTGAAACGCCAGTTGGCGAAATCAACGTATCAAAAAGATTATCTACATCCACTATAATACAATTCTCTGTAAGTAAATTCTCCGTAATTTTATAATAAGGACAAAATCGCAAGTCTCTACCTCATTTCACATAGATATTATATCAAAATAAATATACGTTGTACTTTAAAAATTAAATTTACGAATTTTTATACAGACAACAAAAAATGTTTTTCGTGTTCAATCCGATAAACAGTAAAATTTTTCAATCTTAAGAATTTTTTTCATTATCAAAAGGGGAATATCTACTTTCTCTTTTTCAACCAATAGAACAAAAAATAAAATTTTGATCTCTAATAATACAGTAACTGGGGTAATTCACATTGTGCTTAAAAATTAAAAACGGAGAGAGTATTACAATGAATTACGTTGAGAACTTTTGTCAGCCCGTGGAACAAAACGATACGAGAGACCTTAATGATAATTTTCTTTTTTTCTTCAAAAATAAAACAAAAGTCATGATCATACGAAAATAAGTTAGTGAGCTTGATTCATTTTTCTTTTTGAGATCAAACAACGCCAAAAAAAAAATTATCGTCGCGCATATATACAAGTTTCCTGACATTTCAAGTCTGGAACATAGAAAAATTTCATATAAAAATACTCTTTTGCTTTTGCATTATACGAGTGTATGTATATATATGTACATTTTGAATAACATTATATTTTAATACTGTATTTTAATATCATTTTTGTTCAATTCTTTATCCTTCTTTTTTTCATGACACGTTCTATACCACGGGCTAGATTGTAATTATAGTTTGTTTTTTCTTTTCTTTCAGTTACGATCTCTTTAATGCTACATATGTATGTATAATATATATATGCTCCAATCCAATATGGAAGATTCTGGAAATAAGAGTATACGAGATTTTGTACGAGAAAAATAAAGACTTACTCTTCAGGGTTCCTCGTACATATTTTATCTGAACAAATTAAAAAATGTGTCCAAATTTTGATTGACAAGTATCTATTGACGAATTATCGGCAGTTTTTGAGATTCTTCAGTGTGCTCCTTCCGAGAGAGAAGTTGCAACTAAATTTAATGGAACATCCGAAACACTGTCCTCAATACCGTCTTCCGTTTCATCACCATCTTCGGAAGACACCCGATGATCCCGACCCTCCGACTTCATATTCTAATTATTCATAGTAATCAATTATTATCATTTCATTATATATTCCATAGTCATTTAAGTAGTGAAGAATTTTTTAAAAATAACTTGTACTAATTTCAAAGTCAATAATAAATAAGAAAAGATAAAAACATATTTTTAATAAAATTGATGGCCGATTCCCGGCCTTCGTAAATGTTATAACAAAAAATAAAAAGTATTTTTTTCAACTTACGGCCATCGGAAGAAAACTCGACAATGGAAGGGAATAGTTCATTTGCGCAGAAGGAGGAACGTGAGCACTGGGTATCCGTGGTGGAGTAGTTAGCGCTGCCATCATCAAATGAGGTTGGATTTGACGTCGAAGAGCAGCCAACATATCAGCACTTTCTGCGTCCATATGATCAGTCTGTGTTGGATGAAGATTGTCTCCTTTCTCTGCAATTATCATTCATTATTATTAAATATTCTTTCTAATTCATTATTTTCTTTATTCTTCTCTTCTTCTTATTACTCCTTTCCTAATTAATATTAAGTTAAATTCCTTTTATTTATTATCAATTATTTTTATTAATTGATTTATTTGTGACTTACTTCGATGTCTTGTGGGTTTTTCTCCTTTAGGTCGTCGTCTACGAGTATGAATGGTATCCCTTCGCATCGTTACAGGACGGTTAATGCCATGCAATTTATAGTAAAGGCCACACGCATTGCAAACCATTTCACCCTTCATATTTCGCCTCCAAATTGTTGTTGTCATCGTACCACAATTTGTACAAGACATGTCCACTTTTTTCGTCATATTACCACCTTGCTGATCGATTTGCTGTTTCTGATCTTCCGTCTGCAATTTTAAAATTAATTTTTAACAAATAAGAAAATGGAAGTTTAATTTTTTACAACTTTATTAAGTTAATTGAAAATTTATTTTTGGGGCAACATTTTTTAAAGAATAAAAAATAGAAAAAAAACTTACCTTAACCTTCGCTTTCGTGGACCACGAAGTGAAGTCTTGAGCTTGTTCTTCATTAGACTCATGTTGGTAATTAACAATTCCAGGACTCGTTGGTGCTTTACTAGGATAACTTTGTTTTCGTCTCCCTTTTGTTTCCTTTCGTCCGATACTCGCGGGACTGGATGGATTACTATCAATAGAGGCACTCTGTCAAAAAATATTAAATGTTAGTTATTGAAAAAAATAAATTTTACGTACAATCAATAAAATTTTGATTTTAATGAGAAAAAAACCAACACTATTAGGATAAAATAATAAGAAAATATAAATAATATTATAATTTTTCTTTTACATTTGATACATATTTAGTCCGCTATTTTAGTTGATAGATGAAAGAAAATACATATATCAATCTTAAACTCAACAGCAAAAAAAAAATATTCTTTAGTGAATTGAAAAAAGAGAAGCAGAGTTATCTGAAGTATATAGAATTTTGTGAACGATCTTTCCTCGAATCTCCTACTTCTACCTGTTATCAAACAAAAAGACTTTATCCGGAAAGATTTGGAAATGCTACAAAGGTTACTATTACTACTACCGTGAACTTTTATTATTGTTAAGAGCGAGAGAAAAATAATAGAGAGAATTTGAAATTTCCTTTTCGCGGGACAAAGGATGTTTTAAAAATCCTTTGAAACCAGGCTTATCTGAACATCTGTTAACAGCGGGTTGACACAGTAAATTCAGTAGGTCCGCCGCTTATGGCCTATCACAAAGAACTTTCCAGTTATCTATTATCTGGCAAGGCCTTCAAGGCCTTCTTACCTGCAAAGGCAGGTGGGCCTTGAATAGTGGGCCCCAAGGGATCCCTTGTCAAGACATGCTAAGGGTCACCTGACCTGCCTTCTTTCTATACCTGGATTTCTTTACTAGCACTGTGAGTGTGTATTTGCACTGGACAAAATGCAAGCTCTTCTTAAGGGCGGCCATCTCTTCTCTATATTTGCGCAGACAGTGCATATACATATAGTCAAAGAGCAACACAGCCCAGTAAGTTACAAAAGCATTTTCTGACTTCCATTTTTCCTCGACGAAAATGAAAAGCCTTAGTGTAAACCTAACAATCATGTCCAATTCACTTAACATTTTTCACCATTTCATACAATCCAGTGTCAATATAATTTAAAATGAATTTTTCGACAAGTCCTTCCGAATTACCGAGGAGAAGAAAAATTAAAATTCTTATTTTAGATTAATTTTTCTAAATTCAATATATAAAATATTATTTTATCTTTTAAACAAAATGCAATTTTTTATTAAAATTGCAAAATAAATGTTTTCAATCATTTTACGCTCCAGTGTATATTAAACTTCCGCATATTAAAATCATTAACAAAATTTACATAATAAATATTTGGAATTATTAAACACTGAATACATTGAAAATGAATAATTTTTGAAAATAAAAAAAAGTAAACAAACCTTGTTTTCTATACACGATATATTAGTTCGATTCCCAAGAACCGAGCAATCTGGCATTGTTCGTTCGACGGTCGTTCCTTGAGTGTCCCTGTAAAATCTGATTTGCGGAGATACTCCATCGGAATCGACAGCAGTTATACCGATTTGACGGTTGTTAATAAGCGATCTCAAAAGATTTGTTGCCTCCCCTGAGAAGCCATTGTTCAGCTTGTCACCGTTTGTCCTGGTGATCTCGAGATTCCTATTGCTGCTTTGGACAAAAAGCAAAAAAAAATTTTTAATCAATCCCCAAAAACAGGGAAGAAAAAATAGAAAATGAGAAACGGTAGTAAAAATGATAATTATATACATATATGTTTATCAAGTGGCATATGTACTCTTTTCAAATAATAGCTATGGTAACAGTTATATCTTATCTAAAAAAAGACATACTGAAAGAAACGTTTCTTAAGAAAGGAACCTGCTACTTGATAAAACTAGACAAATATTTGATTTCAAGAGCTGAGTCAAAGTAAATATATCTCTGCCCTTTCGTTTGAAATGAAAAGCCTCTCTACTGCATTTGTTGCAATTTATAAATTGACATTTGCAATATTTTCAAAGACCTCCATTTTTTTACTAGGTACATATTTTTTAAATTTGATTTTAATATTTCATTTTAGATGAGTTTATCGAAATTAAAGTTATTAACTATTTTCTTGTAATTCTCACGATTTGTAAACTTCATTTTTTAAAGTAGAGAAAACAACAAAAATTGACTAAATAATTACATTAAAAATAACATTAAAATTTAGGTAATTAGGTCAAGTATTAATGGTACCTAATGAGAAACCAGTAAAAGATTTGAGGCAAATTAGTAGTTGGGAAATTATCAAATTAGAAATCAATGGAACTCTAGAAAGATAAAAATAATTAAGGTAAACAATGAGAATGATATAAAAAAACTAAACAAATGTTTAAAACAGATGAAATAAATAAATAATTTGAAAAAAAACTTATGATAACATGGAAACATTTTTAAAATAAAAAAAATTAAATAATTCATTCTCGAATTATATATTCTAAAGAATGCGACTATAAGAAAAAAAACTGCTGAACGAAGGATAATAAAAAACAACCAATAAAATGTCTCACCTGGTCAACTGTTGCCAAAGTTTCGTGGTTTCCTGATCAATATGCGAATCGGAGCAATTACTTTCGGGTGTGTCCATTCGATTAATGGGACTTCTAATAGGCGAATTACTTGCTTTTGTATTATTATCATAGCTGTTGTTCTCCAATTTGATCCTTTTATTTACCGTCATGTCGTAACCATTTTCCTCACCATCGGTGTCAATTTCCTCGCGATCCTCAATTTCTAAACGATCCGGATCCGAGCTATTTGAACATGAATCATCATCGGGCTCGCACTTGACATTTTCCTGCTCGTTGTTATCCTGGGCCCGTAATTCAAGGTGATGCGTTTGTGTCTGAGGTATAACGTTTTGATTAATGCTGGCCGGAGAATTAGGCTCCTCGTTGAACAGCGTTTTGTTTAGCTGAAGAAACGATTGGAGCGGACTTATTTCTGCAACTTTGGCAGTGGAGAAAGACTTTTCCTGGAAAAACGTAATGGACAACGTTACTGCCTCCATCGGAGAATCTCCTTTCAGAAGGGAGGAGTCGTGTGCCATTGTCTTTCTCTTTCTAGTTATTTTTTTGCTTTGTGTGACGAGAATTATTATTCCAAATAGAAAAAATTAAAAAAACAAAAAAGTGGGATTTTAATTTAGGAAGAAAATGTTTTTTAAATATACATTTAGAAATAGAAAGAAAAATGAAGTTTGAATTATTATAAAGGGGGAATGAGGAGGGGGAATTCGCTACCCATTGAGAATGAGTTGGTCACCACAGTATAACGTAAGACTAATGTGAATTTTCTTTCTCTTTTATGCAGAAATCAGGGTCAAGCTGATAAGGTTAAAGTAGACTGTATTAAGGGAGACCTTGAGATGTCTTACATAATTACTGATATATCAGGGCATAGACGCAAATAAATAGTATTCCGCACACATCAACATATGTACGGAACGCGTAATATACACACGATTTAACTGTCTTATCTGCAATCAGATTGCACATGTTGCACATTCTCAGTTGCATCATTACTTGGAACAGAGTGACTGCCTACCACTGTCAGCACATTAGGTCGATTTCCAGTTGTTAATCAAAGACTAATATTCGCTTAGCTCCTCTTATTTTTTTTTTTAAATTCAATATACACATTATAAATATAAATGGCGAAAAATAAAGAATAATCATACTTCTTTTTGGACTTCTTAAGAGAGTTATTTTTTAATCTCGAGAAAAAATTAACAAAAGATATTATACAATAATTACACTCATTTTTTCATACTGACTTGTTCTCTTAATTTTATGATCTAATTTCTTAAAGACTTTGAAAGAGTGAATCCAGTTTGCCGGCAACTATTATAATTTTTCATTACGCTCTTAAAAACTCGATTTTCATAAAGATATTGCCAAGGGTAATAATATGAATAGATGATGATTTAATGTGCAAAAAAAAAAAAATGTTTGCAACAATGTTTTAATTTAAATTGATTTCTTATTAAGTAGGTTTATTCAAGAAGTATTAAATAAGATTTTTAGAAAAAAAATTTCAAAAATTATCAATGATCGAGAGGGTGTAAATGTAATCATATTTTTGATTTTCAACTCTTAAGTCGACAAGAATGTATGAATAATATCGAGATGTAAATTTTTCATAAGTTGTAACCATAAAAGGAAGTCAAGCAATTAGAAAAAGAGACCAATAAAATTTATCGTTTACTTTGTTTTTAATAAATATCTACTTCCTATATATTAATATATGTAATAAAAGTAAAAATGATTTTTCTATAGAATTTACCTGGTCGTCGAGCGACGATAATTGCTTGGCATAATCCAGGTACTGTTTGAGTATGACGTCGGATTTTCGTGAAACTTCACGAAAATTGTGTAGCACGTCCAATTTGTATTTGCAATGATGGCAAAGGATTGGTGGCAATGAATCGCCATCTTTCACCTGGAAAATAAAAAACTATATTGGTATTTGTTTTTTTTCGACACTGCTTAAATAATTATTGAAAGCATTCGTCCTAAGCAGAGATTTAGATAAGATAAGCAGGTAGGTACATAATTCCCTTAATCTGTGTAAGATTTTATCTCAGTTTTCGTACCTCATTTTCTTTTAAAAGTAAGTACCATAAACCATAACGAAAGTGGTGATAGATCTTAAGTTAATTTTATACTAATAAAATATACCTGAATTCATTTTTACAATTTTTTCTTTATCAATTATAATAAAAAACATTAATTTGATAATGAAAAATTTGATACATATTAAAATTTTTATTCTACACCGACAATTGCATATAGATATATTTCAAGTTGTCTGAAATAACATCAGCTTATCTTTCCACCACATGGGGTAAAACTATTTTTAGCATAAGGAATACGAATCAAATGTATTTCCATGATACTACTTCAAGGGTACAAGTCACAGATAAAGACCCTCAAAATCTTTTAATGCAATAAACGTATTTCGTCTTCCTTTTCGTAAAAGATTTTTAACATAAAAAATGATACTGTATTGTTAATGATGACTTATTTTACTTATGTTTATAATGATAAAGAAACATAGAAGCCTCCATATAAGATTATAAATTGACAGTTTCTAATAAAACTTTCTGAGATGAAAATGATAATGGAGATGATTTCATTTATTTACAATAGTAAACTGTACGAAGATAGACTATTAACACATAATTTTATGGATTAGTCATGAAAATAGAATAAATTTAGATAAAATTTTTAGATATTTGCTTAAATATGACGAAACATTTTAACGAAACGTAAAAAAACATTGTCTGCACTAAGCGTAACATAAAATCAAAATAAATAAATATCTATTTAAATAAAAATACTTATTAAAAAAAATAAAAATTAGTAGCTCCGTTACTTTCTATGGAAACAAACAAGAGGACCAATAGAGCACTTCAAAAACTAATAAAATTTCTATTTATATATCAGTATCTCTTATCTAAAAGCTAAAAATAAAAACCAGGCGAAACTAGAGTCACTTATTCTTTTCTACGACTTTGTCTTACGTCCCACGTGTTTCTTTTTGCAAATAAGTCCCGTTAATTTAGCCCCATCAAAAGGAATTCTTCATATCTTAAATTTAGATCATCTTAAAACAGGCAAAAACAAAGACAAAGAAAATTCTGTCAGAATCTGACAGCTTAAAATTTTTTGCAACATCAAAGAAAATAATGTATAAAGCATACTAAATAAAGTATAATTAAAAGAATTATCTTAAGAAATTAATCTTATTTGAAGTAAACGTGAAAAAGCGTTGAAATTCCAGTGTGATAATTTATCAAACTATAGAAAACAAAAAGAGGAACAAGGGAAACAAAATACACGTGAGTCCCTAAGAAAAATGATGAAACATAACTGCAGCCTAGAAAAGAAAGACAAGAATGGATAATAACATATGAAACATTATATAGTTGGATTTGGAGCTCCTTAGTTAAAAAAGAAAGCTATCGACGCGGATCTTCTGACAAGGAGCGAGTCCGCGTGTGAAACTTGATAACAGGGCCGTCCAAATAAGGAGCTCCCCTAACGTCCCAATCCCCCCTCAAAACAAGCACAAGGAAGACAGGTAAGAGCAGGCCAAAGCAAGCTTGTATAAAACAGCGACAGTCAACTCGAACCAGCTTATCACTGCCATTTTAAATCCCCGCGAGTAGCGGCTTATCTCGCGAACACATCTCTTGCCAAACTTTCTCCCGTGGCACGCGCACACACACGAGTGCACATACATGGAATATATATGTGTTTCGAGAGAACACAGGGGCCCCAGATGTTGCGTCTATTTTCGATTATCAAGTCTAGTCGAGGACATGAGATTCTCATTATGATGAGACATAGATCCTTACCGTAATTGAAAGGCACGTCAGGATCTTGTCGGCGTAGTTTCCTTCGGCGCCTTCATCCTCGAATATGGGAAACCTAACACCGTCCGACGATAAACAAAGGCGACACAGCTCGTAGAACTTGGGTGGTACATTGAACATAATTTCGATCAACTCCGGCTCCTTGCGGCCCACGTAAAACGCGAGTCATTAAAGTAGAGACTCGCCCAGTCACTTCACACTCGCACCTATCTTTCTCCACTGCCACTACGCGTTTGCGACAAGGAAGGGTTTCGCGGATTACTTATCACAGTCGCGGCTCATTGTCAGCGCGCACGCACACACGTTTACACTAACACAAAGAAATGAGAAACGAGAAACCAGAGAACACGAGCAGCAAGAGAGTTCTTGTTTGCTTGCATGAGAAGGTGTGGATGTGTATTGAAATGTTTTATGTGTTGTTGAAGGCGGTCGAATGGCCACTGACATGCACATTCACAAACTTGCTCGGTAGTTGAAACTAAAGTTTTACCCATAATCTGCAGTGATACGCATTTCTTACTTTTCACCTTAATTTCACTAATGTCACTTTAAATGTTATTACCATTTGATTTTAAATATTTAACTTTATTCGTCATATGTATTTTACCTTTCATTTCGTAAGACAATTATGATTTAATAACAATTAACATTATGGTATGAGTCATATTTAAACTTTACCTCCATAGGAAAATTGATTTTAATTGGTGGAAAATTTGAAGTGGACACAGTAAACGTCGAATCATCTATCAAAGCTTTAAAGGTTGTATCACATGTACGCGTTTCACTCAAAACTTTTTTCACAAATCACGTACGAGCTTTCCATTCATATTTTCAAATAGTAAACAATCATTTGTTAGTATTAATAAGTATTAAAACTTTCAACCAATAATATTGCGCCATTTGACACTCCAAGAGGATACGCTTTTATGAATGACAGATGAATTTTCATTCTTTTCAGTTTTTCCTAACCTATGAGCGTGGGGTTTAAACTTTTTTTGTGATTTCGCAATATTTTTGACATTTGTACATCAATTTAATAATTTCAGTAAGTATAAAAATTAATTTGTTTTAATATTTAAATTTTTAGATTTTATTGTTTTTATTAAAAATTCAGTGAAAGAAGCGGATGATTTCTCTTAACATAACCTAACTTTTTTGACATATAATTTAATTCAATAATGTTTAGTAAATAAACATTTCCGTAAAACAAATGTTTAATATCTTTTTCTATAATTAATATTTCTTGCGCTTCAACATTAATCAATTGTAAAAATGTTTTGAATTTAGATGTTTTAAATGTGCTTTGTAATGTTGTTTCAAAAATGGATACTTTGCTTTTATGTTTTGAAATATTAATTAATTTTCTATTTAATGTATTAATAGTTTTTTTCAATTTTAAAATTCGTAAATAAAAATATAAATCGAATATTGTTATTATTTTGTTGTTTAATAATAAAATTTATTTAAGGTACAAAAAAATAAGGAAAAATGGCAGATACAGCAACGGAGGGTGGTAAAATTGTAAAAATGGAAGTGGATTACAGCAGCAATTGCGACACAAAGATTCCAGAATGTAAAAAAATGGCTCGTGAAGGAAAAATGCACGATGCTCTGGATCAATTGTTGGCTCTTGAAAAATTAACTAGAACAGTAGGTTTTTAATTTAAAAAAAAAAAAATTTTAATGATGTATTTAATATTATCGAAAATTCTTTAAATTCTAAGAAAAATAAATACATAATGTATTTTATGGAAAATATATTTTAATTTCTTAGTAAAATATTTTTGATGGAAAAAAAATTTAATTCTAGGGTGCCGATATGGTTTCCACGTCTAGAGTACTTGTGGCAATCGTTGAAATTTGTTTGGAGGCAAAAAATTGGACAGCTCTCAATGAACACATAATACTTTTGTCGAAGAGACGCTCCCAATTAAAACAATCTGTAACAAAAATGGTGCAAGAATGCTGTACTTATGTAGATAAGACACCAGATAGAGAAACAATGATTAAACTCATAGAAACATTACGTTCGGTAACGGAAGGAAAGGTATAAATTTAAATAATTTAAATATTTATAATTAATTATAAAAACTTCTCGTCTTTATAATTAAATTGTGGATTATCTTTTTAAAATATTGAAATTATTTTCAAGATTTACGTAGAAGTTGAGAGAGCAAGACTTACTCATCGTTTAGCAAAACTTAAAGAAGAAGATGGAGATGTTTCAGAAGCAGCCAGAGTTATGTTAGAGTTACAGGTAATTAATAAAGAGTTTAAATAATAACAATAGTTTTCTCTAATTATTTTTTCAATAATATAATTGTGTAGAATTAAAATAAAAATTGGATGATTTCATTCATTTTTTTAGGTGGAGACTTACGGCAGTATGTCACGAAGAGAAAAGGCGTCTCTCATCTTGGAACAAATGCGTTTGTGTCTAATGAAGAAAGACTTCGTTCGAACACAAATTATCGCAAAGAAAATCAATGTCAAATTCTTCGAAGATGAAAATAATGAAGAGTCTCAAACTTTGAAATTGAAATACTACGAGTATGTTTATAATTTATTTATATATAATTAATTGTAGAATTTTCCTTTAAACTAATCGATTCGATATAATTATTTCAGTTTAATGATGGAATTAGCGCGTCACGAAGGATGGCATCTGGAACTTTGTCGTCATAATCGAGCCGTTTTGGAAACACCAGCTGTTCGCGATGATCCTGAAAAAAGACATACAGCTTTGTCACGTGCCGTTTTGTATCTTGTATTAGCACCACATGAACCAGAACAAGCAGATCTGACTCATAGATTACTCGCTGATAAACTTTTAGAAGAAGTGCCTATTTACAGGTAAGAACAATTTATAAAATAGCCAAACAAATGTTAATTATTAAACTTAATCAATATAATGTATTAAAAAAAACATGATTTATTTTTTAAGGGAATTACTTCGATTATTTGTCAATCCAGAACTCATTAAATGGTCAGGATTGTGTGAAATTTATGAACGAGATTTACGAGCAACTGAAGTTTTCACAGCTTCGACTGAAGAAGGACGTAAACGATGGGCCGATCTCAGGAATCGTGTTGTTGAACACGTAAGATCATTTTTTTCTTTTGTATAATTTTAAAAATTTTATAATCTTTTTTAATAGACAATTAAAAATCATAATTTCTATTCTACAGAATATTAGAATAATGGCGAAATATTACACAAAAATAACATTAACACGTATGGCTGAACTTTTGGATTTGCCTGTTGAGGAAACTGAAGCGTGCTTGTGTAATTTGGTGGAAACTGGTATAATTAGCGCTCGCACTGATCGTCCGGCAGGTGTTGTTCGATTTACTGGTACTCAAGAGCCGGCGGCACTTTTGGATGCATGGGCAGCATCTTTATCGAAACTCATGGGTCTTGTTAATCATACAACTCATCTTATCCATCAAGAAGAAATGCTCGCCGTTGCTCAGTCTTAATATTCCTTCTTTTTTTAAAAAAAAAAAAACAAAAATCTTTACTGCAATGGTCTTGTACACAATTCTTTTTATTATCTAGTTCTCTTAGATCTATGATGTATTTTACACGTATCACGTTATTTAATAAAAGGCAGATAAACAGTTTTCAAACGCTTATTATAATTTATAAAAATTATTCAATTCTAATTTCTTAACTTAAATTTAGTATTTCTTTCAATAATAAATCTAATAATGTATTTTAAATTATACATATTTTTATTATAATATATATTTATATATACAAAAACATCACATTAAATAGCCATAAAAATTAGATTTTTCGAAAAGATTCGCTCTGCAGTTTGCAAAAGAAACTATACCACATTTTGGCACCGCAACGCGAGATTTAATGACATTCTTTTTAAAATTGTGTTATCACAATTATTTACACAGTAAATTTGTAATCACTTCGACTTTTTTTCAAAGTAGGTAAACATCGAATAAACTTTATTCAAAAAAAAAGAAAGACAAAGAAATACAACTGTCTGATACAAAAAAAAGCAAAAAAAAAAAAAAAAAATAGATAATCTAACATTTATATTTCACTTGTACGTTATCTGTAGGTTTACAGCTCCTTCGAGAATAGCGTAATCTCTTTTCTTTTTCAAGCAAAAATTTTACAAAGACAATTTTTTTTCATTATAATCTATAATGGCACAAAATGAACTGTTGGTTAAAATGTATAACGCATAACGTCTAAGAAGTTTAATTCAAAATAAATTGTCACAATCTATTTATAATTAACTAATTAAACTAATTATTAATTATAATAACTAATTATATAATTATTTATTAATTATAAATAGAAAAAATTTAAATAATGAAGTACATTCATGCAATCGGTAAGTAGATTTAAAAATTTAACAATAAAAGAAAATTTGAAATAATGCTAAAAAATTATTTTTTTTATCAACAAGAGTTTGTGCGATTCTCGATGAATGTAACACACATAATTTTTGTTTGATTTAATACTGTCTGAACTCTTATCAGAAGTATAGGCATAAACAAGTCTTGCTATCTTCCCTCAATGATCTGTGTCTTAAACCTGCATTTCTTATTTAAGGCAACAGCAGTCTTAATTGTATACTATTTTATACAAAAATACGTTTTTTAAATTTTTTTTTGCTTAAAAAACTATCGGTTTGAGAAAATGTTCGGAAAACTCTAATCGATTTTATCATCACGCATTTGGAATTATATTATATATATACATACAGTCTTAACAACTATATATTATTTTTGTCGATTGACAATAATGACGACATGTGACACTGTTTTGTAGTTCAACATTCAATAAAACTGATGTTTAGCGCTAAAACATGACTTGATGTTTGATATTATTTCAAATCTTTGGAGACAGAAAATCGAAAATATCTTGCAAAATTTATATAATAGGTAACAAATAATAGAATACAGTAAAAAAATTTCTGCATTTTCAAATGTTAAATATTAATATTCACATATTTATTTAACAATAATATTTTAATATTTGTGTGTTTGATAAAATATGATAGTAATTAAATAATTACAAATTATTATTGTCCACGACAAAATCGTGTCACATGTGGTTATTTTAAATTAACTAAGAATGATTACTTATATATTTTTCGGTAATTCGTAGTACAATACGCAATCAAGTTCCTAAAATCACGAAAAATAGATTATTATTATTATTATTATTATTTGTAGAGTATGCGAGTTTTTTTTAAGTCATAACACTTAATCCCAAATATAAAGCATTTGGGTAATAATAATATTATTCTTTTTTAATATCGAACAATGTAACATTTTCGAATACTTTAAAAATCTGTATTTTTATAATTTAAAATTCGTCGCAAAAAACATGTTTTTAAACATCTTAACTGTATGATGAAAAATAAAATAAATATAAATTTAATTGTACTTTATAAGTATTGAACATTCATTTTTTTGCGTTGTTTTTGAAATTGATATTGTTGTAAAATACATTTTGTTTGATTACAGTTACAATTTCTGATTAAAGTTGAAATGCTGACGAATAAATGAAATTCGTTGAAAAACGATTTAAAAAGGTGCAAAAGAATTATATTCAGAATGATAAAATTGACAATTTCCTATTTCAAATAAAATTGAATAAGAAAAAAATACTTGATAAATTCGTAACTTACATACTTATTATTATTCAATCAAATATTTACTTAGTTCAAATAATTTTGTTTTTTCATCTGTTTTTTTTCCAAGTGAATGAAATCGTTATAATACACCAGTAAATAAACAGTCGATAAATTTGTTCTCATTCGTTAACAATTAGCACCACTTCGATTTGGTATGACATAATTACTTTAATGTTTAGAGGCTTGGTTTCCTGACTTTTTTTCCGGTGCGAATATATAAATCTGCGACATAAAAAATACAAGTTTTTCACAACCTTCCATGAAAAATAATATTTTAACAATCGTTCTGTAAAAATCTTGTCAATTATTGTTATTAACATTAGGTAAAGAATGTTACAGGTGAACCACCTTGAAAGTCCTTCACATTTCGATAATAAGATTTTAAGTAACTTCTATTGTATTTTAAGCTAAACGAAAATATGCATACTTAGTTTCTTTATGCTTTCAAGTGAATTGTGCTTGTGTATAATAGTGCAATGTTAGCAAATGCACATTTTAACAGAAATATATATAATAAAAAAAAAAATGGTATTACACTTTTAATCTCATCTCTCACGTGTACAATATAAAATAATATAAAATCTATATATTCCCATTTAATAATTGATTCAGTACTTATAATATATATATATCTATGGAGGTCAATGAATGAAATAATAATGATACTAGTTTTTAAAATGCTATTAAAGCAATGGGCACAATCTTTTGATTAAGAAAAACCATTTTAAGTAATTCTATTTTTATTCGATCAATAAGATCAATAAAAAGGAATTTTAAACTGCAACTCTTAACAAATTGTTCAATTTATAAATTTGTCTTTGTACTTATCTTAATCGTTAAGTAAAATGTGATGTTCAGATGTTAAAATTCGCTCTTTCTTTTTTCAATATTTTCGTATTGTTTTTTTGTACTGAGACAACTAATCGTTAATTACAAAATTCAACGATTCTAGTTTTTGTTTTTTCACTATGTATTTAAAAATATTATATACTCTTCCTTTTTTTGTCTTTCTAGCCATAAATAAGCAGACTATTTAGAGTTAATTTCTGACTTGACTTATTACAGTCTCATTAAAATGATAAATGTGTATTAGTAAATTTTGAAAAACGATGTTCTTTTACTGTTTTATGGCTTCATTCTTGTGGTCTCACCCACTTCATCTGCACAGCCCAGAGTTGCACAACTCTCAAGTTTCGCATCTGTTAACACAATAAGCAACAAAACATATTCACTATCAATTTATAAATTTTTAATTTGAAAACAATGGAGAATAATAATTGTTACTAGCCCTAAAAATATATTTAAAATATATTTAAAAAGTATTTAAACATTAAAAAAATAGAGAAGAATAAATCAAATATTACGTCATTCAATATAAAAAGATTGTAAATGTTATCTGCATTTTCAAAAACATGAATTTTTACATGACTATCAAAAAATTAATTAAAAATTTAAAGACTCTTTAAACTTAGAATATGATTCATAACTTTATGCCTAACTGTCAAGAATAAATTTTGATTTAAAATGCTTATAGAATTTAAAAAAGGAAATTTAATACATAACAATCAATTTAAGTGGACGCAATAAAAACCAATTCACGTAACATTGGTCTATACAGCAATAAGAGTTTTTAGAATTATTTTTTTTCCTTTATAAAATGAACATTATTTTTGTCTCTTCGAAATATAAGATTAATTTTTCTATATTTTCAAAAATTAAAATTATTTACCTTAAAGGAAAAAAGAGATAATTTATTAATTTAACAAATTTATTTTCGTTTTAACATTTAAAAAGAAAATTATTATTTACATTGCCTACTTTATTTTATTTAAAAGAAGAGTTGTAAAAATAGAAAACAGTCATAAAATTATTAGAAAAATTAATTTTATGTTAATAAGATATATCGAGTCAAGAGTGATGTTAAATAGAAGAATATTAATGTTAATGAATCATTTCTAATAATTTTATGAATCTTCTATTATAAAAAAATGCTCACAGTGACTCATGTTATTATTATTATTAACATTGCGGACAATGAAAAGAAAAAAAACAATTCAACAAAAAGTACTGATGTTTTGTAATTCATCACAAAGTTAAATTATTAAAAATTGTATATAATTAAAATAATTGTACTATTTTGCGGAAATTAACAACTTCCTCACCATGAACTCCGGCTTGCTGCAATAGTGCAATGGCTTCTGCGTACGAAGGGGGTGGAAGATCACTGGGTCCTTGACCTTGTGTTATTACATCATACGAAGGTGGACCAGGTGTGCCTGAACTGGATCCACTCATCCCTTGTGCACCGGCTAATTCTTGTAAATGCTAAATAAATTTAAAGTCTTAATAACCACAGGCTTTTGATTTTTAGAACATTTTTTATTTCTTTTAATAAATATTTTGATGAAAATTTTTTATAATTTATAATAATTAATATTATTTCCAAGAAATAAATAAGTGCTTTTTTCGTAAAAACGTTGATTACTTTCCAATATGTATTTGAATTTTTTTTTATCTCAACCATTTGCATAGAATTTTGAATTTTAAATTAAAATAACAGTATATCTTCTCAATTAGAATAACGATAAAAATAATAACTTAATAACCAATGCTTTGAAAATTATTACAAGTCTTGTGACAGAATTTTTTAACCTTGTTAATTTGTTGCAAATACAATTAGTATTTAATAAAAATTGTCAAGGCTTTTGGTAAAAAATGTATGATAACAACAATAATAACATTAAGTATAAAATTATTAATAATAAATAAAAACATAAATAAAAGTCTAAAAAAGTAAAATTTTTCTGAATATAAATCAACTTTCGGATTCCATTTCAAGAAATAAAAATTAAATAAAGAGAAATAAAATTTGTTACAGCTATAGATTAAATTAATGGAACAGTGAAAAAAGAATAAATAAAATAAAATTAATTACTACTATGCATATAAATTAAATCTTACAGAAAATTACTTTCTACTCTGCATTACATTTTCCTTCACTTAAATGTTTCACTTCTAATTTAATTATTTCACTAAAAATTTATTTTTATTTATTTAATTTTTTAAAATTTCTTTTGACGTAAAAAAACAAAGTATTATTTTAGTTACAAAATTGAAACAATAATTAAAATGTACGTAATTTAATATAAGTGTACAATTATTCATCAATATAATTATTTTTTTGATAATCGATTGAATGTTTTTACTGTAAAATTATTATTAATTATATCGTTTATTTAATGTTCGAAACCTCCAACATACCAGAACTTCAAGTGCATTATAATCGCTAATAAGAACGTATCACTTATTTACGTAAATAGGTAATTGCGATTAAGATAAAAGAATACTTATTACTGAATAGTATATATTTTTAAATAAAATTATTAAATACGTTCAACACTAATCAGTACAAAAAATGATTATATTTTTAAACATTTTTAAATATTCAATGAAATGTTTATTAAAATTTCTAAAAGTTGAAATAAAATTTTTAAAAATATAATTGAATTAAAAACAATTCCGTTTTAATAGAATTTTCAACAAAAAATAAATTTTTTAATTTAATATTTAATTTAACGAATTAAAAATTAACTCTTCTGCGAACATTTAAATTTGTATAAAACGGGTTCAGTCGAATTTTAATCGAGACAACAAAGAAAGAACGAATTAATGAAGTTTATTTATTTCGAGCACGTTTTTAATTCCTATAAAGCAACGGAGAATTATTCGAACATGCGAAAGAGCAGAGTATCTGCATTTTGATAAGCAATATCAGCTGACTTTAATAATCATCGATAAAGTTGGATTTGCTACTTGTCATAAGTTTTGTGACAATATTATATACGTACAGGTATATGTGAAAAGGTCAAGGTTACTTACTCGGAATAGTTGTCTCTGATGGAAGATCATTTGTATCACAGACTTCCTTCTGAGGTAGAGCATACATTTCACGGCCACCATCAGCCCGGAACAAATAAAAATTGGGCCGACAAACCACATGTGATCGAAATTGGAGAAAACATGTCCTTCGGCAACATCACCGAGAGCCAAAATTGTGATCGCTGTGCCGACCGTGAACAAGACCACACTCAATGCTAAATAACTGTAACTCGTGCAGTCGCATACACCGAAGGTCGACGGTTCCTCATATCGCTCTTCTATTTGGCGTAACCTGTTTGAAAGGAAAGGACTGTCGAAAACCGTAGCCATATTTCCACGCCTCCAGCCATACGAACTTTCAACACCGTTTTCCCTCAACTACAATTGTTCACTAATCGGAAGTCAACATTGCGATAAATATAAGTCTAACGATCCTAACTGGTCATGATCAGCAGTAAACGCTTCTGCGTTCAGCTCCGTCTTTTCCACTTCTGAGCGTTGACAAAATGATGATCATGATACACACACACATAAACATGAACACTGTATCTATACCAATTTATACTCATTATTCAAACTTATTAAATTTTAGCTTCTTTTCTCTAACCATTGCTTTTTAAAGGTTTATTTTAATTATGTACTTTGTCGACGAATATATTTTTGTAGATAATATAAGTATAAACTGAAATAAAACTTAAAAGTTAGATGTTTAAAATTTGCAAACGAAATTTTTAGGTTAAGTTAACCGGTGTATACTCACATAAATCTCAGGATTTACTTTCCTCTACATTTAATTTAATAGACAATTTATTTTCTTTGGAATTTCATGAATCATTTTCATTTTATTTTGTTTCTTTATGTGTATATAAAACTATATAAAAATTACAAAATATTTTGCAATATTTTGACAGATTTTAAACACGGCTGTAATGATCACTATTTGCGCAAGCGTCGTAATTGCAGGGTGAAGTAGGTAGAATTACTTTAGGTAAATGTGGTAACTTTACGTAAGTTGCCTAGGCGGCATAATTTAAAATATTTACCATTTCTACAAAAAATGTATCTATTGCAATAAGAATAAATAAAATTTAGTTTTAATTATTGCATTCATTCATTTAATGTTTTAGTTTACATTGAAACTGTGACATAAAATAAATATTTTTAAAAATTTCAAAAACAGGATATAAATAATTTAAAATTAAAATTCCCGCGACAAGTTTTTTCTACAATTTCTAACAATTTACAAATGTCGTCTGCTTTGTTTACATAACCAAAATGTTTATTCTAATTTAAAATGCTTTTAATAAACAAGTGACTGTTTAATAATAATACATTGTTTATATAAATAATACTTTCTTTTATTAAACATTATAATTCTAAAAGAAATTTAAGTATTACATTGTGTTACGGAAAATTACGTTAGATTTCTAACGAAATTTACCCATAAAATAGAATGAGACAATAATTTTCAATAGTTGGTCGGTCTTGTCAAGAGAGAGTTTTGTAAAAACCGGTGAACGCCGGCTTTAGTCATTCTTTTTTATTCATTCGTAATTTAGATCTCGTGGCTAGAAGTTGTAATCTTCTGCAGATTATTTAATAATTTCATTGGGAATTACAGGTATTTCTTTCTATTAAAACTATTTTATCAAACGATCACACCCTTATTGTTTTCACTGCTAATAATTTTTGTCAAATTATTCAAGTTTTCCATCATGTTACATGACTTTTACAGCCCTCTAAAATTATATCCGTCAGCCATTTCTTTCATCGTATAACGGTTTTTCGAACAAAGAAAAAATAAAGGTCCTGAACCTTACTCCAAAGCGTCCCTCAAGATTCATCTTACGTAATTTTAATATGTGACCTTGATATAAATAGTTTCCATCCATTTTCATTCCCCTATATGAATTTTATTTTATATCTAATTATTTTCCAGATTTTATCATTTGAAGGTCAATAACTAATTCATTTGGAATTACGCTTTTCAAAACCATTAGAATAATGTATACTTTTTATATGATTGTATCACGTTTCTTGGTAACAATTACACACAGCAATTTTCAATTGTAGGAAAATTTATATATATACACTCAAATGTTTTAGTGTTCAAATTTTACAACAATAGTCAATAAAATATTCAAATTTCAATGTTATTTTAAAATAAAACAAAAAAGTTGATTCCAATTATACACAGTATAAAATATTTAGATATAACACTCTTATAAAGAACATTATAATTTTAAAAAGAATATACATTATTCAATGTTGAAGTTATTATTACGTATTTTATACAATTAAAATATGTCTTAATGACTTCGATAAAAATTGTCAATTTTATCCTTTTTTATGAAATAATTAATTATAATTTTTATTATTCGTATTCTTATAACATAATTTATTTTGTTATTTATTGATTTTTTACCTTAGGAGTTAAACTTTTTGTTACTAACTTTTGTACATTATGTGGAATTAAAAACAGTGGAAAAATGCTGAATTATTGTTCTTTTACAATTCTAGAAAAATGAAAGAAACATGAATATTCATATATTGGTATGCATTAATTTTTAAAATTCACTTTCCTTCGATATTTGAATATATAATTTGCATTCTACTTTGATTACTTCTAACCTTTTATTTTATGTAATATTTCTTATAATTTAACATTTTTAATAAACAATTATCAGACTACAATTAAATTTGTTAAATTGAATTTTTAAATAAAAAAATAATTTCATTAGATTTTATATAATAATATATTAAGAAGATTAGATCAAGTTAATAATAAGCTGTTAATTTAGCTCACAGTAATCAAGAAACAAATTACGGAAACGAATACATAGTTTACTTATTCTTAATTTTCAAGTTCATCTGATATTAAATAATGATCTAATATTGTTATCAGTCATTGTGCACACATTCATATGGCGATTGATAATGAAATATTCCCGAGTTTCTCGTCATTCTTTATCATAATAAATTCGATTATCTATAAAACATTAATGTATGTCGATTAGAATTTTTGAAATGTATGCATAATTCATCAGAATTTATTTCCCTCTTTGGTATTTATCGAAGAAAAAATTAATTCTTCAAACATTTAAATGATCATCAAGAAATTTACTCTATGTATACAATCCCCGACCTATATTTCAACTTATTACTATTTTCAAAGCATTGAAAACCATTCACTTCAAGTTTTTCTTAACAGGGTCATTTTATGAATAAATAAAGAATCCTAAAGTTTAAATACAATAAATAAATAAATTAGTAAATATAAAATAGAGTAAATTAGCTTTTTTTGATTAAGGTCGTGTGATTGTTATGATTCTTAAAAAATTAATTAACTTATAATTAACGTTCTTCTCAGATAAAATCATTCACAATGCCAGTTCCCGCAATTCAAAAGCCAGCCCCATGTTTCAAAGGAATGGCAGTTGTTGATGGACAATTCAAGGAGATTTCTCTTTCCCAATACAAGGGCAAATACGTCATTCTATTTTTCTACCCTCTTGATTTGTAAGTATAAAATTGAACAAAAATTTCTCTGAAATAAACAAAAAAAAATTACAAATTTTCTCTTTAATGAATGTATTTAATGTTTATTTTAGCACCTTTGTCTGTCCAACGGAAATCATCGCATTCTCCGATCGTGCCCAAGAATTTCGCGATATCGGATGTGAATTGATTGCAGCTTCAACTGACTCGCATTTCTCTCATCTCGCGTGGGTCAATACAGCCCGTAAAGAAGGAGGTCTTGGTGTAATGAACATTCCCCTTCTCGCTGACAAGAGTTGTAAAATTGCTCGCGACTATGGAGTTCTTGATGAAGAGAGTGGAATCCCTTTTCGGGGACTTTTCATTATCGATGATAAGCAGAATTTAAGACAAATTACAATCAATGATCTTCCAGTCGGAAGGTATATATATATATTAAATTTCTTATTATTTTAGAAAATATATTCTTTCGTTTGTATCTTTCGCGACCTTGTTTTTGTTAACATTGTTTAATGTACCGCACTTCCTTGCTTTCTAAATTATATTTCAGAATTGGAAGTTTCGCTTTTATGTGACGATTTCTGCTTGCTATTATTAACGCTTAATTAGATTTTCTTTTAATATGTTTTTTATTTTAGATCTGTCGATGAAACCTTGCGTCTAGTTCAAGCATTCCAATTCACTGATAAACATGGAGAAGTATGTCCAGCTAATTGGAAACCAGGAAAGAAATCCATGAAACCTGACGTTAAAGGATCAAAAGAATACTTTGAAAGTGCTTAAAATGCCTTTAAATTTAGTGATCATATCTTATACAAATATACAGGTTAGCCACAAGTAAGGAAAAGTTAAGGAAAAAAAATTAACAGATACAAATTTGTTATTTTGCAGGGTAATTGGTCTTTCCACCTATTTTCAAGAAAAAAAGTATTGTGATCCCTGCTCTAGTAAAAACAGTAAAATACAGTAGGAAAACACATTTTTATAACTTCAAATTATTAGATTTGTATTAAAATTTATTAGTTTTAATACAAATTTTTAATGTTAGGTAAATTTAAATTTTTATTCTTGTGGCAAGCCTAATATATCATAACGTTTGTTAGTACAAATAGATAAGTTCAAAAGAACTTTTAAGTTTTTAGCAAAAAGAAAAAATAAGAAATCGCCTATTTGTGTACTGCAATATTTTTCAATATTGATATTTTCATTTTTTCTCCGTCTCTTAATAAACATTGGTCTTTTGTAATAAATATTACACATATGACTTTTTTATATTGTCAAACATTCCTTTATCTTGAAGCGCACCAGTTGTCAAATTAGATTTAAATATATCCCAAGTGGTTTTTTTATTAAAGAAACATGAGAAATAATTGTTCTGTGTATTGATTACAGAATAATTAATTACACGGAAGAAAAAAATTTACATTTTTATCGTGTTCTCGTAACGTATAAGATTATACAAGGTCAGGAAAAGCTTTGATTGCGACGCGGGTCTCATTAAGAAACGATATAATTATATTCTTAAGGCATTCGTGCCCGTTGTGTTACGTAATCCATTGAAACACATTTAAAATTCCGCATTTCTAAATTTCAGTTGAATATAGGAAAAGATGGGAAAATTTTCTATCCCAAGAATTTGTCTTTTAGAAAAAAAATAAATTTTTTTACAATAAACAAAATATTTTTAATTTTAACAAAAATAAAAGACAATTGAAATAAATATCTATTATAATTCTACAAGAATTTATTTTTGAATATTAATGAATTATAAATTTTAAATTGTAAATTAAAAAAATAATAATTATTATTGTCTTTATGGAAAATTCGTTTTAACTTTTGTTTCAAATTGTCTGAACTTATGCAATTTTGGAATTTTTTACTTAACCTTTTGGATAATTTCGATTTTTAAATAAACTTCAGGGAAAAAATATGTCGGAAGAATATGAATCAATTATTTTGAAAACAGGTAATAATTTTTTAATAATTCCACGGAGATTCAAAAGTGAAAAGAAATTTTCAAAAAAATCTCAAAATTTGGAAAATGTTCTTCTTTTTGTACTAATATGTATTTTTTTCTAGGGTGGGGTTTATTTACCTACTTCATTATCAGTTTGTGTGGTTTTTGCACAATGGCAGAAGCTGGTGCTTCGCTAATTATTTTATTAGTTGCTCCCTTACTCGCCTGCGATCTTAATTATCACAAAGATGATATAATGACAATGAATGCGACTTCGTCTCTTGGTAATTAACTATTTATTAATTTTAAAATAATTTACATACTAAAATTATAGGAATGGAAAATAATACTAATTAGATGTGATATAATAAAATTCTTTTTAGGAATGGCATTTGGTGGATTATTATTTGGTGTTTTAATTGACACACTTGGACGAAGAGAAACATTTTCCGTGACAATGATCGTTATATTTTGTGGTACTATGGGTCTTTCCTTTGCTCAGAGTTTCTTTTTAATTAATTTGGCGGTTTTTGTCATCGGGATCGGGTATGTTACCTTTTCTTATACTCAAATCATTCGATTTTAATTAATTAATCAATTTGATTGTAGTCGTTAAATTAAATTTAACTATTGTTTTACAATTTTTATTTGTAAAATAATTCATAGTTTTAATAATGAAACACAAAGTAGAGTAAAATTACTATTTCATAGTTATGAAAATTGAATAAACAGTAGTTAAACTGTAGTTATTGAAATATTTGTCATTATTATTTATAATGCAATCTATTTGAAGACAATTTTGCACAGAGTAGCAGGTAACAATGCAGTGATAAGAATCTATATAATTGAATTTTTACCATCGAGAAAGCGAGGATCTTGTCTTGCAGTGATTGATTTTTTATGGATCGTTGGTTATTTAACTTCTTTGGGTAAGAAATAAAAATGATAAAAAACAGTATTGTCTTTAATTATGATCATTGTAGATATTTAAAATGAGTGTCAATAATAAATTGAATTGAATTATAAATATAGGAATGCTTTGGGGTTTGATACCGTCAGTGATAAAAATGCAAGAACAAGAATGGAGACCAAGTTCATGGCGTGTTTTAGTAGGATTAGGAGCTGTTCCTGCTTTATTAGGATCTTGCGCAATTAGCCTCTTACCATCAAGTCCTCGATATCTTCTTTATAGACGTCAACCTGAACGAGCGCTTGCAGTTCTCAGACAAATTTATGCAATTAATTTTTCCAAACACGCTGATAAATTTGAAGTATGATAATATTTATTTAAAATACAAATAATTAATTATTAGTTATCATTTAATAAAAAATTTAATTAAAACAATTTCATTACAGGTTTCAAACATTGAAGGATGTATACAACCAGATGATGATGATGATGATGAATCAGAGGAAATTCAAACTCTCAAGAAAATTGTTTGCAAATGTTTTTTAAAAAATCGACAACGAGTACAGAAAATATTCACTCTGCCTTATTTGCGAATCAGTCTTTTAAGCATTGTTGCCTGTTGCCTTCAATTTCCAGGGTTTTTATTATACATTTAATTTTTATTTTGAATTTTCTTTCTTTCTTTATTTATTGAAATTTTTTCATATAATTTCTTAAATAGAAATTAAATTATTTTAATTTCTTAAATGGAAATTTAATGTTTTATTTGTTTTTTTAATGGATTTTGATACTTCGCATAAAAATAATATAAAATATTAAAATAATGATAGTTTTAATATTTAAGAGTTTTTTTTTGCATTTCAGGAAGAAAATGACAATTTTCTTTAAACAAAATGCAGTCTAAAAATATTTTATAGACATAATATCTTTACAGTTTATTTTCATCTCTGGGCACTATAAGCTGAAGCTTTACGTCTTCGTTGTTGCCAAGTGCAACAACTCAAAAGATAAACATGGATAAAGTTGTACAATGAATTTATGTGAAAATCTTTAATATGATATTTGAGAATTTGTATTAGCATAGATGATAAATTTCAGGAAGTAGACAGTATTTTAAAATGATAGACATTACCTTCATAAAATCTCGTTCAATGTCGATTTCTTCTAAACTGAAAACATTAATTTTAAGGGGAGGGACCGCTGAAATTTTAACACATCAAAATTAAAGCTGTTTAAGGGTGGTCAATTTTTTTCTGACAATATTAATTATTTAAATGTATAATATATCATGAAAAATTGAAAAACTATAAATTTGTTAATAATTTTTAAAATCAAATTAAAAATTCTCGAAAATTTAAAATTTAAACTTCTCTCACAATTTTAATTATTTTTGACTGCCGATTTTTTTATACGCTTGTTTCATGATTCTAAACAATCAAGCGTATGGATTTTGAAAAATTTCAATTTTTTCAAAAAATGAAAATTTTGAAAAATAAAAATATTTGTAAAATTGTTAAAAATTACCTTTTGTTGTTTTTCTCAGTAGAATAAGATTTTTGGTTGAAAAAAAAATGTTGAAAAAAATTATTACACCTAAACAAGATCAATTTTGATTGCTTTCAATTTTAGTGGTAATTTTGAAAAAATTCAACTACTTCCACAATTTTCATTATTTTTTATTGTTGAATTTTTTTTACGCTTTTTTCACGATTTTAAACAATCAATCGTATGGAATTTAAAGAAATTTAATTTTTCCAAAAAATAAATTTTCTAAAATGGCTAAAAAAATTTTTTTTTGAAATTTTAATAATTTATAATAATTTTGGATCCTAAATTATGCCAGAAAAAAAATTGACACTCTTTAACAATAATAACTTTAGTAGGCTGAAATTTCACCGGTCCCTCCCCTTAATAGTTATTTCATAAAATAAAAAAATTATGTAATTAGCAATGACAATTTTTCTAATTATATGTATATTTAATGATCCTTTTTTTCATGATCGTGATAAAAAATGACAAGACATTATTATAAATTTAAACAAATGAATAATTAATAAAAATAAGATTTTAAACAATAATAACTATTTTCTAAATAATGGAAAGTCCTTAATTCAAATTCAAAATGGTTAAATAAACAAATAATAACTATTGTAATTAAAATATAGTGATAGTTAATTTGTATTATTTAAAATAATTTTTATAAATATGAAAGTTTCTAATTTTCAGATTCATTTGGCTGGCTTTATGGAACATGAAAGTTTTGAACGACACTCAAAATTTGAATGAATTTTCTCTTTTGATGAATAACAACACTTGTATTTCAAATTCGGGTTCTGTCGCTATGACCTTCTTCAATACCTGCCATCAGGAAAATAATGAACATCTCCAAACTTTTTCACTTTTATCATTGAGTTTCACACTCAGTGAACTTTTTCTCATATTTGCTGTCGACAAATTTGGCCGACGATTATTTCTGAGTAACATTTTTCAAAATTTTACGATCTAATTGAATTTCCAATTACTTTAATTAATTCATAACGTATTTCGAATTAATAATTACAAATTAAATATTCATTATATTACAATATTTAAAAATAAATTTTTTATTTGTTAAATTATTAATTAATAAATGGAGCTTTTTCACAGTATCTTCGGGATTAATCGGAAGTATGGCAATGATAACCTTTACTTTTGTGACTAGTCACGTTATCAGGATTGTTTTATCCGTCGCTATTTTATCAGCTTTTGCCGTAAGCTACACGACAGTGACATTATTCTTACTGGAAAACTATCCCACCGCCTTGAGGTGTGTCTTAGATGTGAATTATTTTTAGAAGAACTTAATGAAGATATATAGATATATATGAGAGTCAATTATATTAGAGTAGTCGAAAGACATTTTAAGGCTGTTCTAATTTTAGAAATTGGAAAAAAGATAACTTTATTTGTAATTACGTTATATTATTTGATTTAGAGGCACGATTATTGGTTTCGCAAGAATTCTTCCACACCTGGTTGGATTCTTCATGAAATCTTTTATGAAGTTACCCTGTTTAATGACACTTTACATTGCATCTGGCATAATGATAGGTTGGTAAGACTCCACTTTTAGCGGCTTGCTATATTTAAGATTGAAAATATCTCCATCTTCTACACCAGCAAAATTCCTTACGTTTATCGGAATTAATGACAATTTTATTTATTTACTATATCACGTTTGCAAAAATTGTAAATTATATTTTATTTTTATATTATTACATTTATTATATATTTTGCCACAAATCAAATAATTTTAATAGCATTTGTTGAAATCATTAACGAAATTTAATTTATAGTTTATAAAATAAAAAATATTGATTTTAATTTCAAAAAGAAATTGAAATTTTAATTTTAATTGCAAAATACTTTTTTCCAGGTACTGTGATTACGACGCTTCCTATTCCCGATTTGACAAATGCTCCATTACAAGAGTAATGATGTTTTAACTGTTTCAAACCGCGAGGAAATATTTTTTATCTATGGAAGTAAAGCGAAAAAAGTCAAAAAACCCATTTTGTATGTCCAGTCCCGAGTCGAAGTTGAATCTGAAAGCGGAGGCGGTTTTAAACGGTATAGAAGACTGAAATAAACAGATTAATAACTTTAAATAAGAATATAGTGGGCTCGTCTGCAGAGAGTAGTGGCCTATTTAAAAATTTATTATGTGAAATTCATTCAAATTATATATTTTTATTGTTGGAAAAATTGAATGATCATTTTCAATTTTACAATTTTTCAAATTCAAGTGGTGAACATTAAGATTACCAGTTTGTAAATCATAAAATTTTGTTCACATACTTTTTTTATTGCATTATTTATTTATGTATTTATTTTAATTAAATTTTAACTATTAAATTCATTAGTTCCATATTTCTTTAGTTTTTCATTATTTTAAAAAAATGTTCAAATATTTATTATTTAACTTCATGCGAATAATTATTTCTGATTTTCTTGTATTAATTAATTTTTTCTAATTCATGGAAGATAATAATTTGTCAATGAGTTTCAGAGCTTCAATTCAATGGCTTTCTTTATATATATTGAGATAAGTGGAGTTTTTCTTCGAATGCTGGTTGTATTGGCTTCATTCATAATTTGAAACTGGCCTGAACCTTGGCTTAGCTTCAAGTCGACGTTCGTGGTGGTAACAAAGTTCGAACGCAACTGGCGCAGCTTTCGACGTTCGGTATATTATAAGTTCTTAACTCGTTGCAAGATCAAACCTTGCACGCCATAATTAGGAAATGAGTATATGTGCTTCTTTTAGCCCTTAACTGACCTCCATTCTAGGAACTTAAAAATAATCGCTCTCCATATTCGCAATTCATTTCTATATAATTTGTTTTTTTTTAAATTTATACTTTAATCCCTTTTAAATTGTTAATTGAATCGAAAATTTCGAAAAAACAATTTTTCACATATATTTATTTAAAAAATATTCTACTCGATAAATAAATAAATCATTAGAAAGTTTTGTCAATAGTGAAGAAATTCCTTGAACTTGAATTTAAAAATTGCTTGCGAAATATTTTAAATATCTAACATTTTATTTATTTATTTTTCATATAGATGGAATAATGCGTATACTGTAAATTTAGAATATATGCCAACTGGTTGATGGATAGAATTTACGAAAGTTTATTTAGAAATGTCAAAGTTTGTTTAGTTAACTTTCTCAAAAAAAAGTGAAGTGTTTGACTTAAAGCACTTTTGCTTTCAACAGTTCATATGCTCTCTGTGCTAATTGGATATCGTTTTAGAATATATATAAAAGATTTCAAAATTTTAAAAAATTATTTCACGATTTTCTCGCAAGTTATATCAAAATCAATGAATCTTCTACAAAGACTTTGAGTGCATTTTATTTTTAAAAATCCAACAGCATCAATACACTTCAAAATATATCAAATCATACAATTTATCAAGTTATCCGCACATTTAAAAGCTTTCGAGTGTTGAAATCGAATTTGCCGCACATCTATCAAAATTAAAAGCTTTTCAACAAAAAGAAAAATACAATAATTCCCATACGAATGACTTTTATTTTTTTCAAGATTTGACTTACACTTTTTTCGCATCTAAAAGAGTATTTTATTGAAAAAGAAAAAATCTTGATCATTAAATTCAAAACAAGCCAATTTTTTTTTTTTTTTGCGAAATTAGTAATAAAAAATTTATTATTTTAAAACAATATTGAACCCGGAAATTTAAAAATAGAAAAAAAATATTTTATAGTTTTGAAAACCTTGAGAAGGTGAAATTAATCATCGCGAGACATTAAATTGTTGAGATGAGAAATCGCGAAATATTTCATGTAAATAAACACCCCTTTGAGGAATGTGGCTATACGATTTTCTATTCGCAAAGTTCGAGCACTCCGGAGGGAACGTATCTTCCGTATGGCTATTTTGGCCATTACACAAGAAGAAGAAAAAGAAAAGGAAGAAGAAAATGATGATGATGATGATGAGAAGAAATAGAAGAGAAAATTGAAACTGCGGAGGCGGAGGAAGAAGAAGAAAGAAATTGTTCAAGTGAGGCGCATGCTCACCCATCACCGTCTTTCAAATTCACACAGACGGCTTTTCTCTTGTGCACACGCGGGTTGCTTTCAAGCTTTCACCATCCTAGACGTTTCCCGTCAACCAGAGTGCCCACCTCGAGTCTGGACATCCCGGCGGAAATATGTCGACGCTCGTCGCCCAAAATAACCAACCAAAGTGCAATAATTTCTCCTTGTCAACGAGATCTTCAATCGGACATTCTACAATACCGGAAATTGTTATTGCTGTGAAGAGGAAGAATTTTTTCACATTCGCAGGTCAATGACAGACTCGAATTTACGTTTTCAGACTCTTGGAAACTTGTATTGAATTTTTTCGAATACTTAGAGAAAAAGAAGAAGAAGAAGAAGAAGCTGATGAGAATATATAATTTTTGGAAAACGTCAAAGGATCAAGTGTCATTGAGCCCAGGTTTGAGATTGGGATGAGGTTGCCACCATCTCTTCAATAGATTAACCTTGATGCCAGCCTTGCAATCGCTAACGACCCACGTTACAACACTGCCTGCATTTTCAGACGTGTTTCCAAGTTGAGGGCGCTACCAAGCTCTCTTTTCTCGTCTCTTGGATCATCGCCAGCGATGTCAGTTTAGTTGGACTGCCCTCGTCGACATCTCCTCGTGATTCGTGACCTCCTAGTTTTTCGAGTTTGTGCTCGCGAAACGGAAGTGAACAACAACCATGTGGTGTTCAATTATAAACGAAAGAAAGTTTAGTGTTTTGTAAAATTGTGCCTCCCAATCATTATCAATGAAAAAATAGATTTAGACCCTAAAAATCATGGATTATCAAAGTGACAGATCACGTAAATTGATTCCATAGAGAAATGATTATAGTCAAATCAATTCCAAATGGCTGAGAAGGTGAATTCCCTATTGACAGTCACACAAATTCCAAATCTTCCAAAAAATCCCCAAATTCAAAAATTTGAAAAATTGTCAAATTTTACAAAAATTGAAGAGCAGCAACAGAATAATCAAAGAGTCAATAAAAATCTCTCACAATGCGAAAAGCAACGACGAAAAGCAAAGGTTTACAAGAAAAGACGTAGTCGAGAAAAGATGATTGACCTCGAGAAGTTGCCAACACCACCACCGGATCCAATGGAGACGAATGTCTTCGACGAGGCTTTCGTCAAGCACAAAGAAAATGAGAATTTGAAAAAAGAATTCCTCGATTATCTCCGAAATCGTCGTCCATCGAGTGAAAGTAATTCCGGCTCGATATTTCGTTCAGCCTCGAGTTTTGCGGCGAATTTCGATGGCACCGAGGAAGCGTTCGATCATCTGGAAAAGCTCTTTCTCCTCATGGAGCAAGTGATTAATCTTCGCGATCGTAATTCAAAGATGTTTCGAAGACTCAGAGAGTTGGAACGAATAAAAGCATTAAGAAATGCTGATCGTGAGGTTGAGAGAGCTCTACTTAACGGCGAAGATGTTGCTCTACCCGAAGAAGATGTAGGGTTTGCCGAATCACTATTAGGCGCTATACTCTCCAGTGGACCGGATATGATGATGACAGCAAAAAAAAATTTCCGTTCACCACCAATAATGAGACAGAGAAGTCGATCAATTGGAATTGAAAATCCGGCAATGCGGTTATCGCAAATGAATCCATCATCATCGGGAGGAGGATTATCGCATAATAATAAAAAACGAATGTCGGTTGTTGGTGCACCAAAGGTATCCAAGTGGACCAAAGTCAAGGCAGCATTCAAGTGGGAGAAGGCCGGAACTGTTGATTCGATAGATCCTGAGATCATGAGATTTTTGAAGGTTCCGGACAACAATGACACTTCTACTGGGTCTGGGTTCTCGCCAAGAACTGGTGATCATTCCGGACCACCCAGTCCGAGTACTTTGTCTTCATCTTCCTCGACCGACGAAGTTTTCCAAGGTGAGGGTGATTGACTTTATATATTTCGTTGAAACTGAAATGTTTATAGTTTAATGTTAAAATAGATATTTGGATGGATTTAGAACCTAACAATAAGTCAAGTTTATATATATATTTTTAAATATATTTATTTATATACTTTTCAATTTCTCACCTTTAAATAGAATAATTTTCATGTTGAAAATCGTTATCCTCATTTTTGCACAAAAATAACAAAAATTTATAAGAATTAATCATATAGAAAAATTGAAATATAAATTATTTCGTTAATTAAATCCATTTAGGGATTAACAAAAGGCCCCGCTCTGGTCAATTACCTGTGCGAACTAAAGAAGATATTACGAATGATGATTCTTCTCGTCGAAGTCGATCTCTAGATGGAGATGTTTTGATACCTCAAAATATTGCATATTCCAATCACTTATTCAAGGTAATTAAAATTAAATAAATTCTTCCAATATGAATTTTTAAATTCTCCAATTAAAAATTGTATCTGAAAAATCTCGATTTTAATTAAACAAAATCTTTTTAGAGAAACAATGAATTTATCATCAAAATTATTTCCACGCGCGAATAAAACGTTTTTTTCAGGGCAATACAAATGTGAGAAAATTCGATAAAGGACAGAGTAGAACACCATGGGGAAAAGTGAAAAACATGATTCATTTGCGTCGAGAGAATATTCGACGACAACCACCACGTGGTAGTATACGAAGTGAGGATGGTTATTCTATTTCGAGCCTCGAATCATCAGAAATTCTTCAAGAGGTAATCACCATCATTATGTATTTTTTAAAACAAATAAACGATTATTTCGACAATATCGCAGCTGGACAAAATAGATACATTCCTTTTGTGATTTTTGATTTTCATGATTTTGTTTAGCCAAATTTTTTATTTTAAACAATCATTAATTAAAATAAAAAATATAACTATTTTATTTTATTAATTTCGAGAATGTTATAAGTATCATTGATAATTGTGAATAAATGTTAAAATTCCTTCTTGACATTTCAAAAATGTAATAAATTGGAAAATATAATAAAAGTCGATGTCGCAATTCACACAATAAAGCAATAACCGGCAAGCGATGAATTCGAACGTCTTCTTATAGTCCCCCAAAGGATTCTTTTACTCAGGGAAGTTTAAAAATATCTTTTCAGATATATACAAGATATTGAGTCTTCTTTTTAGTGTTGAATTCATTTCAAGTCATTTTGTAGAGGCTCCAAAAACGACAAACCAATAATCCGTAACGAACAAGCATATTATGTATATTTTACATAATACATAAATCTTTTGGACTATCTTATAAACATATATTACATCAAAAATTATTTTGCCTTCAACTAATCGTTATTTTCATCTCTTTCTGCTTTTATCTCTCTTTCAAGATTTGACAAATACAACTTGTTTGTTTACAAATTTCATTTCACTATGTTTAAAAATAATTTTTAACTTTTATAAAAAAAAAACTATTTAAATTTCTTTATAAATAATTTTTTTTTGCTTTTAAAAAATAATTGTCTGTTTTTTTTTAATTATAAAAATTCTGCAAACGAGAACAAAAGGATATTTGTTTATGGCTAAATGTAAATTTTCAGAGTTTATCTGCAGAAAATTGAGGTCTCAGTGCATGTGAGAAGTGCATTCTTCGTATATTGATAAACATTTTAGAAAAATTTTCATTATTCTCTCTTTCTCTTTGTTTTCATATGAACTGTATATATGGGCATATCTCTGGAACTTTTAAACTTTGAGATATTAGAAAAATTAATTTTTTTTTCAGGGCACATTCGTGAAACAAATTTTATTGTCTTCAGTATTGATCAAATACTATAAAAAAATTTGCGTAACTCATTTTTACACATTGTTACGCATCACAGTGGGCCTTATTGCAGAAAACCTGCCCAAAATCTCTAGATGTGTTTAAAACTGACTAAAATTTGATACTCGCGGATTTTTTTGGTCGCTGATTACAAATGCGACGTTAGTTTTTCAAAATTCAAAATGGCGGATCCAATATGGCGGACGACTTTTAAAAAAATTTATCGAATTTGTCTGAAATTTGTTACTCGGGGGTTTTTTGGGTCGCTACCACCTTTAAAATGATTTAATGCTACAGTTTCGAAAATTTTATGGCCCATTGCCATAAATGTAGTTTATAATGTAGTTTATAACAATTTTTGAATTTTTTAAAATTTAATTTTTTAAAAATTTTTTAAAAAATTTTGTTTGCAATTTTGGATCTACCATTTTGAATTTTGAAAAATTAAGTTCAGATTCGTAATCAGCGACCCCATAAACCCCCGAGTAACAAATTTTAGGCCAATGGGATCAATTTTGTAAAAAGTCATCCGCCATATTGCATCCGCCATTTTGAATTTTGTAAAACTAAGTTCAGATTCGTAGTCAGCGACGCAAAAAACCCCCGAGTAACGAATTTCAGGCCAATTGCATCAATTTTTTTAAAAGTCATCCGCCATATTGGATTCGACATTTTGAATTTTGGAAAATTTAAAATTCAGATTAGTAGTCGCAGCGACCCCAAAAACCTTCGAGTGAGAAATATCAGACAGATTTAAACACATCTATTAGTTAATACTTACATTTCTTCACAAACTATGCGTCGGACAGTTTAGGTTTATATTCATTATTAATTATACAGTTTTAATGAAGTGTGCAAAGGTTAACTATTTTTCTGTATACTTTTATAATGCATGAGAAGAGATTACAATGAGTTGGGAGCATTTAGAAGCAAAATTCAAAATGTGCTTTTCAAATATGTGGTATTTTGATTTGAGTTACGTTTTAAAATTTAATGTTTGAAGTCATTGCATTCTTTGTGTAAAGGAGGCACACATTCCTGTATGGGTTCAAATTACTTCTTATTAGGTAGATAATATAATCCCGTTGTGCCGTTACTCAAAAACCTTCGTTAAAAAAGTTATATCAGTTTAACTGCTAACTTGTAGAAATTTTGAAAAAGTTGTCTCGCAAGTTTGAAGCTACATAGTTTTTATTCAATTTGAGGCACATCATTGTTTCATGGATTTTTTAGTTCTTTACACTCCCACCTACTTCTATTGCAAGCCACAAGACACACAATGTTTCGTTAAAAAAGTTACAGTCTATAAACTAAAAAAACAGTCAATATCACACACTAGAAACTGTCGATTTCACCACTTTAACTTACGTTCGTCATTTCCTACATAATTAAAAAAATTATATAACGCATGATACATTTAAAAAGCCCTATAATTGGTCAAATTATGGTATTGAAGTTTTATTAAAAAAATTCTTAAGGTATCATAATGAGAGATAACATAAAGTTTAAAAGTTCTAGAGATATGCCCATATAAAGTTAATTTTAAATAATATTATTATATAGTTTAAAATTAGATTTTAAAATAAATTTTATTTTTGGAATGTTTACAGCTGCTGCAATTTGAATACGGAAAAGCTCGGGTACAAATAACCACGTCCGAATGTCCAACAGTAAATTCCTCGAAACCTTCGAGCCCAGGTAGTGAAATTGTCGATTTGGCCAGTCGAAGATTGACACCGACTTTGACGATAACTGTGCCCTCAAGTGAAGAATTAAGAAGTATTTCATCACCGGAATCAATTTCCCCGCCACCGTCACATCATCTGGATTCTGCGGAAGAACGTTCGCCTTCTGATGAATTTGAATTTTTGAAAAATACTCCCTTGGTCATTGGCCGCTCGAAAACTTGGCAAGATGTTCCATCGTCTTTGGAATTTAAAAGACAGGTTGAATATTACAAATTAAAATTTAATTTAATTTAATTTAAATTATTACATTAATTTTTTTTCAATTCCATTTAACTAATTTTCATAAAAAATGTTGACTTTCGTTTCTAAGTTTGTCTTCTTTTTTCAGTATTCCCAAAAAGGTGATTCTTCAAATATTTCAAGACTACAAAGACAAGATTCAAAGTGGCATAAAGTGAAAAGAGCTTTTCTCACAAACACAGCATCGGTTCCTCCAAGTCCCAGTAGAGTTTCTTCATTTTTTGATGGTAAGTAATTTTATTTAATTTCTTTTTCATTGTTTTTAATTTTCTCTTCTTTTTTCTTTTTTTTACTTCTTTTTCTTTATTTCTTTGTTTTATCATTTTTTTCTGATTTTTTTCGTAATATTTTTATCATTCTTTTCTGCTTTTTAATGAATTTTATAGAACGGGACAAATTTTTTGAGAAATCTTCTATTCTATTTGTATAAGATTCTGTAACACTTTCCAATGAATCGGAAAATTTTTTTACAGCTGTGACTTTATAATTTTCCAATTCAGCAATTTCCTGAGAAATTTTTTCATTGGCACATTGAACAATTTTTATTGCTTCTTTCGTTTTCTCTTCGACACAAACTTTTAAAGAATTCGGTGTTACGCATTTTCGACAACTTTTAATTAAATCAATGGCAGTGTTTGTCGTGTTTATTGTGTCAGATATTAATTTTTCTTTTCCCATTTGTAAAAATTTGATTTCTTTTGGTTTCTCACAACTGCAATATTTTAGTTCATCGAATACTTTGTAATTTATCATCCATACTTGATTTCTCTTTTTTATACCACAAAAACTGTCCAATTTAATTAATTCTCGTAGCTTATTGTTAACAATTTTCAAAAATTTTTGCCTCTTGATGGCTTGTTCCGTTTTCTTGTGAGTCACTTCCGTTTCGAAATCCTTCAAAATAAGTGTTGTCGAACTCTCGACGAAATTTGATAATTTCTTTGCTCGATCCTCCACGGATCTTAAAGATTGTAGATAAACATCCGATATTCTCGAGTTACACTGAAGAAAAATAAAATCCTTTTAATTTTTAAATAATTTTTAAATTTTACATTTTAATGTAAAAATTAAGATAATATTAAATGAGATGTAACATTTATGAAGGGGAAATAAGTTTTTAATTTCAGAAAAATTTAATTATTAATAGGTATAAAACATCGAATTTTTTTAAAATAAAAAATATAATAAAAAGAATGTGGTGATAAATTTCCGGCACGCTATCAAAATAATAAAATGGAATAATTATCCTGTTTGAAATTCCAATGAAATGATATATACGAAATTTCTCATAACTCAGCTTCATAAACGTTCAATTCGAAATCTTTCAAAATTTACAATAATAAACTTGACGCGTAGTAGAAACAATACATTTAACGTTTGTTATAAATTTAGAAATGAAAATTTTCTGACACTTCTCTCTACCAGAAATAAAAGCAATATATATATATATATATATATATATATATATATATATATATATATATATTTAAGAGAGCCTGCGTAGATAAAAATGCTTTTACTTTTGGCGCAACAATTTTCAAATCAGTTTTGCAAGTTGTCTTCTTCTTCGGACATTTTGCAAGTGTTGCTCGATTTTCATCGCATTGATTACGTCCAGTGTTTCCACAATCAAATTTCCCTGCTTGTTCTGATGAACAATTTTGATTTATCACGTTTGAACACAACTTTTTGCTGGCACGTCGCACTAATACATATTTTAAATTATTGTTGAAATAACGGTGACGAATTATTTGTACGGAAAATTTGGAAGCTAACATACTAAACAAGTTATTTTGACTGAAGTTGAAACGTCAAAAAAATTTGACAGATCTCTTCTTTTTTTCTAATAAATGACGGACGATTTATGAGATTATTGAAAAGTAACACAAAAATTTTGCCAAAAAAAATTTCAATTTGTGAGAATGAGAAAAATATTTTCATTTGCGTTTTACGTCTATTTATTTATAATTTCACTCAATTATATTTTTGCCAACTTGCTTTTTTCCAGTTGGTGAATTTTGTTTATAATATTATTCTCTAATTGTAAATTAATTTTTTCCAATTAATTGTTCTATTTAATGAACAATTTGAAGATTTCAAAGTCGATACATTTTTCAAAATTCTTTAGTCTTGACATTGCTTGTCTATTGACATTAATTCCGGTAGTAAAGTTTCTGAAACCTTCGATTAAAAAAAATTATAATGTTCGTTCTCGATGCCAGAACATCTAACTGAACTTCACCTAGCTTTTTGAATGTCGAATTGCAGCAGCTGTTTTCTTATTCCCGTGCCAGACCTCTTCTTGTCATTTATGAATCTCTAAATCAATTTTTGATTTATGAGGCTTCAGAAATTTCGAGGAAGTAAAAGTTTAAGGCAGTTCCGGAATCGCTGTGATGTATACATACAATATCATAAAAATTATTTTTCACTATTTTTTCGTACTATTAATTTCTTTAAAATTTTAAATGAAATATAAAAATGCCTATTTTACGAAAATAAGAAATATGATTTCTTTTATAAATTGCGTTTGCCTAATTCGACACCAAACTGGCAAAAACAATCAGTTAACGAAATCAGCAATAAATGTGCCATCAGTTGATTTTCCACTTTTTATAAAAATAGCTTTGAATTCAAGGTTTATAGGGTAGACGTGATTGAAGTTATTTCGTCGGTAATATCGATTACACAAGGAAAAATATTTTTAGATAACGCAAATACTCATCTTATGGCGATTGAAGAAATATTTTTTTTCAAAGTCGCCTAAAGAATTTCGAGGAGAAACACGTGTCAGATAAAAAGAAACATTTTTTCGAAATTATTCATTTTACACACGAACGTAAATTATTTTTATCATCACAAAATATTATTAAATTTTCATAAAATGTTTTATTGAAAAGTTTCAATTTTTCAATTCCATTTTATTAGTCAAATATTAGAAGTCGTCAGAATATAAAATTTAAAGAGTAATATGACTTATTGAAGAAAAAGAAAAGAAAAAAAAATGTTTTTTGAAGTAAAGATTCAGGGAAGTTCTCTTTCTAAGAATACATCCATAAATTAACTCGACGTTTTCCAGGCTTCTCTGTTATGTATTTTAGTCAATCTTTTTTCTAAATTTTGAATTAAAAAATAGACATTACGTTAATTATTCAAGCTCAACAACGTTATTTCGGGAATATTTCGCATTCCTTTATAGCTTACAAAATTTGTTGAAAGAATGAAATGGAATTAATTAATAATTTTTAACTAATTTCAGAAGCAGATATTGGCGGAAGTTATAGTGCTAGTGCAGAGGATTTGGAAACTGATGCGAGTTCCAACGTTCAAGCGGAAATTCAAAGAAACTATCAATTACTTCATGACAAATTGAGTGCGGAATTTTATCGCAAATTAAGCGAATGGGAAAAATTGAAATCAACCTCTCCAACTGGTCTGACACAACTGAATCTTCATCACCAGGAGAATAATAATTCACGATGTAAATTAGTACGCGATAAAGATTCATCAAACGCTTTGTTAATTGGTGAAGGACAATTGACACCAGAATTTAAGAAAAAATTGGATGAATGGAAACGTATAAAAAAAGGTAATAGTGCTGGCACAACAACGCCCGAGCAACAGATTTTTAAACGAAGACTAACCGATTGGCAAATTTGGCGTGCTTCCGCAAAATCCGAATCGAAAACTGATAGCGAACCAAGTAAACCTCCTCATCTTTCCGAGGAGTTCTTGAAAAAGCTAGAAGAATGGAAGAAGATAAAATCTGCACGAAACGATGACGAACACGATGGAGGGAAAAAAGATTCAAATTCCAGTAAGTCATTTAGGAATAGTAAAGTCTGGAAAACACTGGATGAAAAAGAATTTCAACCATTAGAGAAGCTTCTAGGTAAAATTGAAAAAGTTCAACCCAAATTACAAAAAAGGAGAAATAAAATTCTGGATAGAGAAGCTAGGTGACGATTTCAATTTTTTTTGAATTTTTTACATTCTTTAGATTATATTATTCTTATTATTTTTTCATGTGTATGATTTTTTAATTTTACAAAAATGTGTTTAATCAAAGATTATCCATGCTGAAACGTAATGCTGGTGTTTCCTCTCCGCGAAAAAAAGAGGTTCTCGTTCACACGTCGACAGGATTTTTTCGATTTGAAGGTATATCACAAGAATTCACGCGGAAGTTGTACGAATGGGAAAAAAGTCAAGGAATATCGCCGGAGTCATCCACTTTTAGATTCTTGAACCCCGCATATAGAATATCCGCAGATGCGACGCCCACCGAATCGCAACGTAAGTTCTTTCAAAGAAAATGAAAATAATTTCCACACAAATCACTGGATTTTTCAATTTCTATGTTTTTATTTCTCTTTTTAGACGAAAAAGGGATGCGTCCCATTCTTAAACGTTCTAAATCAGTTGGCAGTATCGTTGGCAGTACACGAGAAGAAACTCCGATTCGTCAACTTTCCAGTTTATCGTTAAATGACGTCGAAGAATTAGACGCTCAAGGCAATCATAATTAATTTTTTAACTAAAACATTTATTTTTCGTTGTATAGTTAGAAAATTATTTTAATTTTATTCTTTGCAGCAAAGAGAGTGAATTCGGAGCAAACCATAGCTGAGGAAGAGGTGTCGGAAGAAATAACAATGGACGATTCGGAGCCAGAAGCAATTATTGTCGATATTGAAGATGTTATTGAAGAAACTGCAAGTCCTATGGCAAAATTGCAACCACATCAGACGCCTGTTTATTGTGTTGCTGCCAGTGAGACGACAAGTATCGCGATTCCATTAGGAACAGTCACTTCGAGTCATGAGCCATCTCCTGTCATATTATTTGAGGCAGGCGAACTTCATCCAATTACTGCAAGGCTTGTCGTCAAAAATCAAATTCTCTCTTCGCATTCCTCAATTGTCTCTGTGATTCAAGAATCATACACTAATCCACTAGCATTTTCAGAAGAATTGACTGATGCCAGAAAAGAGGAGCCAGTTGTATTTAACGAAGTTAAGAGGAGCAAAACTATTCTCAGGTAATCTGACAAATAAATTTTAAAAAATTTTTATTAACATTTTTTCAATTTCATTTAATTAATAAAAAAAAACTTAATTTTTACAGGGATATTAACAATAAAAATGATGGAAAGAACAAGAGAACGAAATCAAAATTGGATAGACACATAGGTAAGAATATGAATGATGATAAATTTATAAAAGCCAAAGTAGAATCTTCTCATTCTAGGACATCCTGATAATGAAAAATCTCTTGTGACAGACAAGCAAAAATTTTGCAGCTCAATATATGGCATTTCAGAACAGAAGCAAATACACTCATTGGTTTGTAAATTTTCATAATTTATCTATAAAAATTTATAATTATTATCTAATTTATATTTAGTAAAAAAGTAAACTATCAATTAATTATAATAATTTAAATAGGTACAGGACGATTGTAGTAATCGAAAACAGAAAGATTCGGAAACAAAAGCTTACTATGAGAATAAAAGGCAAAGAGATTTTCGAGATATCCCACAAACTGCAGAGTTTAATACAATTGTTGATACTTGTCTTGAATCGTCTCAAGTTCTAGAAGTTTCTCCCACCAAAGGTTAAATATTTAATATCTAAATCTCATTTTAAAAACCTTTAATTTCTCTCTAATTTTATTTTAATTTATTTTTTTTAGATTACGTAAATGCCATTCTAGTAACGAGCTTATCGGAACCAAATTCAGATAAAGAATCTTTTAAAAAAATGGAAATCCCCAATAAACGAGAGAAAACAAAAAAAAGTGAAAATTTTTTTGACGAGAGGGAAAACGAGGCAAAATCGCTAACAATAATAGTCAATGATCTCGCATCAGGAACAAAAGCATTTGAAAATGCATGTAGAAAATGTAGTTTAGAAGAAGAAGATGTAGTTATCACTGTAAATCGTGATATTCGACCAAAAAAAGTGTTAAAGACACGTCGATTAACAGACACACAAGTTGGATATCAATGGATATCGAAAATACCTAACGAAATTGATTCGCCCATAGAATCGTCTCCATTGACAGTTTCAGCATTTCAAGAAACGCCAAATGTTGAAAGAATTATAATTAACGAAAGTACATTAAATAAAATTGTTGTTCCAACGGCAAGTAGCACTGAACCTATTGTGCAAGAATCAAATTTACACGAAAACACGAGCGAGAGAAATTGTTTAGATCTTGGAGAGGAAGAGGAGGAGGCGGCGGCACCAACGTGTAAACGAGAAAAACAAGAATCACAAAGTGTATTTGTTAAAACAAAGAGAATAATTTTCTCGCCATTTCGACGAAATAGTAAGGAAAAAGGATGTGAAATATCGAAGGAGGTACAAAAAGATGATAATGAAGATTCCAATGAATTTCCGATTAAAGCAATGAAATCCAATCAAAGTACATCAACGTCCGATGCTCAGATTGCAATTCAACCCTGGGCTAATTTACATAGAACGAGATCTAATTCAGAATCACCGTGTTCACGTGAGAGAAGACGAATAATTGATTCCAATGAGCAAAGACGACCTCCTTTGCCTCAATCTCCAATTCTTTCCCGCAAGGAATATCGACGATCATCTCCAAAGGAAACTGCACCAAGCATACGAATGATGATTCAAAGGTAATAAATACATTATTTTTAATTCGAAAACAAATTTTCTTTATTTCTAAAATACTTGCTAAATTTTTTAGATACAATCAAAAGCTTGAGGACGCGGGAAGTCCAGCAAGTAGCGGAAGTGGTTCACCAATTTGGCGATCACCCGTCACAGAGAGAAGAGTTCGTACACAAATGGAAAAGTATCAGGAAGAAGTGAGAAAAGCGATTGCTGGTCCTCCTCGACGTGATGTTCTTAAAAGCGCAAGTACCAGTTTGATACGCGACAATTCCACAGGATCACCTCTCAATTCCCCGATTTCGGAAAGATCCCGTAAAACTGAAATTTTGAAAAGTACAAGTGCCGATTTCACGAGAAATCATCTTTATTCCACAGTACACAATATCAAAATTGATGAGGAAAAGGATTCCAAAAAAATAAACAATCCCAATGAATCATTGACAAAAAATGAAAAATCACGAGAAAATATCTCTCCTGACTTGATACATAAACTTGAAGCATTATCATCAGCAGCAGCGCAAAATAATCGAAATTCATTGCCATCAAGTTCAAGTACAAAGCATTCAATGCAATCGTTAACGACAAATATACTCGATGATTCACAAGCCGAGGAAAGTGATGATTCATCATCGCTATTGAAAATTCGTGCACAACGGCTTCAAAAGGCAAAAGAAGATTTTTTATCCCGCGGCCCATCATGCTACTCCCATGATCCGTCCATTGACAGTCGACAAGACGAGATTGTCTTCGACTCGGGAACTGAATCAGTTGATTACGAGGATCGACCCGATTTAATTAAATCGGCAAGCGCTGGAATGATTAACGTTGATCCTGATACTTTTGAAAGACTCGCGACAAATCGTGGCTGCGAGTCGCTGCCAAGATCAGTGAAAAAAATCAACAACACTCCCAATCGTTTTAGTCAAATTGCAAATAAATTTCGCCGTACAAAACTAAAGAAAGCTAAAGAGAAAGAGAGTAAAATGAGTACAGTCTCGATGCTTTGTAGACAGAGTCTTTTGGTTGATATTCAACTTGAGGGAGCATCGAAAAGTTGTCCCACATCACCATCGCCTCAGCGCGAAGACGATGACACTAATCGTTTCAAAAAACATCGTGAAAGTAATTAAAAATAAATCATATTCTTCGTAAACGAGCCAAAGAATTATAATCCAAAAAATATATTATATGTATCTAACAAAAGAAAACAAAATCAAATATTTTTTCATTTAAATAGAAAAATAGATTGTAAAAAAAGAAATTTAACCTTAAAATATTAGAACTAATTAATCTGAATCGACAATTAGTAAGACTAGAAATAATAATAACAAGAATGTATGTAGAAATGTTATATGTGTAGTAGAGTTTAGAAATGTAATTTTTTTACAATTATATATAATATACATCAGTTTCTTAGAAACTTGATATCAACTAAGTTTTGTAAATTAATTTCATATTCATTTTATTTTTGAGAGAATTTCTTTTCCCTTTATCCCATATATGTACTATCCTTTTTTGTGAAAATTATTTTCTACTAAAAAGATCTTTTATAAAATAGAATTTTTTTTATTAAAAAAAAGACGCTTAAGAATAAATATTTTACTTTAGTTCTTAAAATTTATCACAATATGTACAAAGTCATATTTCTTTTTACAATGACATCTATATTATTTGTTTCTTTTTTTAACAATAAATAATATTTTAATATTGTACATAAATTATGTGTTTAAAACTTCCTTCACATAAAAATGTAATTTATTTTTTGATTTTTATAAAATAAGAACATTTTACTACTCTGATAAAAATTAAAGAGAAGTAAACTGTCTTTAAAAAAATCAGAAAATTTATTTATTTCTAAAGAGGAAAAATAGTATTTATCTAGTGAAATTTGAAACTTAAAAAGAAGTATATAGTAAAAATAGAAATGCCTTTATCCTCTATCTATTTAACTATTTTGTAAAATATTTTCCCTGTTCTCTTTTTTTCCTCACTAACACCCCGGCATGGAAAATATGCTCACTTTAAACTGATATATTTTCAATAAGAAAGAAATCTTGTTCAAACAAGCAATTTTCTTGTATCGCTCAAGTCAGTGAAAAATCCACATTGTTGTCCCTGTGGCTGAATCAAATTAAATTTTTGCTAATTTTTTTGGACAATACCTTTTATCGTTTACTCAGTTTCGGTCACGTGCCCTCAGATGACTTCTTTGATTTATTGGTTTTTTTATGCTTCACAGTTTCCGTTGTGCTGTCATTGTCGGAAATTGATGAATCTCTCAATGACTTTCTTCCTCTTGCTGTTGGTTTTTCTTCACTTTCTGAACCTATAGATTCACGATTTGATCTGCGTCGTTGTCGATGAGTCGTTTGCACTTCCATTGCTTCAAGTAAGTGCTTTTTTTTCGCCTCCCAAAAGATCTCCTGTCTTTGAGCTATTTCTGGATATCTGTGAAACGAAATAATTTTTTTTTTTAATTTCATTTTTTTTGAAATCATTATCTTTTATTAACTATTAACGAAAACTAACAATTTTAACTTAAAAATTTTATAAGAAGCGAATACCGTTTAGAAAATTCCAGATCCGGACTCCTGACCAAATGCCAGCCTTTTTTATATTGATGTTGTCCTAAATTTTTGAGAATTTCCGCAATTTCTTCCGATGGCAACTTAACAGCAGAAGAAACCGCTCTACGGTCAATATACTGACTCTCGGTAAATTTTAACAACTAAAATATTTGAAATTAAATTAATTTCTAAAATATTTAATGCTAGAATCTATATACTTATAGAAAGTAACTACGATAAAATTCTTAGCTTACAACAAAATCTCGTGCTCTGCACATGAGTTCAGCGGGTATACCATTTTGATGGGACTTTGTATCCTTTGGATAAATTAATTCACTGTTAATAATCCAGTTACCTTGTACGAGAACTGCAACTTGTTGAAGATACTTTAAAATCATTGATGGCTCATGTTCTGATGATAAAGTGTTTTTCAATTCCGAAAAATTCATAACTTTTGCTGAAAAATAAATATATTTTATTAAAATGAAATCTATCAAAAGAAAGACTTTATTTCATTAATTGGCAAAAAATTTAAAAGCTAAAAATTCAAAGTGAATTACCGTCTTTCATGAGATAACGAATTTGATCGAGAAGAGGTAGAGTTCGAATATAATTCAACGATGTTACGTGATTTGGTTGATGAACGACTGGAACAGGTTCTTCGACAGCTGACGGTAATAGACTTTTTAAAAATTCCTTTTTTGACATATTTAAATTATTCATCGCATCATCGACTGGCGGACATAGCATTTCCATTCTCATTAGCTTAAAATAATAAAAATTATTTTCTCAAATTATGATACTTTCCAATTAAAAATTTAACTTAAAATTTTACCTCCGCTTTAGAATTTTTCGCTGGGATGTATTTTGTATGTATCCACGGTTCTTCAAAACTTTTACTAGTTTGACATTTGAAAGATTGTTCCTGCATTTTTTTAATATGATCCGGTTTTTGACGAGCAAATGAAACATTTACTTGTTTCGCAGGTTCTTCTTCTTCTTCAACTTCTACTTAATCAAAAATAAAATAATTACGTTTTTACAATATTACCTTGATTATTTGTTAGCAAACAAAATTTTTTTCTAATTCGAGAAATTATTTCTCAAATTCGTAATTATAACAAATTAAATTTAAATTTAATGGAAATTCAATAAAAATAAAAGATGAAATACCATCTTTGTTATCATCTTTTGACCGTTTATCCTGTTTGTCGAAATACTGAAACGCAGGTCGCATCTCAAGAATCCCCTTTAATGGAGTTAAATGCAAATCTCCGTCCTGGTAAACACCAACAGCAAAAATATTTCGATTAGATGGTACAGAACGACTGGATTGTAGAACGATTTTATCCATAAAGTCACTAAAAACATAATTAAAATAGCAATATTAATTTAAAAAGTAACTAAATTTTAATTTACACAAATTATTTATATTTATTTTCTTTTGTAATTTATGTGTTTGAGAAACAGAAGAATCGACTATAAAAAAAATACCTTTCGAAATATCTTTCCTCTTCTTCTTTGTCATGTCGGGATGGTACATTGGCGTTATTTGCAATTTGTTCACCTTTAAATTGATCATAATTCACGCTATGTGTATTTAAAGCAACTTCTAATTGAACTTCCTGATTTTGTGGTTTAATTGATGATTTTAAAACCACTGCATTATCATAACCCTCCTGTGCGGAACGTAGTGGATATTTTAATACAAAAAGTTTCTCCGCCAGTACTTTTGAAAAATAAACTGGTATCTGAAATATTAAATTCAATAAAATTATGTTTAAAATAAAATATATTAAAAGTATATATAATTTAAACAAAAAGCATTAAAATTGCCTTAGAGCTAAATATACAGAAAATTTTTTAGAACATTTAAAATAATAAAAATAAGAATGGATAGGTATTTTAATTCGATAATTATAAAACAAAATAAATTTAAAATTAATATTTATTTCTTTACGCTAAAGACATCAGACATAACCTTCAAACTTGCACGTTGTCAATTAAATAAAATGGAAACTTTACCTCTCTAACAACCTGATCGTTATCTTCTTCAGTACTTTTTGATTCAGACATTTGTCTATTATTAAGTAAATATTTCTATATAATTAAATTACTCCAATATTTTAAATTAAATTATAAAAAAAATTTTCACTCAATAACCCGGTGCAAAATTCAGGAAAATCTGTCAATTTTACTAAAAAGTTGCATTTATTTACCACCAGAGGCGTTTTTTCAGTGCTGCCACCACAAGTATAATTGTGACAGCTGACAGTATGACAGTTCGGCTCATTCTGCTTTGTTAATCATTTTTTACGATTAATTTGGATATATTTATTATATTTTGTCAATATATTTATCTTGTTTAAACAAAGTTTTACAATGTGATTAAAAGAAACTCCAATTATAATCAATACAAAAACTTGAATAATGTTTCTCATTGGTGGGCGAGGTTAGTTTGATAAATGTTCCAAAAGTATATTATTTTATTTTTTAACTTCATATAAATTATTTTTAATTATTTCTTTCTGTTATATTGTACTTAATATTTATATTAATATCAATTTTTATATTTCTTAATTTTCATTTATTTTAATAATAAAAATACCCTATGAAATAAAATTTCTTCTAAGAGAAACAAGTTTTCCAATTCATTTTATTTTTTCTGTTAATTTTAGGTTTTCACTTTTAAATATTTATTCATCGAAGGAAGATATAAAATATTCAAAAATGACTTCTATATTTGATCAATACGAACAGGCTTCTTTGAGGTCAATGCAAAATATTCCGCCTTCAATAAAACCAGAAATTGTAAGCACATCATTAAAAAAATTATAAATTAAGTAACTTTATTTAATTATTTAATGGGATATTATTAACTAATAATTTAATTGAATTATTCTCTATAGAGTTCAACCGGTTTGATACAAATGAAACTTACAGATGATGGACCGATTTTTACCAAACAGAAGGTTAATTTTATGCCCTCTGATAGAATTTTACACTTGAGCGTTAGCAACAATTTTATTGCTATTGCTATGGCTAATAATATTCTTCTTCGAATTGATATGAAACATCCAGATAAGCCAGAAGGTTACATTTAAAAAAATACATGTTTATTTATTTTTAAATTAAGAATTATTAAATTATTATTGTTTCATTAACACTATCATATTTTTACAGAGATTAACATTTCTAAATATATTGGGAATTTGATATTATCTGGTTTGTATCTTGATCCTTTAGGTCAACATTTGTTAATTAGTACGAAAACGAAACAAGGAGATAATTCATTGCCGGAATTATTTTATTTACATCGAAAAACGACAAAATTGAAACAGGTAAATTTGAAAGATTTATGTACTATTTGTTTAGAAATTATTAAAATGCCTATTTGTTTAATGACATAAGTTGTATAAATGTAGGAAAAATAAATTTTTTTCTTTTTTAAAATGTTGAAAAAATATTGTTTTTTAATTTGTCTACGTAAGGCTGCGAAATGTCGAGGTCACGAGATTACGGCTGTTGGTTGGAATTTTGGCAATTCCTCGGAAACTAATTCGGGACCAATTTTACTTGGAACTTCAAGGGGACTAATTTTTGAGACAGAAATTGGTTTGGAGGGAGAAAAAATTTTTGCAACTAATTTAGAACAATACTGGCGACAAGTAAGTCTTACATTTAATTAACCATTTCAAAATTATTCTATAACACGACAAAACACTTTAAGAAATACAAATTTCATAAAAAATTCTTTCCTTCATTACCAAGCTTCCTAATTATCTACCTCTTTATGGTACAAAAGAGGTAGAGGGATTGGTAAGTTAACTATTAACGTTTTCTCTAATTGTAAATTTAAACATTTTTTTTAACGTTATTAAATTTTATAATTAATTGATTAAAGCAAATTTTGGATTATAAAATAGATGATTAATTAGTAATTATTAATTACTAAATAATTTAAAAAATAAGTTTTAATTTCAGTCAAGAGCTGACAAATGTATTTGTAAAATTTTTAGGTTTTTGACATTGGAAGAGACAGCAAGCCACCAATTACTGGATTAGAATTTCATAAAATTCCTAATACCGATAAATATTTTATTATTGTAACTACTTTGATTAGAATTTATCAATATATTGGGTCCGTGTCGAATCCTGACGAGAAACCATTACTTCATCAAGTATTCAGTAAATACTTGAATATAAAAGGTCAGTCTTACTATAGACTATAATACAATATTAGAAATGTTTGATTTTTATTTTTCATTCACAATTTATTATTGTAATTAAAAATGTAATATTTATAATATTTTCGTCTTTGCAATTTTCAGAACGTTTTAATCAATTGGAAAGTTCTCTAGCGTATTCAAGAATGCAATTTTTCTATCCCGCTCCGAGAGTTGTACCAAAATCTTTTGGTTGGCTGACAGAATCTGGAATTTTGTATGCACAGGTATATATAGAAACAATTTGTTTTTAAAAATGTAAATGAAAATTCATAATTATAAATAATAATATTTAAAATATTTGTTATAATTATAAATTCAGGTCGATCCATGGTCAGATCCAGAGAACGTATTGATGAATCAACAATTATTGCCTTGTCCGGAAGTAAGTCCATTGAGTGGAAATTCCTCACAATTACCACCGAAAGCTCCATTGTCCTTTGTTTTGACAGAATTTCATGCACTTCTTCTTTACGTTGATCATGTCAAAGGAATCTCTATTTTAAATCAAGAACTTATTTTCGAGGATATGTATAATGATGTACGTTTTGATCTACTGTTTCTTTTTTTAAATTTTCTATTAAATTAATTTTTTATTTCTTTTTCATTCAAAAATTAAATTGTTCAAGGCTTTTGGGAAATTAATTAACATCACCAGAGATCCAATCACGGGTTCAATTTGGGCTTATAGTGAGCGGGCGGTTTTCAAGTACAAGGTGACGAAAGAAGATCGAAATGTTTGGCAGGTAAATTATTTCTTTTTAACTATGTTTATAATTTTCTAATTTAAAAAATTATTATTATTAAATAATTTTCGCACAAAGTTATTGATGAATAATTTTTAAAAATTATTATTATTATTATTATTTTTGATTTTGTTATTTGATAATATCTTTAATTAAAATTTTTAGGTATACGTTGAGAAAGGAGAATTTGAGTTAGCCAAAATCTATTGCAAAGATAATCCAATTCATCGTGATCAAGTTCTCGTAAAAAAAGCTGAAGTTCTTTTTAAAAATAAAAAATACGAGGAAAGTGCTTTAATTTACGCTGAAACTTATTCTTCTTTCGAAGAGATATCGTTGAAGTTTTTACAAGAGCGAGAAACTAAAGCACTAAAATCGTTTTTGGAAGCTGTAAGAATCTTTTATCCAATTTTTAAAAATGAATTTTATATATTAAGTAAACCACTGTATTAATTTTTTTTTCTTTTTTAGAAATTGAAGAGTTTGAAGCCCCAGGACAAAACTCAAACAACAATGATTGTTGTTTGGGTGGTGGAGCTATTTATGAATGAAATGGGTGTTTTACGAAGTGATCAAAATTTCCAACGTCACAAATCTCAATACGAAGAATTGCAAAAACAATTTGAGAGTTTTTTAAAAATTCCAAAAGTCGAGGAATGCATAAGAAAGAATCGCAGTACAATATGTAGTTTAATGGCGAGTCACGGTGATAAAGATAATCTTATAAATCTAACAGTGATGCATCGTAATTACGAGGAGGTAATTCGACAACATTTATATAAAAATAATTATTTGGAGGCTTTGGAAGTATTAAAAAAGCAAGGAAACAAGGAATTATTTTATCAATTTGCCGGTACTCTTCTTCAAGAATTACCGAAACCAACGGTTCAAGCTTTAATTTCCCAAGGATCGAATTTGCAGTCATCAAAACTTCTTCCTGCATTAGTTTCCTGTAATAGTGACGAGAAACATGTGAGTGACTTTTAATAATTAATTGCAAAATTTAAAAATAATCAACTTTTAATTAAATAAAAATTTGACTTTCTTTTATATTTCAGGCTCAACAAATAATTATGTATCTTGAGTCTTGTATTTACAATCAAAGTTGTGAAGAGCAAGCGATACACAATTTTCTTCTATCTCTTTACGCTCGATATAAGAAGAGTGAAGTGATGCGGTACATAAGTTCTCAAGGTACGTAATTTTATTCTTCTTTCCAAATTTATTTTCCATAAAGAATTTTAAATTTATTTGCTTATAATTTTTTATTTTTAATGGAAATATTTTTCCATTTTATAAAAATTTATTATTTTTAGGTCAAGATGTTAGCATGGTTCATTATGACGTTCATTATGCTTTGCGATTATGTCAAGAAGCGGGTTTAACGGAAGCTTGCGTTCAATTGTCAGCTTTATTAGGTTTATGGACCACTGCAGTCGATTTGGCTCTCACAATAAGCGTTGATCTCGCTAAACAGATTGCTGGCGTTCCTTTACACCATGACGATGTTGAATTGAGAAAAAAATTATGGCTCAAAATTGGTAATTTATTTATAATAGAATAATGATGGAAAAAGAAATAACTGAATTATAAATAAAAATTAATTTAATTTTTTTAATCTTATGAACAAAAATTTAATTAAAACTTAATTCATAATTTTATAAAAAAGACAGTAAAAAAATATAATTTTTTAGCTGAGCACGTGGTGAGAGAACGAGATGATATTAAAGAAGCAATGAAGTTTCTTCAACAATGTGATTTAGTTAGGATAGAAGATATTTTACCTTTCTTTTCCGATTTTGTAACCATTGATCATTTTAAGGAAGCAATCTGTAACTCTCTTCAGGTACAATAGAGACTGTTTTTTAATTTATGATTATGATTTAATTTATGAATTTATTAAGTTTCTTAATTTTTATGTAATCAATAGGAATATAATCAGCATATCCAGGATCTCAAAGAAGAAATGGAAGAAGCTACAAAATCGGCTGAGATTATTCGAAAGGATATTCAAGCATTTAGAACTAGGTTTATAACATTTTAATTTTATTGTGAATAATCATGCAGTAATATCATATTAATTTTAATTAATAATTTTTTTGCAACAATTATAATTTCTATTTCAGATGTACTTTTGTTCATGCAAAAGATATGTGCAATACTTGTGATGGTCAACTTTTGATGAGACCATTTTATGTTTTTCCTTGTGGACATAGATTTCACAGCGATTGTCTAGTCGCTGCATTGACGCCAATGTTGTCAATTGAACAACAAACAAAATTGGCCGATCTTCAGAAACAATTAATTTTAATGTCGGGCAAATCGGATGAGACTGTTTCCACAGATGGATCGGCATCATTGTCAACGAAAGATCAAATAAAAGCGGATATCGATGATTTAATAGCCAGCGAATGTTTATATTGTGGAGATTTAATGATTGAGTGAGATTTCTACTTTCTAAGCATTCATACATTTTTTTAGAATTGTAATTTTGTTTAATAATCAAATTTCTTTTGCAGGTCGATTGATAAGCCATTTATTGAGGAAGAAGATTACGAACGAGTTATGAAGGAATGGGCGTAAAATCAATGCTTTCTTTAAAATGATGTTAGAATTAGAAAGATTATTTCATTGAAAAAAATCAGAATTTTACGATTAATATAAAAATATTTCATTGTAAATATGTTTCAGAAGATTTCCACATATAATTTAAGACGGAAATATTGTTTTCCTAGCTTTTCCATATTATTTTGTACAAATAAGTTGTTGTTTTGTAAATTGAAATTATATTAATGTATAAAGAAAATAAAGTTTTAATAAAACAAAAAAAATAATTTCTTGTTGATTTCAAATAATTTATTTTGTTCACTAATTATCATATTGAAATCAAAAAAATTTGTTAAATAAAAATAAAAACAAAATATATCACTTTTTAAGTATCAAACAATAAATTATACAGTTCTTTCTTTTAACAATTAGCTTCTGCTATTTTGTCTCGTTTGCTGACAGACTTATTATTGTGAATATAATATCGAAGAGGTTTGTTTGCCCATTCTATTCCACAACTTTCAATTCCAATTCTTTTACACTTGATAATTTTAATTTTTTCTTCATTAAAATTATCTTCTTCAAGCCATAAACCTTTCCAAGAACATAATGAATATTTACTGTGTCCTTTGTCCAACAAATAAGCCATGCACAATTTTGATGGACCATTACACAATTCGTGAGATATAAATTCCTTTTTTAATTTTTTGGAAGATGATTTTTTGATTGAATTACGATTTTTTTCCATTTCTTCAATACCTTCAATTGGCTCGAGGGCACGAACGAGAACTGCGCAACCATCACCTGAAAATTATAATTTTTTTTTTATTCAATAATTTATTAAGTAATCTAATTTTAATTAATTCTAATTTTAATTTACTGTAATTTTATTAAATGCTAATTTCTTTTATCAACACTTTTGTTCAGATAAATCGTTTTCTTTGAGATGCGTTTCAATGTTGCAATCTTTTTCAATCCAGAGATCAAGACATTGACTTATATGTTTTTTGTTGAAAATATTTTTCTCGATATTGAAAGCGGTACAAATTTTACCAGGATCATTGCACAAATCTTGTGTTTTATAATTTTTAATATTTTCAACCATTTCTTTTTCTTGTTGGCCCTTTATTTGTCTAGTGTTAAGTAAAAGTTCCATGTAACTTAAACCCTTTAATGGTTCTATGGATTTGATTTCTACTTGTGAATCAGGCTCTGAATATTATAAGTTTTTCTTTGTTTATTTTTTGATTTAAAAAAAATAATTTTGTACCAAAGATTTGGAAACTTACCCTGACTAGAAAGATTAAAGCAATAATACATTCCATAAGTAAAGTAGACATAAATTGTTCCTGGCGGCATATACATGGGTAAATTTCTAGCAGAAACGCGATATTGATAAGTGTGTGAAGCTTTATCTATGGCTCCTAAATAGCTTTCAGTTTCCACAATTCGACCTTTCAAAATTGTTCCATTTTCTAATTTTCGGACAAGAATTTTTCCTAAAAGATTTTGAGCCAATTGTTCACAAGGTTGATCAAAAAAAGAATACGTGAGTCTAGAAGCCATTAAATCCTTATCACGTTGTGTTAGAGGAGGATCTTCCAATTGCTTCAATTCTTCTTTCATTAATTCCAAATTTACGACTGTTTTGAATTTATTTTTAGATTTTTCATGAGCCTCGGAACCAGCCGTAATTAAATGTTTTTCTATAAATAGTAAAAAATTACTTTCTATATTAATAATTAAAAAATTAATAAGTTATTTTATCATTAAAATGTTAATGTTCTTACTGAGATTTTTAAAGTTCAACTTCTTTTTCACAGGAAAATTTAAAGTTTGATTTCCATTTATATTTATCACAGACTGTCTATTATTTTTAATTTTGTATATAATTTTCTGACTCTCTTCATCAGAAACATGAAATTTCTGTAAAGGATTAAATTCAGTTATATATTATTATATTCAAGTATTTATATTAAAAATACAAAAATGGAAATTAAAATCATTACCTCAAAATTTTTAATTTGTGGTAAGTTTTGACAAGCTTTTTCTTCTGAATTACATTCTTGTCTTGATTGGCAGTCATTTTCACTGGTATTGACGATTGAAATTGAATTATTTAATTTTGTAGACATTTTTCTTTTCATTCTGCTAAAATAATTGAAATTAAAACTACTGTTGAGTTGCTGATGTAAGTGTACATGTAAGTACATAAAGACAAATATTTATTATAATTATGAACTATATTACTTGAAAACATTTAAAGTTTGAATTTTGACTGCCATTTTTGTATATAATTAAAATATAGAAGAGTTAATTGTTTTTTAAATCTCTGTGGTATTTAACTGATTTGTTTATGTTTGTTTAAGGTTAAGTTTGACTGTGTGTCATTTTGTTGAGGACATTGAAGTTTGTAGTTGGTAGAACTGATTCATATATTCATAAGAATATTTATTTGAGCACTAGCTTAACTTAATTGATCAAAAATGAATTATTTAGAATTAAATTTCTAATATTTCTTTAAAAGGTTATTTTTATGTTTAAATTTAATATATTAGCAATAATTATCATTGCAACACAAGTAAATTAATTTCTGACTTCTCAAATTTAAATACAGGAAGTGCCGAAGATGAGTGGAGTAAATTTGTCCACCAATCAGAATCCTACGCTTGACCCCCATCCTTGGTTTTTTCAACCAATCACGTTCTTGGATATTGTCGATGTTCATACATGTTCAACTGTCGTTGAATTGATGGCGTCTCTTTTTCTCCTCCTGATTTTTCGATCGAAAAAGGTAATTATTTCCTATTTTTTTATAAAACTTTTGTGTCTCAACATTAATTAAAGATGAAAGAAGCAATATTTTATTAAAGTAATGTAAAATAATGTGTTGGATATTGCTCAAATATGAAATATGTCATTTGCCGTGCTCCGCAAGGGCAATTACCATATAAGGTAGTTGCATTCCTACACTATTTTGCGAGAAATATTTTTTATAATATTGAGTTTTCGGTAATTATTTATCTGTTTTTGTTAAAAATACAGTGATGGTCAATAATATGCGTAAAATTGTACCGACCGATAAAGTGAAAATTTGGTTTTGGCATTTTTTTCAAGATGGCGTCGGTAGAATTTTTGCAACATTTCAGTTTTCCTTAGCAGTTTGATGAAACTTTTTGTTAAATTTTTCGATAAATATTTACAGTTTGAGTATAATCAGTGTTGATTTATTTGCTTTTACAGATCCATTGGCGATCGGAACAGATTCTGAAAGCATATGCCATTCTTTTAATACTCGGTCTTTTTGAAAGGTTGTAGGTATTTCGAATTTCAAATTCGATTTACAACCCAGAGAAGGGATCTCCGAGGGTTAATTGAATGAAATGCTGTGAAAGAATCTCAAATTTGGAAGGAAAACGTTATACTAAGGTAAATTTTTTGATAATTATGAAAATAATATATATATATTGATAAAAATTTGATCGTATACATATAACAAACATAACCTTAATTACTATTGCATAATTGTTCTCTATTTTAAATAAATTAAACTAAACTTTAAATAATAGAGCTAAATTCTCGTTTTATTAAAGTATTGTGGCAAATTTTGGCTACATAACCTAAAGAAAATATTCTTCTAATTGCAATGATTGCAACTTATCAATTACTTTCATTGTCATTGTCCCAAATTATAGAAAATTGTAATTGTAAATTTATTAGAAATTTCGATATTTCGAAACACAATCGGATTAAAGTCAGAATAATCTTCAGTAAGATTCGAAATGGTATTAAATATATTTTTTTATCAAGATTTTGTATTTTAGTAAAGGTATAATGTTAATATTTTTTTTATTTTATAAATATATGGGCAATATTTTTTTTTAAATTTTGAAAATAATTTTAATTCTCGCTTAACCAAATTCATCTATTAGTGTTAATTTTGTTTTTGTTTTTTAATATTTCCGTTCAATAAATGTAATAATTCAGTCAGGCACGAAAAGTTTAAACTATTTTACGTGACCTGAAAGGTCACGGAGGGTGGAATGTCGTGGTATCTACTATTCATCGGTGTATTATTTTGCGTTGTACGCCTGTAAACCACGATTGGTATGTTGAGAGCGACGTCGCGAACTACACTCTGGGTTATTTTACTAGAAGTCGAAAGCTTTGGCAGTCGCGTGTTTTCGTAGTTGGCTGTGCTAGGCAACTATAGTCTTTAAACTAAAACCTATCATGTAGTCCTTGACATTTTACAATGAATAATATTTGATATAAAATAGGCTTTCCAAGTTTAAAAGAATGTTCCGAAAATTAAAGAAGTGATTTATTTTTGACATAAGATGTATTCGTTAAAATTATTCTTTAGATTATTTTTTCTTAATATAGTTGTATATTTAATATAGAAATTATGTGTATAATTTTTATTAAAAACATCCTTTCTTTAATACAAATAAAAAAAAATTTGTATTCAAAATATAATCAAACCAAAGCAATACTTTTTTTTATTAAAACTTGTAAATATCTTTTATTTGAGTTAAAAATTTTTTTGCAAATAATTAAATGTAAGAAAATTTCCACAGTGCGAAAATTTGTTAATAAAAGCTATTGGATTTTTTTCATTTAATTTTAAAATTAATAATGACTAAAGAAATGATTTTTTGATTAAAAAATATATTGTTTTGATTATACTATTAAATTTTTTCTCACCATTTAAATTGTTTATTCAGGTGCGTTTTTTACTTATGCATACCTGAAGATTTAAATAACTGAGTCAGTAAAATTTGAAGAGAGACGTGCTAATTATGGATGAATGTCGAGGAACGACGTATGTTCCGGAAGTAGAGGAAGGTTTACGAAAGGAGCAGGAACGTCGGGTTGTACAGGAAGGAGCTTTCTTGTGGAAGACCCGAAAGGAGGAGCTTCAACGTCAGAAACACCGCGAGCAATATGAAGTATGTATCGTAAACGAAGGTTCGTCAAGTACCATTTAAGACTTTTCCGTTAGAGGACATTTCTTTCATGCCATTTCCGTTTTGCTTCTCACCCCCAAACTCTCACTCTCTCTTTATATATAGCATATATCTTCAACTTATAAGATTCGATCCTTCGGAGTGTAACGTATAAGTGTGTAAAAATAATAAAAAAGAAGTCCTTGGGTTATGGGAAATAGTAACTGGACTTGAAGGCAATACTATATTTTATGGTCTATACAAGGAAAAATGCTACATAGCTAACTTTATGTCTATATAATTTACATATTACTGGAAGAAATAAGCTCACGTATATATATGAAATATATGTAGAAATTCTTTATTAGTTTTCTTTTTCACGAAAAATATGTCACTTTTTCTGAGTCGTAACATATATTTTAATAGAAATTACATATATCTCAATTGTTTGAAATTACCCCTCTGCAAATAAAAATTAACATTATTTTTTCATTTTTTTTATTGTAAACGTTTTTTTAAAAAAGGTCTTTTGAGTTGGAAACTCCAGGAATGGATTCCAAAATGCGGAATCTATTCATTTAAATTATAAATAGGCTTAAAAAGAAAAGAAAAGAAAGAAAAAAACATATTTTCTTTATAGAAAAATATGATAAATATATTTTTTATTTTTCTTTACGTGGAAAAATCGTATTTCAAATTTTGACTTTTAATTAAGAATATGTTTTTCTTATTGTGAAAAGAATGTTCAGTGCGCAATTTAAAGAAAAGAACAATGTACTTTTCAGACATTTTTATAATAAAAAATTGGTATTAACATTGAAATGTGTTTGTTTAGTTGCAGGCAATGTTGAAGAGTTATTCACCTTGGGGAAAACCTGGTGGTGGTGCTCCATGCGAGACAACTTTGCGGAAGAAGAATGTGCCACTCGAGCCATCAGAGCGAGTAAACACTCAAGACATGGTGAGTTTACATTGAGCATTAGAATTAAATTTTAAACAATCGATATGTTTTGATACAAAAATTCATCATTTTTTGAAGTTTTAGAGATATTTAATGATTATAGAATTTATTTCGTCTGATTTTTAAAAATGAAAAATTATTACAAAAGATGTTTAAAAACATAACTGTTAAATTTGAAACGTGCATATAATATTTTTTGAATTTCAATTTAAAAGTAAAAAGGTACTTATGAAAATGTCAAGAGATATTGAAATAAAAATGTATAGGAATAGAGATATAAACTTTTTGAATATGTGAAAAAAATCTACATCCAAGATAATTTATCATACAATTTGGACAATTTAAAAAATTTGTTTTAAAATTCTCTTTTTTTAAATTTAATTTTAGTTAGACATATATAATGTTTATATGTAAAATAAAAAAATTTAAACTTTTTAAAAACATGAAATATAAAATATTCAATTACATTTTGCATATGCATTATGTAAGCTTGATGTAGCACGTAAAATGTTGAGAAATTTTTACTCAAAAGTATATATATTCTATATAATTTTGTGCTTTAAAATGCATGAGTAGTGCGTATTTACGAGTCATATATCATTTCAAAGGTAACGTTTTAAATGAAGCAAACACATGGTAGTCAAGCAAATCTCTACTCTCGCTTGCAGGTTCTTGGAGATATCATTGATTTTTTTAACACGGTGGTAGGAGAAGAATATTTAGAAATTTCTGCGTTCCATAGTGTATATATATAGAGTGTATATATCTTTTTCTGTAAAGCATGCTATGTGATTTGAAATGACATCGTTATTTATTTTTCTTGAGCTTTTCGCATCAAAGGATTATTCGATATGACGCATTTGACACGGTTTTCTCTTTGCGATCTCTTCCAAGACGACGTTGTCGTTTTCCTAGAAGATTTTCTTCATCGATTTTCAATCAAATTTTTAGCTTGTTCCAAAGATATCTGTTCATGTTCTCATATATATAATCTGTTAATATTTTATATATACATGTACATGTACACGAATGAAGTTGGGAAAAATTTTATGAAAAATTATGTGCAAGTGTGCGGAAAATTTTTCTATCAAATTAAATTTAAAAATACAGAACTATTATTAAAAAATAATTGTAACAAATGATTAACAATTGTGTAAGTTTTATTCAAACAAGTATGAAAGTTTATAACTGATTCATTAATTTATTTTTAAAAATTATTTTTTGACACTGTTGCTTACTTTTTTTGACCTGAAATAATATATTAGAATTATATACAGAAATTTATTTAAAAATCTAATTGATGATATATAGATTGATTCACTGTCGTTATCGTTTGAGTGACGAGAAAAAAAAGACATTGACAGCAACTCAGTGAGACGTTGATATAAAGTTCATTAATTTCCCAACTGACTTCTGGCATGAAAAGCTCTACTGATTCTGTTAAACTGGATACTGAAAAAAGATGATTGGAATCGGCATATATTCATCACACTATCCCATTTAATAATATATAAATAAATCAATTTTCATATATTATTTTGAATATTAACAGTTTTTTTATTTAATCTATTATTGACAATTTATTAAGGAAGAAATTAAATTTTAATATTAAAAATTGAAATATTTTTCAAGTTTTGCCATATTCTTTTTGGAGAGTACACGTTAAGATGGGTTTTTAACTATTTAAGACTGTATTTCAATTGTGGTGCAATCCTATAGCTGAATTCCGTTCCATGGGGTCGTCCTGGACCTGGTGGAGCTCCTTGGAGAGATCCTAAATTGTTGGGAGTTCGTTTTCTCGAATCACTGGTACGCATATCTTAGTTATATGCGTAGTTCTAGATGAATTTTATTTTTTATCAGGTGGATCAAGTTATAAAGAGTTGTACTTAATTTTTAGTAAAAAGTTTATTTTTGTTTATTTCTTCACTTTCATTAGAATTTATAATTTCTTCTAAATTTTTTTTTCTTTTTGGTCTGCCTGATTTTTTACTTAAATTAATCGATTATTTAATTTTTTGAAAATATTTTACGATTTAGAGAAAATGCGTCAAAAGGCAAAATTTTTATGTAAAAAAGTTTTCAACTCTTTTATAGAAGGAAATTTTTTATTTGGATTTTCAAAAACCTTAAGTCGTGACATTTTTTAATGAAATTTAATAATTTTTTGCAGCTGACTTCTTTTTTCGAAATTGTTTCTAATCGGGTAAATTAGAGTCGATTGATTTATGGGAAGGTTTTATTTTATTTTCTGTCTGTAAACGTTGAACTGCTTCTCAGCCAAGCAACTAAAGAAGGACTTTGATAGATGAATATCGAGTTTTTCGTTGGTTTTCTTAACAGATAGTATCTATTTAAAAAAAGATAGGCATTTTTTTCCGCGGATTTCATTTTAAAATTTATATGTAAATACATTATTAAAATTATAAGTTAATATAACAAATTTTTTTTATATTGTTCAATGTTATTGAATTATAAGCTATGCTTTCAGTCAAGAACACATTTAAATTTTTCTTTATAATTTACTGTGTAATTTATATTTAATTAAATTATTTTGTATTTTATTTTTTTTATTTTTATTTGACCCAATTTGTTATCGATTATTTTCTATTTATTTTATCTAAAGATGGAAATATTATCATGTATGCGATTAGTTTATTAATTTATTGATTTATTTATAATAAACAGGCAATGCAGTTAATTAAATAATATATAATTGATTTATAGTTAAACAATAATATATATAATATATTTATATATATATATTACAAATATGATATTGCCACTGAATATATATAAATAAATTATGTAACTCGAGGCTAAAATTATAATTTTTGTAATTACATATTATCAATTTATTATTTGCATTTTACCAATAATGTGTTAATAATATAAAAAAAACTAATTTAATTTTCTTATTTTTTAGGGATGGATGACAAAATCTGCTATTAAAAGTATGCAACCAATAAATCCCCAGGCATCAACTGAGATAAATAAATTGCACGATGCCAATGCTAGAAAAGGTAATGAAAAATTTTTTTAATAATAATTTATTAATAGAAATGGCTGATATTAACTTTAAACAATTTAATTATTACAAACTATACCAGTAAAATTAATCAGTTTTGGAAATTTGGAACATTGTATAAAGCATATGGTGTGAAAAATTCATAATTTATGACTTGATAATTGCACGTTGTTAATATCTTGTGTGACAACATCATAAATATTTGTGTTAAATTTGCTATAACATTGTTGTATGTATAACATAGTATCCACAAAATGTCTAAAATTAGGATAAGCGTTAATATTTCAGAATTTATTGTTTATTGATCTAGTACGATTATTGTTACCGATTATGTGATCTATTATTTTATTGTCGTACAATGTTTACAAAATTTTACAAAAGTAGTTATTGATTAATGTTGTACTAAAACTTATTACTATATTGTTTTATGATAAACAAGAATTTTTTTATTTAAAAAACAAAAATGATAAAATTTTCTAATCATTCTGTAAAAATTTCAATTATGTCTAGTAAAATTAATTTTTCTTAGTGTTAATTTAGTATTAATTTAAAATAAGATAAAAAATCCTGATTATTATTCAAGTTTTTTTTAAAAATAAAATACTGTGATATTTTGTAGTATTCGTGTACATAAATATTTATCACTTTTAATCAGAAAGAGGAATGAAGTGATGTATTTCTCTGTTAAAATTTCTCTTGTTACATTGTAGGAATTACCCCGGACCCTCATCCAGGTCCTATTACTGAACGCAATTCAGGGAAAGCGTATAATGAGGAGGTTCAGGTTTATCGCCTCACCGGTGGCGTCGAGTTGGTACCACTTCTGACATGTAGGAGGCATTATTCACAATCGCAGCCCATCCGACATCTCATCACTGACGCCAGAAAATCTAGTTACACTTTAGAAACGTGAGTTACACATTTCTTAATATTATATAATCTGCTAAATTTCGTAAAATAAAAAATTACGACTGCTTTTCAATCAATTTTTGCGTTGATTGAAACAATGAGAAAAACCCACCGATGACGAAGAATGTCTTTAAATATTTTTTTATTACAGAATCAAAGAAAAATTTTATCACTGAAATTTTTCACTATATTTACCCGGTTTTATAATGGAATTTTTTTTCTTTTTTTTTTTTTTTTTTGGTGTGCAAGGTATACTTTTATGGCAAATGGAAGAAATAGTCTTTTGTTCGAGTCCTTTCACTTATAACCATGTCGCTGTGGTTATCAATTTAATTTAACACACGAACGGCTGACAACACATAGAGTTTTCTACTTACTATTTTCCTTTTAAGTTCCATTTACTTTTGCGCTCGACAATGTGAGCTCTTTTCTACTGATTGAATTTTTTTCCTTTTCTTGTTTCAATATATTATTAATTTTATGTAACATTCTATTCAATTATAAAAAGGAAAAACATGTGATATGTCAGAATTTGAGCGAGTTTAGCTCAAAAGCCTATTTGCCCAATCAGAAATAGTTTTATTACATAGAAAGTCTTGATTCAGATAAAATTGATGTTAAAAAAAGATATTTAATAAAAATAATGTCACACATATATTGGGGATAATAATAGAATTAATAACATGAGAAAATTGAAACCATAAAGAGAAAAAATGTTTTTTTTTTAATATAGGTTCTTTTCTTGGTTAAAATATGTTCCATATTTGAATTGCTAAGTTTTCTTAATAGATTAAAGTAGATACTCATAATAACAAAAGTTACTCATAATTTTACGACAAAGTAATTGTTACTATTTATGGAAATTCATTCCATAATCTGAATACCGCATGTTGCATATGACTAGGATATGATATGCTTTCGACGAAACCAGAAAGGCGAGATTTAGTATAAGATTACCGTTTAACCAAAATAATCCTTCCGAAGTGTTGCATAAAAGATAGGTATCAGACTCAGCGTTTTCACATCTTTGTGGGGGATTCTTTTATGCATAAAATGAAGAATATCCTTTCTGTTTTTTAAAAAAGCGTTTTCCATATATGACAATTTACAGAAAATCAAGAGATCTCTAAATTTATAATTATTGTACCCAGAAAAAAACTATATTTCTCTGAGAGCTAAATAAATATTTTCTGTTTTTTTTTGAGAGGATAATGTAAGAATCATTTAAAAACGGAATATTTCTCTGAATATGAGATAACTTTCTCTCAGAGTGTAAATTATGATCTTTAATTCTCAAGTAGTGATTTTTTAAACAAATTTACATGGTAAAATACTTGTTTAAACTTTTGCAACTTTCAATGTTATTAACTTTCGCGAAGTAAAAGTAATTAAATTACCTCAATTAGGGAACGAAGCCTGCGGTCAAAAACGCAAAATGTCAATCATGCTTGTGCAGAATTTTTTTTCCCGTTAACTTTCTCTGGACTTATATTAATGTCACTTCCAAACCACTTACATAGCTAATGAACAACCAAAGAAAACTTTCAAAATCTTGACATTAACTATATTCAACTTATTTTTTAATTAAAAAATTCTTTTAACGACTAAAAAAACAAAATTTATTTTGTTAATAATTTATGATATTTTCTAAATAATATCACATTTAACGTTTCTTTTAGCAGAATTTTAAATTCGATGTTATTTTAGAGAAAATTATAACTACGTTGAAATTCCATATTTTTATCAATATTGATTTCTATCAGTTTTGGTAGTTTTTTTTAATTTAAAAAATTTTTTCTTTTTTTTATTAATAAATAATTATCTTTTTTTTTATTATTCAACGAAATCTATTTTTTTTATCTAAAAGATATTTAATTTCAATTAGATTTTAAAGTTTTTTTTGTTAAATAATACATGACATTAATCTTTGTCAGAGAATTAGTTTTATCTTAAAACTAATTAAATGGTTTAAGTAATTTTTTTTATATAAAATGACACGTTGGACAAACGTTGGCGTATGTCGTGAGATGTGGAGAGTGTTGGTCAGGTCTGCATGGCACTCGAGGGATGAAACTACATTACAGATAATCAGCCAGTTGACCCCACAGTTCATCAACACTGTATGTGGCTAGTAATAGGAAATCGCATAATACTTAATAAAAATCCAATTCACATATGCATCTCAAAAATTACAAAAATTATTATTTATCAAATTTAATGATAAATGTATTTATATTCATCTAAAAAACGATAAAATTCTTTTAGCATATTAAAAAAATAAATAAACAAATCTACTCAGAAAACCAACAAAAATTGTCTTAAAAATGTTCCAACTTAAATTAAGATACATTTCATTAGTTTTTATTTTTATATACTATTAATCTAAATTTTACTAGTAATAAAAGATTATTAAGATTTTCATCTTTTTAAAAAATATTAAAAAAAAGTTTTAAATTATTTATAGAAAATTTGAAAAAATAAAAATCTTTTTGATGCGAAAAAAATTAAATGAAAATTTAAATAGTTATTGATTGTTGAAATCGGTTTTTTTAAGATGTTCACTTGATATGTTATCGATACGAATTTCCAATATGCGATACGATAAAGTTGCTTTATTGTCCGATAGAGTTATGTATTATGCCACTTATGTGAGGAAGCACTGTGAGGCAGTATAATGAGACACTTTGATAGCGTTTAATGGAATACTCTATGAAGCAACAGTCGAGGGAGAGGCGCAATGTTGTTTATGATACTCTGCGACGCTATCTACCGAAAACTAGCCTTAACAGTACTAATTAATGTCTTGTGTGTATATTGTAACATTGTCAAAAAATAAATGTAGAATAGTTTTTTTTAAAAAAACTTATTGCAACACTTTTAAGACACAGATTTTAGAGTATTTATAAGGCGGTGAAGTTCACATCGATTACGATCATCTAAATTTTAAAAACCAAGATACTGCATAAACAAAACAAAAACCTTCAAAAAAACATTATACCTAACAAAAAACATAAACTTCAACCCAAAATTCATTAGAAAAACACCCCTAGTATTAACCCCTCCATTGACATTTTTCAAAAAAATTGAAATTTCGTTACACACACAATTTTATTGCAAATTCTTGCACAAAATACACCTAAAAGTGTAGAAAAAAATTGACAGCCAAATACGAGTAGAGGAAGACACCTATTACCACCAAAAATACATCCAAAACCATAAAAAAGTTCCCAAAAAAATTCAATTTTTCTTAGGCAGACGATTTTATTGCAAACTCTTGCACAAAATACACCATAAAGTGTACAAAATTATTAACAGCCCAATACGAGTAGAGGAAGACACCTATTACCACCAAAAATGCATCCAAAACCATAAAAAAGTTCCCAAAAAAAATCAATTTTTCTTAGGCAGACGATTTTATTGCAAACTCTTGCACAAAATACACCTAAAATACGTGATATTAAATGATCCAAAAGTTCTGAACGTTTAAATGAACAAAATAATTTTTTCAATCTATAAATTATTAAAATTATAATGTCAATGTAAAATAAAACAGTAAATTAAACAAATATTAAATTAATAACTTCTTTTTAGATATTTAAAACAATATTTTGTAATAAAATTTGTACTTGAAGAAGTTGTAAAAAAAATTTGTTTATTTGAACGTTCAAAACTTTTGGCTCTTGATATTGAACAGTAACTTAATTAATGAAGTAAAAACTCTTTTTTAAAATTTACTATTTTGTTTGTAATATATTTGCAGTTTGAGAGCACTTGCCGCTACCAACAGAGAATACATAGCAGAGCTCGCTGATCAAATAAGACGAAAACGAGAAAGAAACGTGGTAAGTTAAAATTAATTAATTTCTCTTTCAACTTCCAACCAATATGAAATTACATTTAACGCAATGCAACATTTATTTTCAATTATTATTACGTTCTCTTATTTGTGATTTGCTTATAATATTTCGATAATGCATATAGAAACAAACAAAAAAGAATTGTTTGATTTAAAAACGTCTGTTAATAACTAGGTATACTTATTGTTGTCATATTTCGTTATAGATGCGCTTTTTATTGAAATGTCTTTTAATATAATTATTTTTATATGTCTCTCAATGAGACTCAAATATCTCGAATAGGTATTAATTATAGGAATTGTGCTGCTGTAGATTATTCGATATTATTTATATAGTTATCGTTTCGTTTTTGCTTCACGCATGCTTTCTATTTAATCGAATCTTTGTGTAGTCTATGTATTTTTTGTGGTTTAAAAATAATATTTTAAGGAAGAACAGCGAATGGAAAAGGAAAGATGTCGGAGACATTTCGATACGTGGAAGAGTCTATGGGGTAAACCGGGACACGGAGCACCAATAGATCACGTGCAGAGAAGCAATCTTTACAATATACTTTATCGACCGTCCGTTTACTAAATTCAGCTCTAATACCGTGAATCTTAAATTTTCTTTTTGTGACCATGTAGAGATTCGTTTCCTTTGGAAAAGAAAAAAAAATATACTAGTTTAAATTTAACGGGAAACATGGTTGGAATATGGATTTCATCTGTATTCTTAAAAATACAACGGAAATTCTTTGCTTTAAAAAACTTTTAATTTTTCATATTTTTAATTCAATATTTTTATTTAATATTAGTAAATTTTACCTAAAAAAATATTTAATTATTCTTCATTTGGTTAAATTTATTTTAAATATATAAGTTCAATTGTTTTTGGTTTTAAATTCTTATTAAAACATTGGAAATTATCATTGAAAAGTGTCTCACTTGAGTTTCAAAAAGAAAAATAATAATTATGAAACATATAACGAGAATGAGTCGAGATTTTAATTCTGTTTCGAGAAAGTAGGACGGCGGCCTTGAAGTCTATTTCATTGTATGTTTTTCATTGTTTTTAACTATGACAGGAACTCTGATTTCGGTGAGAAAGTGTCCTTGTTGTAACAAACAAAAGGGGGCGATAGATGTAGCCAATTTAATTTCAAGCAACACATGAATACATTTACAATTTTTCTTTGATGGATTTTTAAATTTACACATTACTTTATTACGTGTAAAAAAAATTAGAAAGTAGGTCTAAATTTTCTGCGTTACTTTTTTCTCAATATTTTTAGGATATTATAGTTTTTGTTTTCGATTAAAACTTTTTTTCATTTTTTTCAATCGTACTAAAAGCAGTTTAATTCGTTTATTAACATTTAAGTACATCAAGTTAATTAAAAATAAATTTCTATGAAAGTCAGCCGAGTTTAGTAGAATAATCCGTATGCGGTCAGACCTACCGGAATAAGGGCAAGTGAATTAAATTTCAAAAGTATTTAAAATTTGAATAATAATAATGATAATAATTTATTTTTAATTTTTAAGAATAAAATAGTTTTAAATTCACTTTTTATACTGAGACATGAGCCAAAAGTTTTGAACGTTTAAATGAACAAAATATTTTTTTCAATCTATAAATTATTAAAAATTATAGTGTCAATGTAAAATAAAACAGTAAATTAAACTAATATTAAATTAATAACTTCTTTTTATACATTTAAAACAATATTTTGTAATTAAATTTGTACTTGAAGAAGTTGTAAAAAAAATTTGTTTATTTGAACGTTCAAAACTTTTGGCTCATACTGAGACTAAAAGAAAGGTTGTATTTAATATTTTTTTAACATTAATTCTTGGTTAATATTGCTTTTAGAAATTCTAAAAAAGCACTGTTTTTTATAGTACATGTTTTATTAATGTACATAGCTGATTTTAAAGTAGATTTTAAAGACCTTTTAGATACGTCAGTAATGAGTTTAAAAAAAAAATTACAACTATCTATTTGAAAATTTTTTCGCAACTGAACTTGATAACTTAAGGTCGTAATCTAGAACTCGGCCTTGAGTGAAACAGTCACGCAATCTACATAGATTAATGAAATTTAAGAAGATAACGTTAATTTCACTTTGCGTCATTTGCTGATTATATAATTTAAAAATATTTCTAAAATGCACGAGATATATACCTTAAAAGAATTATTTTACTGTGTGTGACATATTATACTGTTGGGAAAATCTTCGTTAAATTTACTCCTCTAAACTAGAATTAATTAAAAGTGTGACACTAATTAATATTCTTTTTTTCGTAATAATTAAGTTATTTTTTTAATTTATAAAAAATATAAAAATTAATTATTATTAATTTATTTATTTAGCAAATGACTTTCTTCTGTCTTGCTCGATACGGGTTTTTCTACTGTCCTCTATAATTGCGTCTGATTATATTTACACTCTTCTCCTTTGTCTTGCATTAACATTATTATTTAACTTTGTAACAAGTATATTGCTCTTATATTTATTCTATTTAATGTTGTTACTACTTTTTTGTTGAAAATTTTACAATTTCAAAAAAAATACTGAATATATAACAATTAATTGCTATATTTGTTGAAACAGATGGACATTTTTTAAAATCGTGATTTTTGTTTCCCTTGAGTATAAGAATTGTTACCATTCTAGTTTTCTCTATGGAAAAGTAAATGTTATTTTAAAAAAAAATTGAAAATAGAAATAAAATATAACGATATAAAAAAAGTTGATTGAATGTAAAAATGCAAGAGGAAAATGAAAAGAAAGAGTGAAAATTTTTTAATGTCGGGAATCAGTTTGAAAGTTCCTTTTTCTACATTTAGTTTGCGTTTCGTCGAAAATCTGCCCTCTCTTGTATATCCCATGCTCCGTGAAATCTCTCATGCCATGTAGCAACCAACCGTGCTTTCTCTTCTATTGTCTAACTATTGTATCCCGTTACCCACTGTGTCGGCACGTTTGTATAAAGGGGTGATTCATTCTCTAGCGAAATATCAGTTCCTGTACCGGCTGAAATTCAGTCACTGCTTGCTTGCGTAAAATCGCGTTCCCTCTCCCTTTTGCGAGCATTGTCATGCGAAAGTAGGTCGCGCTTGCAACAGAGAGTGCTATGCCGATGTATTCCGCGAACTTTATTGGGTGCCCATGGTTTTAGACGTTCCGGATATTGCGTAGCGAACACGTAGATCGCTTCCCTAGCGACGTGTGTCTGATAATTGGTCGGTTATTGGTGGTTTCCCCTCGAACAATTGCCACCACCAAAAACATGCCTCTTCGTTTAGTCTGTTGGTCCCTGACGTGTAACTGATAAAATTTAGCGTGAACGACAACCATTCAAATGGAAAATAGAGAATTGCCACACACACGTTGTCACACACTGACGGAAAGAACAATACTGGTTTCAATCATTTAAGCCTCAATATATCTGGCAATCTAAATGTTACGTGTCGAGTTTACAATCTATATCTGTATATGTATTATATTTGTGTATACAATCTCAATTTTTCAAATTGAAATGATTTCAATCTTTGTGCCGAGACATTATTGTTATTGATTGATTGAGAAAATCCTCATTTTGAAATTGAAAATATGAATTTCAGTAGTACAAGTAGGTTTTAGTCAGAAAGAACGATTTAAATTCATGTGATTCAGGTAGAAGTAGTAAAAGTCCATTTTTGACAGACAAAACATATTCCATATTCTTCATGGTAGTAGTAAAAGTCAGTTGCACTCAGACAAAACGATTTTAAATTCTTTTATAAATAATATAATTAGTAGTAGAGGATGGTTTTAGCCAGACAAAACTGTTCAAAATTGTTTAATTTTAGAATTAATAGTAAAAGCGGGATACAGATAGACTTTAAAATTTAAAAGTTTTTGGTATTCTTTGTATGAGTATTTAAGGATAGTTTCTCAGTGAGGCAAAACTTTTTCAGATACTTGTAAATTTTGTATTAGTTTTCAAAAATAGGGTTCATTTAGAAAGACATTTCCAAAGTTATGTACTTCTGATGTTATTAGTATAAAAGTTAAGTCTCGGACAGATTGAAATTTTACATATTAATGTAATTGTATTATCAGTAGTTCAAGACAGTTATATTCAGACTAAAGGTTGTTGAATTCTTATAATTTTTATATTATTTAGTTAAAAACTTTGAAACTTTTCAGGATAATAAATTTTCAATAAAAGATTCATTATTCAGTTATTTTATTGTGTATCAAAAACTCGCAATATTTTATAAATAATAGAAGCTCATGTCCAATTTTACCCGACCAGATAATATTTTCCCTCGTCTCTTTTCTATGCATATTGAAGTATAGGAATTATGAAACTACAGTATACATTTTCCAATTCTATTCATACAGAAATTATTATTGTTAAGTAAACATGAAATTGAACTATAAAAATAATTATTTTGAATTGCATTATTACTTCTATATTAGGTGTACATCAAATTTTTCGCTTTTAAAAAAAATAAATTTAAAAAGTCGAAGCTCGTTAAATATTTTAATGACGAAATTGTAACAAAGCCCAGATAAAATAGACCTGTCTACTATACAATTTAGCTCTCTGAAACAACTGACAGAATAGTTAATTTCCCAGTAAAGCAAAATTTCTAATTCTGAACTAATTAGCCGAATCAAATGCCCTGTACTATTTAATATCGAATTCAATTTTTTGATCAAATAGACTTTACTGTTTATTATTATTATATTATTAATTTGAAACAAGTTGTGAGAAAATTTAATAATAAAATGCTTTTGTTTTTAACATAAACGTAAAAACAGGATCTGATTTTAAATTGTTAAATAGTTAAATGAATTGATTTAAAAAATATAATTTGTTTCGGTGTTATTCGTGAAATCGCAATTATGTCATTTCTCATTCTTATAAAGCGATTATAAATTGTAATATTAAGTTTATGAGAGTGCGCAATCAGACAATTTCATAACTGGTTTAGGCACGTAGTCGGTACACTATATAAACCACAAAGTTAATAGAAGTTGATTTTAGAGTTTAGCCGAGTAACTTTTCCAATAAAATGATTATTTTTTTACATTAAATTTCTTCATTTCATTAAAATACAGGAAAGCAAATTTTCTAACTGGAATTTTATTTTTCAAGGACAAATAATAAGTTTATATATATGTAATGATAATTTTAAACGAAATGAGATTAAATTCCGTGTGAATTTGGGTCAAAGGTTGAATTGATCCTTTTTTTATGTGAACAGTAATCAGTAAATAGCTTCTGTGGCGACTTTCCGCGCAATGGAAAGTCACTTTCAGTTGCGACACTATTAGCTACAGTCCATAAGAGCATTGACAGAATGACGAATGTTTTGCAAGTTTGAGCTTGATTAGAATTAAAAGTGTATTAATCAAAAGGTCTAGACTTGACTACATGAAAAATTTACACGGAATAAAAGTGTTTAATAAATAATAATAAGCCAGAACAAAAACGAAATTGACGATATTATACAAATTTAATGAGAGATCGAAAATTTTCAATGTTATTTCATTATGCTAATTATGTTAATTATTACCGAAATTTGTAAAAAGGAATTTTATTTTTCAACCAATTTTAGAGAAATTGATGAACACAGCCATTAATAAGATATGTAAAATGTATGACAATTATTCAATGCACGTTTCTCATTATAATGTAAATTATTATTATATGAGCGACAAAGTTAATTTTAGATAAAATGAATAAAATTGTATTTTAGGTCATAGAC